GCCTGGTGGGAGTTGGAGCTGCTCGCTCCCGAGTCAACGGCGGAGACCAAGGATCAATAACGGCGCTTCGGCAATGGCCCGAAATGTGGTGGAGTTGATGGTGTCAGCGGCAACGGCTAGGGCAAGCTGGAGTAATTGCGGAACCGTCCGTGCTGCAGATGGGCAAAGGCCAGTGCCAAAGAAGAAAAAACGAGCGGAGGTTAGATGGCGAAAGCTGAGAGTTCCATGCGTGTACTGGACTCTAACGAAGGCACCAGGCACCGAGCCCAGTCACTTGACACGGGCGGCAGCCTCCCGTCTTTATAAAAGTCGAAGAAACCCAAACTAGACATCACATCAGCGCTCATCTAGACAAGGTATCAGTAATATTACTACATAAGGAAAAAGCAATGAGAGAAGCTGAGCACTCTGGTGTTTGCCCGGGTTCCCGTTTCCATCCCCTGCGTCAAGCCATGTCTCAGCGCCGCCCAGCCATCTGGTTCACTTGGTAGCTCTTGTTGGCGGTCCATTTACATGTATTCTCACAACAGCAGATGCCGTCACTCTCAAGCCTCAAAACTTCGAGTTGTTTGCCCAGACGGCCCCCATTCTAAATACATTTCCCATGCATGATCTAATCCCTATAATTGGTAGCCTCATTGTCTTGGCTGCAATTCAGGTCAAAGCTGGAGCCGCTGTGCAGTAGCCAATCTCCAGCTCGGCAAGCGACGTTGAATCTACCCCAGTTGACTTGATATTAGCCTTCCATTCTAGCTCCATTTTGCTGCTCTTGCTCCCCGTCGTAATTTGCTATTTTCCGCGTGTTGAACCCAAGAACCCTGTCTGGGCAGATCGGTGTGACATGCCCGCGGTGAGTGCCTGAGAAACTCGACACCTGTGCGATGCAGCACGATGGCAATGCGTTACAGCCCCAGAGCAGAGAGACACAACTAGGTATCTCAACGGTACCTCATCCGTTTGATGAGCTGTCTACTATTGAGATAGGCCAGCTTTCTCTCTAAAGGATATAGTGAGCAAGAGCTACATCTTCTCAGATGACTTCTCATACTGCGGCTTCTGACACGCCAATCCCTCCCCAATGCCCAAACTGGGCTCGTCTCTTATCCTGTCCCAAATCAAACTGGCTGAGTCTCACTGCAAGCGCCGCTTGACGATCCCTCCTTGGCAAATTGCCGGCCTTGCGCACTAGACGGCCCATTTAGCACACACACTTACGGAGTACAGAGACAGGGAATTGTCCCAAGCAACGGCTGAGTTGTCTGAATTGGGCATGGAGCGCGTAATACAGACGACAAAGCGGTCGAGCACAAGCACAAGATCTCGGGGTATTTCATCTTCGCATCGGAATCCAGAGATATGGCCCCTGAGCCATTCGCGATAAACAGGGGCAGTCGAGGCTATCGAGATGGAGGCGACGCAATCTCGCATCTTAGCATGTATACTAGGGAATCGCCAATCAAGCCATATTCAGGCACTTTGACAGAGGTACGCATGCTACATGCGTTTCTAGGTAGATGCGGAAGATTTCACGGTCCATTTCATTCTATTCAGATCAATTCAATAACGCCCCCATACCTGAACAAAACTGCGAAAGTACAGCGCATCTCGCATCCATCCAGCACCTCAGCCGCCTGTTTGCTGTTTCATTGATCGAGTCGAGTCCGGATCCCTACGAAACGGCCGGCGCAGGCTAGCGCCATTCCACTGTACATAAATCACCTGTAAACCGGTAGGTCACTACAAATCTTCTCCCTGCAGCAGCACCTGCAGCCAGAGATCACTTCAACCTCCACCGCCATAGATTTCAGTTGGGATCTCACAAGTGCGGATCCATCCCGGCTTCCTCTCTCCTCCATCTCAGGGATCTCCGCCTTCATTTAGCTTGAGCTTGGACTTGGCCTCAGCAACCCGCCAAACCAGGCCTGCAGCCGCGTCCAACCATCTTCCGCCTCCAGTCCCGTCACCAGACCAATGTAACCGTCAGGACGCACCGCTACAACGGCCCCCCTGTCTGGATCAACGCCATAGTGCTTGTGCGCCTTGCCATGGTCGTCGGCAAACACCTTGCCATAGTCCCAGCCCAGCTTCTTATCGAAAGGATGGAAGACCTCATGCAGATCCTGCAGCAGCTCAATCTTGTCTCGTGGCCCCGAGTGTACCAGCAGCACGTCGACAATGGACGGGTCCTCATCCGTCATCCACTGCGAGGATCCTGATCCTCCACGCGGGTCTGGCCCAGGAGCCAGGCTGATGCGAGGCGACTTGGCCGGCGACAGCACATTGGCCTGGAGCCAGCCGCCAAGCTTGTTGACTGTGGCCAGCTGCGTGGCTTGCGAGATGTCACCACCGAATACGACGACGCGGAAGCGGCCATTGGACGGCAGATGCAGCTGCAGCTCCCATGGCCGGGCGTCTGCCTGTGACAGCACAATTTGCGACGCAAAGCGTCTGCCCGGCTGGCAATGCGCGGCAGATTCGGCTAGGCTTGTGACCTGGCTTTGAGACGGTGTCTCAGTGCCTTGCAAGCCTCCTTTCAAATCACTGTCGGATGTAAGAATGCTGGGTTGATAGTGGATGCCGACACCTGTGATGAACTGTGGTTTCAATTAGCAAAGAGTAACAGAAGCCTCACGGCCATTAACGATCCCCATTTGCTGCCCGATCTGGAAACCAAGATGGCCTTGTCTGAATCGGCAAGGTAGACCCCTACACAGGGTCTCATTTCCGATAAAAGCTGGTCGCCTACTCACCGCAACTCATACAAGAGACATCCTAGCTATCTATCTACCGGGTAATGGGATCACTGGGAATACACTTACCAATTGTGCCTCTCGGAATGCCTGTTGAAATTCACTCATGGAAGATCCCGCCTCGTCAGAGGCATCCTTGGCCGGCCTCCCTGAGAAGAGCTTGGAGAACTTTTGATCAAAGGCGATGAGCTGCCGAGCAATCTGCCTCCGTTCCAACTCGTACGTATCAAGGACGTGCGGCTGTAGCAACTTCTTACACACGAGGCCGAGTTTCCAGCCAAGGTTGTATGTGTCTCCCATGGAAACGTTCATGCCTTGGCCGGCCTTGGGTGAATGTGTATGCACCGCATCTGTCTTGCGTTAGTAAATCCGCCGCCTCTCAAGCTAAGTTGTCTGTTCAGACGGTTACAGGGATTGCCCTCACCTCCTGTAAGGAAAACACGGTTGTGTTTGCTAAAACGATCGCCGACTCGTTGCCCAATTTGATATGCTGTCCACCTGCGGATGTTTCACTCAGCCTTTGTACTTCACTCCAATAGCTTGCTCCGGTCGGTGGAACGCAGCACCCCTTGTGAGACTTACCAATCAATGTAGTGGTAGTCAAGAGTGTAAGGGCTCAGAATCTTTCTTGCTGTCTCCAAGATGACATCTGGGGTAATTTGTGATCTGTCAACGCGTCCTGTGCCCGTGGATACTTGTTTGAGTTGGGTGTACACTCTGACAAGCTTGTTTTCTCTCGGAATGATCATCATGGCTCCGAATTCGGCGCTGTGTATCATGCACCTGCTTCTAATGTCCGCTGTCATACCCTGTTAGTCTCATTCAATGACATATCTAGGGATTCTGAAAGCTCTCACGGAAGTCTGTGATGGGAATAATGTCCAGTACTCCCCTATTTAAAAGGCCATTAGCATTTCCGTTGATGCAAACTCAACTGATGAAGAAAAGTCTTACCAAATAGCATCAGTTGATTCACCCTTCATCTGGTACTCTTCACCAAGCGTCTTTCTCACCCATGAATGTGCTCCATCACATCCAACCACATACTTGGCTTGAACTTTCTCCTCTCTTCCAACCCCGGCAGTATTCGCAAGCAGCCTCTCTGTATCGTCTTCCGCTAGGTTGCTCCTATACAGCCCGTCCTGCAAATTACTTAACCTTTGCGTCGGGGTGGCTTCTTCCTCAGTCAAGTGGCGTAGGGTCACTTCTACGGGATAGGCATCTTCGTCATCAACACAGCTCTCGTCAATATGCAGCGAGGTTGGCATAACGCTCCGCTCAATCTCGACCAATGGGTGTTTAGGAGAGGCAGAGGCCCGGATTGTATCGATTAGGATGCTCTCGACGCGGCCTTGGTGCAACACGGCCTCGGTGAATCGCGAAAGATTCGGCTGAGTATTGGGACCACGGTGGTGGCGACGAATCTTGCCATCCTCGTCTGGGTTCCAGAAACTGACCTCTATCGCCGGACAATTAGATGATTTCTTTTTGACACATCCCACATCCTGTCTGTGTGCAATAACAAAGATAATGTAACTCACCATGCATATGGTTTGCCTCGTGCCATACTTTGTGTCCGATACCGAAGCTGTCAAAAATTTCTAGGGTACGACACTGAAATCTGTTCGAGTCGCGTCATGTTAGACTTATATCCTCTATGTATGAATGCACTCTAGGCCCGTCTCCGAGCCTTATGTGGTTACTTACCCATCTGCTTGACCGGACACGATTTTGCCAGTCCGCTTGTCCACGATTCTCGTCTTGACACCCAACTTGGCCATCCAAAGGGAGAGCATGAGGCCTGCGGGGCCGGCTCCAATAATGAGCACATCGACCTTTGATGTTGCAGCAGCTTCCATAGTTAATTTAATTCACCAATATTCGCTTAGTGCCTCGTGAATTATAGTATTAGAAAGAAAGAAAAGGTAATCTTGTCGGAGAATTAAATAGTCTACGCTCTGCATCTAAAGCTCTTATATAGTCAATATGGGGTATACAGGATCTATATGTGTTACCCTGTTTACGAAGACATGACAAAGTTTCATCGCTCCACGATTTTGGGCCTAAGTAATCATGGGTCATCTCTGACCAACGCTCCCCTCATCCGCCACAGTACCAACAAAGACAAGGGCAGCGTTGAATCGTTATGATTTCTTTATGGAAAACACTATTTGATGTCCATTCGTCAGCTTTCCTTTTCTCGTCCCCGTACCCCAGAATTCGTAGTCTGCACACTACTTCGTTTGGCTGACGATTTTCTTTGCCACACTGTTTTCTCAGTCACCGCCGATATTACGGCCCAGGTCTCTCCGCACTCTCCACACACGCGAGCCGACTGGCCGCTTTTGACTGCCGCGGAGCACCTCGACCCACGGGAGGGCGGTGGAAGACCCGGCACTTGGGTCCGAAGGAGCCTCGGATTCTGCTGAGCCTTCCTCTTCATCCACATCTTCGGCTTCCTCCTCCTCCTCCTCCTCATTTGGGTCTTCATTCGATATTTCAAGGGGCTTGTCTGCGTTGATATCGTCCTGCCGGGATCGCGCGTACATGTCCTCCGTGTATGCCCATGTCGGCGCATCAAATTTTCCATGAACAAGCACGATCTGTCGGCCCTGAGACCGTATCTGCTCTATTGTCTGTAGCGGGATAGGAGTAAGAATTTGAAGTGTTTGAGTAGCGGTGTCGATACCTCGGATGAGAACGAGGCCGATGGTGCGAGAGAAGCAAGGGTCGAGAGTGATGTCGCTGGCATTTGGAATATACGGCAGCCCTTCCGTGGTCCTCGAAATGAAGTCTTCTATTGCGGAATACCCGTTCTTGTCGCCACCATCCTCTGACAAGTGGGCAGTGGAAGCTAAATTGTGAAATGCTTTGGGATCTTCCACATCCACCGCAGCAAGGATCATTCCATTGATTGCTTGTGAGAGCAGCTCCGATGGAGACTGGTAGTCATATAATAGAATACCGAGAATTCCCCGCTGAATGCCAGAGTACCGGACCTGCAACGGAGGCATGGACGACAGTGGAGAAGGGTTCCAACTCGGCCTCAATCCTGAGCTCGGCTGTTTCTGGTCTTGCAAGTGGAAGTATGACATAGCCTGCATGGCCCTCAAGTGAGCAGCGGTGCGGGACGCAAACTCGGATGGTTGCGAGGGAAGGGTGGTAAAAGTTCTCTTCGTTGCACCGCGTAACACCTCAACGACATCTGCAGGGCCGTCTTCAGACATGTAAATCACTTCCGGAGGGTTCATTCGAGAGATGATTTCCACTAGCAGATCCTGTCCAGTGCCCAAAATCCAACCTGGAGTGTTGATGAGAAGATGACAGTTGCGCAGCAGTCTTCGATAGTAGTCAAGAAGATCCAGCACACATTCCAAGTAGTGTTCTGGCGCCGCCGCCGGTGTCATGGAGGCCAACGCATGACATCTAATGACTCTGTATGATTCATCGTCTAGATTTGGATGCGTAAAGGCAGCGCTTAGATTGGGCCGGGTGATATGAACGAGCGATATCGTCCCGCAAGGTGCATACTCGGGCTGGCCAGGATCCAAGTCGAGAACAGCGATGCCATGACTCCCTGTTCGTGTTGCTTCACTCGTCAAGATGCGGTTTACGAGCATCTTGGAAAAGGTTGACTTTCCTGCAGACTTGGGGCCGCATACAAGCGTTGTGAAAGGGCCACCCTTGGCTACGGATACGAGATCGGCTAGCTTCTTGTTCCATGCTGGAGGAGATGAGAGTTCTTGTATGACGCACTTCTTGGGAGCATCATCAGAACTGCATACCTGACACTTGTTAGCTGTAAGTCGTGCAAGTAGAGTCAGATTCGGACATACAATCTGGAACGTTCGTCCCTTTCCTAGGCTGTTCTCCGTAGAGTCATCCTTTGATTCTCCCCATATGCTTCTGAAAAGGGGGGACAAACGACTTAACCGTCGCAACCCGTCGGCATTTGGGTCATGGTGAAGCTCCAGGCTAGCCTTCTCGGAGGTTCTGATAACTGGAATTGCATGACAGTGGGGAGCGTGAATCCAGTGTATAGGATCTGATGGCCGCAGAGTGGCTCCAAACACAGTCGCCTCGCCGGCAATGACTTTGATTCCAAAGCTGCCAATGGCAATGAATCGCTAAGCACAAATCGATTAGTTGATGCTTGAAATCAAACTTACATAGATGCTAGAAACATACCTCGCTATCTCTGAGCTTTAACGCGACGGTTCCCTTTGCTGTTGTGCGGCAGTTGTTTTTATTTAGCAAGAAAGACGAGTACATGACTCGAGAACTTGAAAGACCGGCTTCTGGAGTAGATGGATCGCTTTTGGTTTTGAAAACTTGTTGTAAGTCTATTGTTGTACCATTAAAGGATCAAGCAGGCCTACCTCATCTTACCACCTTGTGAGGCAGAAGCTCTGGTGTCGCCACGATTGAGTGGCCCTCTTGACCCATTCTTCTTTGGAGATTTAGGAGGTTCATTTTGACGCTTTAAAGTTTGTAAGACACTGAAGGAGTTGGTTCTAGCTGAAGCTGATTCTTCAGGCTCCGGAGATGAACTGGGCTCTTTGGCTGGTACGTTGGCGACTAAGCGCCGGCGAGCTGCAAGTGCACTTAATGCGCTTACTGCTGCTAAAAACGAGTTAAGTGAGTTAGATTATTCTAAAATTGTTCGTAGCAGGCCTTTAATGATGAAATTTGGCTGACTTACATGAAGGAGCAGCTTGGGTGTCGAGTTTACGACGCTTGTTGGAAGACATGTCTGAGCAATATTGAGTAGGGAACGATCAAATACAGAGTAGAAATTAATGAGATTCGGCGTCGGGCAAAAAATCTCATAGAGGAATCAATGATTGTTCGCAACAAACATCCACCGACTTAGCATAACAGGAAATGCATTGTAAAGGCCAAATTTTAGAGAGATGTAATGAGCCCGGCATGCTGGCAATGATTCGCATTTGGCGCTACAGCTCTGAAAATGCGCTTATCGATAAGATATAGCACACTAAGAGTTTTCGAACTGCGCCAAACACGTCCCGCCAAATCGCGCGCTTTCCCCAAAATAGGCGCGTCATGGTGGGGCTCTGCTTGTGCATCTTCAAAATTTCCATCCAGGCCTCGAAAAAAAGTTCAGAGCAGCATTTCCTCTCCAATCTCTCCCACCTGATTGAGCATCCAACCAGGCTCATTGCACCTCGAAAACCCGCCAAAATGGCGCCTAAAGAGCCCTTCAAGATTCACTCGCTTAGCAAGCACGTCGAAGATACCAAGAAGGGCCTCAGCGCCTCAGCACAATACAATCGGCGGCCTGTCTCCAAGCCAGCGGCAGCGATCATCAAGAATGAGCCCGGTGTCGCCCTTTTCCCAAACAACAATGACAGCGACGAATCGAGCGAAAGCAGCGACAGCGATAGTGACAGCGATGAAGGTAACAGCGCCGATTTTTTGAAGAAGATCGGTGCCAATGGCGCAAAAGCTTCGACAACTCCCAAACGGCGCAGCAGGGACGAAGAGATCGCCGATAGCGACGTCGAGCGCAACGCTTCTGCCAAACGCAACGCTGCTGCTAAGAAGGAGCAGATTGTGAAGAAGGAGCCGTCTTCTTCTGAGTCTTCCAGCGAGTCATCCAGCGAGTCCGAATCGGAGCAAAGCGAGCCCAAGACGAAGACAAACGGAGCTGGCGTCAAACAAGCTGCGGCGGTCCAGGAACCCTCAAGCAGTAGCTCCGAGGAAGAAAGCGAGGAAGAAGAAGAATCTAGCGACGAGGAGGAGGAAGCCCCCAAGCCTACCCCTAAGCCTATCTCGAAGACACCGGCCGCACCTGCCGCTACAAATGGCACCCCCAAAACACCTGCCAAGGTACCTGCCAAAGCTTCTACTTCGAGCAGTTCTAGCGAGGAGGAGTCAAGCGAAGAAGAATCGAGCGAGGACGAGGAAGAAGTGTCTGAAAAGCCCGAGGTTTCAAAGAAGACTGCAGAGGAATCTTCTTCCGACTCGGAGGATAGTGATGCTGAAGTCGACGATTCCATGCACATTTCAGATCGCGAGATGAACAACCAAGTCGGAACGCCGAATTTCATCGCTCCCGATTTCGCACTTCGCAAGGGAGATGACGGAGCCAACGGCCAAGATGTGGCTCGCATCTGCAATGAAGCAAATTTACAGGGCAAGCAGTTCTGGTACTTTACGGTTCCTTCCAACGTCCCCATCTCTGTTATCGAGAACATAGAGATCCCCATGGACCGATCGCAGATTGGAAACCGAGTCTTTTCACATGACGGCCAAGACTATGGCGTCTCCTTCGACACGATTGCGACCAAGAGCTCGATCCAGATTTTGATTCCCTCAGCCAGCGATTCCAAGTACCAACCAAGTCAGTTACTCTCCTAAGCTGCCCCCGGTTTATCTACTTGCCACTAACTAATATTTCATTTAGCCCGCAAGCAAATCGACCAGACTATGCACATCAAGAGAATTGCCAATCTCGGAGGTGCCGCTGCTTCTTCTGTCGGTCCCGCGCCTCGTCGCGCCCCTCGACCACAACCAAAGGGCCTCAGGGCTAGGTACCAGCCATTTGGCGTGAATACCCCGATGGGCAACATCGGAGCAGATGCACCTGATGACGAGGATGTTGACATGGCCGAGGCACCTGCGGCATTGGCCACTCCTAAATCTACCAAAAAAGACAAGAAGGGCAAGAAGGAAGATGCCAAAAAGAAGAAGGACGCTGATGTTGCTACGGAGAGCAATACTACGGATGTGAAGACTTCCAAAACCGATCGCAAGGGCAAGAGAAAACACACCACCTCCGAAGATGATGCCATCACTGCTGAGCAGCAGCTCCGAGATGAGAATCAATCTGCGGAGACCAAGAGCAAGAAGCAGAAGACGGCCAGGGTTAGCAGTCCTGATCTCGGAGCAGAATTGCCCTCAGCCGCCAAAAAGCAAACTCCTATTGCGCCACCAGCCATTCCGTCGTCGGCATTTTCGTCATCGGCCACTACTATTGCTACTCCCTCCAAGGTCGTAGCAGTCACTCCTAGTACGGCCAAGAAGTCGACTAAGAAGACAAAGCCCGAGACTCCAGTGCCCGCACCGCGTCAAACAGCAGTTCCTCTGCCAAACATTCCCCTGACTTCCCGACCAAAAGAATCGCCGGTTCCTCTCCCGCCTTCCTCTGCACTCCTCGCTACACCTGTGCAGTCAAAGAGCAAGAAGAGCAAGAAGACCAAAGATGAGGTCAATGCCACCGGTTCGTCACAGCAGAGCCCCCCACCAAGTGCTCAGGGAGGGGATAAGAAAAAATCCACGATCAAAGCCAAGGGATCGAGCTAGGTCCCCAGATCTCCATACAAGTTTTGCTGAGTGTATTTGAGCGTGGGCAACCGAAGTGCTCCTTTGAGGATGCATAGGTCGCTACGATGACCCTACTGAAAGTAATGAGCAGTGTGGGATGTGGTGATTATTGAGGTTTCACCCTCCACAGGAGCTGTAAGGTCTATGGGACCTTGGCTGCTAACTTTCGATTTCTATCTGCTCTCTGGACTGTTCATCAAGAAGAGCTATTCTCGCAACTAGGAGATATTGGCGTTTAGGAAGAAGCAGTTTTTTATGTCTACAAAAAAATCAGGAGAGAGGTTTATTTGCATTTCAGGGGTTGGACGAGATATGAAGCCAAGCTTTCGGAGAGGGGAGACAATTTGCCAATATGTGACAGGCATTTTATTGTATTTTTTCATGTACATCTCACATTTCGCAGACATGCTACCGATGCGGAGGACTATTCACTGAGAAGAGTCTCTGGATGGACATGCGTAGGGTAGAGAATCGTCTGACGTACGTTTGAAACTAATAGACTGCAGTTGAAAATGAAAGACTTGCAGCCAAGTAACACATGCGAGACTCTGGAAGACGTGGACATATTCACATTTTTTTTTCATCCAGATATTTGCAATGTATACAATACCTAGTATCTCATGAATGACATCGAATCAGGCAGAGATAGGAATGCTCTGTCATACACTCACCAACTGTCTGTTGGGTGAGCAAACGGAATATTATCTGTGCACCGTTGGCATCAGATCCGGATACTCACCCTGGTCGACCCAGAAATCGTGACCTGGCAGTCGGTTGACAGGACCGATTCGCGGAGTGGATACGGACACCAGATAGGAGGCGCACGAGCAGCGATCGGTCTAACCATCGGTGAGGGAAGAGAGAAGCGAGCGAGAACGAGGCTTAGAGAGGCGGTGATCGATTTGGCGGCGGCGTTGTCCATGCATGTGTTCCAGGTACCACTACGGAGGGCTTACGGGTACATACTTGTCCCAGCAAAATCAGCTGCCAGGTTGCCCCCATGCAAGCAAACCTCAAGGTTATGAATGAGGCTGTCGTACAGGGAAAATGAAGCATGCATACGTGGACGGAGCGGCAGCGGCAATGCAGGGGCATCGGCCGTCGGCAGGGCGAAAGTCAAGATTTGATTGATCTTGGGCCGCGCAGTTTACAAACCCCCTGGTAATACTATTCTGTACTGCTACTTTGGACAAAAGACGGCGATACGTGGACGGGTGGCTGGTTTGGCGGAGATGCGATCCTTCTTGGCTGAGCTGGCGGCGTTCTACTGGGCTGACTCTGCGCCTTGCTGTACGCGTACCCATCACGATAGTACCTCCTAATGTACGGGTACCTACTTGTGAACCTGCGCGAAATTGAGCGAGAGGCAAAAAGAAAAGAAGGCTTCGTCATCCGGGGACAGTTTGCGTGGCTCGTTTCGTGGTGGTGAGACAGAGCTATTCCTCGTGGGTGACTTTAATCTTAAGCTGTGCTTCGTGGGGTGTGATGGACATCGCTCTCGCACTTTGTTGGGCGATTCCGCCCCTATGGAGCATCGCAATTTACCTCGCGTATCATGTACCCTTACGGTTGATGACAGCTTTGTTGCTGGATTGAGCTCGCTTGACTAAGCGCCGGCTTACACGCAATTCGTTGCAAGGGGAACTGCTAAGGACAATACGGAATACTAGGTACGATACGATGAGGGATTCGCGCTGATACGGAGCCCATCAGCATTTAGGGTCCCGCGAAACTGACTCGGAGGAGCAAATACTGTATCCGTAACCAGGCGACAAACACAACAGGGGGGAAAGAGTTTCTGGAGGCAGGGATCTTTGGCGCGGACGATGGCCTTAGATCGCTGCGTGTTTTGGGTGTTGTTCCCTTGCCAAGAAATTAAGGAAATCGAGGTTTGCTGCATACAGGCGTGAAAAAGGGAGGGGATTCTTTTATTAGATCAAACAAAAGTCAAAAGCAAGAGGTAGTGATGTTAGTGGTGCTGCCCTTGCATGAGGCGTAAGGCGAGGAAACAAAGAAAAGCTTTAAGGCCTCGGGCCGTTGAAGGCACTACTGCGAACGAGCGAAAGAAAAAAGAAGAAAGAAGAAAAAGAAAAAAGAATTTTTTACTTCAAAGCCGAGGTATCGTCTCCATCAGAGACTTTTGACGGGTCTGCGTTCTTTTCTCTTCATTGCTTTTTTACCAAATGGCTTTTTTAGCCTATCGGATTAAGCGGACCTGGTTCGTTCAGCTTTGGCGAGTGGTGTGATTATTTTATGCAGGCGAGTGATGACCTGTTGAATGAAGAAAAAATCCTCTCGTTCTGTAGCAGAGGAGCATTGCATCACCAAACATCTCACACACCCTATCCGGGAGCTCTTTGACAGAGAAATGGTGTTGCAAAGCCAACGAACGATAGGCTCGATTAGGCAGAACTAGCTACAAACATAAAGACGCAATTGGGAAAGCTGGGCAACGCGAGGCGCAGTAGAGTTTGGTTGGCTCCAGCGCAACAGAGGCCCGATCCTGCTGAGCTGAGCTGACGTGATCTGGATAGGACTAGCCGGTGTCGTCACTGAGTTTTCAAAGAGCTTGATGCTTGTATTCGTGGTATGCCTGTATGGGGTTCTTTGATGAAAGTTGCGGAGCTCATACCCGAGGAAATGCGTCGCTAAAAAGAACCTTGAAACCAAGTGCGACAGGCAAAAAGTCGCCGAAAAGACTTCGCTCTTGCCAGCGAGCGGCCAATTTCCCATTTTGCGGAGGGAGATTATATAGAGTGCGAACACAGAATCGGCAAAAACTCACATGTCAGAGCACGCGCCTGTGCACTAAATCAAAGCACAAAATCACACCGTCACAAATGACAATTCGACCAAGGCACAAGACCAAAAAGGTACATGAGTGGAAGTACATGCGCCCGACGTACTGGTACAGAGACTTTTAGGTGTTCTCCATCGGAGCCACAGGCGCTAAAAAAGAGAAGTAGCATGGAAAAAGGCCGCCTCCGCGGAATCTGGTTCGTCGCCCAGTCCCCATGAGCTAGACAGAGCCCAAAGAGAGAAGAAGAAGAAAAGGTAAGAGCAAGAAAAGGGTAGTCTAGGTAGTTGGCTGGAATTGTCCGGATTGGAGCTGGGCTGCTCAATGTCGTCATATTACTTTTTTGTTTCTCTTCCTAGCTCGCACTGCAGTAGCCGCAGTCGCAGCTAACACGCTCACCATTTCTTTTCGGGTTTGGCACATGCGGAAGAAAGACAGCAGCCCGGTCTAGGTTGTTGTTGGGAGCTGCATGCTGCCCGAGATTCCCGCTCTCAAGCAGGGGTCACGCGAGAGATGTGTCCGTGGACATGTGGTTATGGCCGATCCGTCTCTGGGGATCAACGGCCGTGCTTCTCTCGAGCTTCCTGTTCAATGTTCCGTGGACAGCTTCAGCGAGTCAAGCGAGCTGATACGAGTACACGTATTGATCTCTCGCATGTAGCGGAGTGGAGGCCACGCGACCACTCTCCTAGTTGCAGTCGGTCACTTGGCGGAGATCTCCAAGCGCATCTAACTGATAAGAACGGCTGCCGTTCTGAAGAGGGACACTCGTAGCAGCATACAGATCTGGGCTTTGAGTTTGTTTGTTCTATAATTACTCGACACGCCTGGGTTGATTCGGGGTCCCTTAAACAGGCATAAAAAGTAGCTTGATATGAAACAGAGTCTCGATCAAACAGCGTGCTTACGCGTACTCATGATCCATTCAACGGTATAACCAATACAGTATACAGTACGAGGCAATAGGTGCTATTTGTCTGAGATGAGATTGCTGGGTGAGATGGGAAGAGAGCCGAGACCGCCTAGTGTGCTTGTCCCTCTACATCACATCCTTGGGCGTTTTGAAGTTGAGAGAGCAGCAATTACTGAGCTGGGCAAGTCGGCAAAGTCGCTACAACAAGCAGCGAGATTTTGTTTTGTCATCCGACTTTTCCTGTGACCTGCCCTCTCCACCGCTATCAAGCAGTTCGCTCATGCCTGCATGATATCTCGCCATGTGCCCGAGAGGGTTGCACTCCCGAAATATCTTAACTCCACAGAACGTTACCAAGTGACGATGGAATCGGGGCTACGATGCGGCCAACGCCCGCCGCTTAGGTCGGTTCAGGAAAATGTACAGAGGCCAGAAAAGAAATCAACGCGCGCGCGCGGTTATTATTGGCAATCAAGTAGCGGTAATTGATAGCGTCTGCGGACTCCGGAGCAATGCTATTTGGAAGAGTATTACTGCCGGAGAGCCGTTGGATGAGGGGGCTTGAGTTTTTTCGGCCCCGTTTGAAACGGCGGTCTTTTTCTTACTCTTCGGGCGCCAGGAAAAGGCCATGCTCCATCTAGGGGTGATGTGAACCATTCTCGGGGCCAATCCATCGATCCCTATTTCGCGGACTTGGGACAAACAGCGAGAGGTAAGCGCCTGAAATGGTCTGAGCCAAGAAGAGCAGGGTTCAAGTATTCCTGGTATCGTATGTAACACCTCGATTCTATTACATGGGATGTTACAAGCTGTAAGATGACCTCTCCCGGAGCCTTTCATCATTGCAATTTCCAAGTCTCCCCTCTGTTTAGTCGACATGTTCTGGATGTTCTTGCGGCCACGGAACACGTTGGAGGCCCGCTCTGCCGAGGCGCTTTTTGCTCACCGCACGGAACAGACGATATGCAGAGAAAGAAAGAAAAAAAAAAGTGTGACTGTCGTGCGCTAGTTGACCTTGGCGCATTAGCTGGATTTGAGGCCACGATCCAACCACGAGCTTCGCTTGTGTGCTCTGTCGACGTCCACTGGCTTCCATCGCGTGACCCGGCTATGATTCTACTCGTTGCCTCGATCGAACCCTGTTTGCACCGTTTGATCTTGCTCTTTTCTGCTCTTCTTCCTATTTTGGAGGGGTCTCGGCTCTTCTCTTCGTCGCAGCGGCGCCATCCACGCGCCACAGCCGGCATTCTCAAGTGCCTCGACTTGCATGCATTTCAACTTCCGTCCCCCTCTATGCCGAGTTGGGTTCTCAACGAGTGCAAGGAGACCCTCGGTCGAAGCTGAAGAGGGACCCGGCACCGAAACGTCCGTTTTTCTTCTTCTCTTTCCTTGCGCCGCCAAAGATGCCGCAATAGAGAATCCACTTACCACTTTGGATCAAATGCTTAATTAACTCTCTTATCGGCATTTTCTAACCTCCGGCAGCCCGACTTATCAATGGACCACCTTACCTAAGTACCTTATCCAGAGTGCGCAGGATGCTACCCAACTGTAGACATAGCAAATGGCTTCATCTGCAATAGATTAGACGTCATGGACGTTTGAAATTCACTACTATTGCACTGCTACTGCTATAATTAATTAGGTGCTTAGTAGAAGCTTTCGTAGACTGGACCGTTTTATTCCATTGAAAGAAGCTTTTGCAGTGGAAAGATTCGTCAGTCCGTCATCGTCGAGTTGGCCCGATTCCACATTCTTTTAGCCTCGTCGAGGCGGAGAGTCCCCCCGATCTTGTACCTTTTGTTCTTGTACAGATACTCGTCCCAAAAGGCGGAATTGAAGGTAAGAGTACGCGTATTAGCTGATTCATTCAAGTCTGACGGTAATTGCCATGTGGTAGCTGCAATGGTAAGATGAGATTGAAGTGAAATTGATCGACTGAAGCTGATGCTCTCGCGGGCGGAAGCAGCGCGGCTCCGTCACCGAGCACAATTTCTCTTGCCCTTGCCATGGTACGCATTAATTGTGCGCATCGCCATGCATCCCGGCATTCTCGGCCAGAGTAGTGGGCGTCCCCCACCAGAAGCCGCCGCAGCCACTCACAGCGCTCGCAGACCGGGTGCAATTTCACCATCAGGCGCCCAGGGCCAAGTCGCCAAGAGCTCCAGGGATTGCTTGCCTGGGGCGGCTGCAGCCTCGGTGCGAGTACCGGTACTTGCGCGCGCGGTGGCTGGCCAACGGAGCACTCAATCTTCACACTAGGACCACTGCGTCCAAGGCACCTACGGGACGTGGGACCAGCGCTAGCACGGCGTCCAGAGCCAATCGATGGTACGGCGCTGCGAGGTATCGGTACCCATGGGCCGCAGCTTCCGGGGCTGTCCCCAAATTAGCCCGGGCCCTGTCTAATCACAGCGCCTCAAGTCGACCCATCAATCGTTTTTTGCGCCGCAACAGCGTAAAGCCCGGGTGTCCGTCCCACGCGCGCTAAGGAATAAAGCCGTTAGACGAAGAACAGAGCAGGGAAGGGAAGGAGAAAAAAAAAAAAAAAAAGACACCCGCCATGTACCTACAGTACAAGTACCGCCGCCAAGGGTACCCGTTCGGAGTGCTTGCTCTCGTACACGCACAGCGCCGCTGTCCGCACTAATTCCGTCGCCATGCCTGTGCAAGGTTCTTGCGCCACACGACACACTTCCTTTGTACTCGTACTTGCACGCTTCGGAGGTACCCAGCGCCTCGTACCGCCCTCCTGCACCTTGTCATCATTCCCTGTCTTACCTCACCTACTGCTGCCACTTACGACCAGACCCTCTGCGTTTTGCTCGACCTTTACATACTAGACTTGTCCCCTCCTCCTCCGTTTGGCTTCATTCTCCTTTGTCCTCTCTATCCGACTTGACCTCTTCTCTCCTCTTCCCTCGCCTTCCTCTTTGGCGCTCCCGGCCTTCCGCCCTCTCTGTCCCTTGGAAGAACACCATCCAAAGCGGCCTTTTGCTCGTTACGCACGCAAAAGCCCTACAGCGCCCACGACATCCTGTCCCATCGGCCTGTGGAACCTGTTCGTCGTCCCTTCGTCGCCGACAAATCTCCCAACTGCACGTGCTTCGACACGCCTCGGCTGCGACAAGTGCACGCAATTTGCTGCTTCTTTGGCTTCGTCCTTGGGTATTATGAGATAGTGTTTGGGGCAATCCGCTGTATTCGTACTTGGTTGGACCAGCATCGCTGCCGACTCCTTTTCTCCCCCAATTCTCCACCACGGGTTGCTTTTTTCTTTTTGCTGCAAAGATTCGCGACAATTCTCCGCCCTTGCACGACCAGGCGGCCTTTAGTTCTTTTTTGAACATTACTTTTTTGGGCAAACAACTCTAGCAACAATGATGGATCTTGGATCGGGAAAGCCCAAGTTGCCGGCGCTGCTGACGGAGCACGTCAACTTGGCTTTCCTCAACCGCCTTCCCGCCCGCTACGTTCGCCGGCGCCCCCGGGCAAAGTCCAACACGACGCATCGCGGCGAGGACATCACGAGCCTGCAAACCTCGTTCAACTTCTGGGACGGCTTGCGAGACCTGCAGAAGCACCAATGGCGTCTTGCCGACCTGCAATACGTCGTCCTGGCCGGTCTGACGCTCTTCTCGCTCTACATGGCTCCTCCGGCCCCGGCCCTCAAGCTGTTTGCCCTCATGGGCGCCGCGTGGGTTCTCCTCATGCCGGCCACCCGCCAGTTCTTCCTCCCGTCGCTTCCCATCTGGGTCTGGCTGCTTTACTTTTTCACTAGTCGGTGAGTTGGCCCTTCTGTTAATTGGCTCCCGAGAGCTGTGTTGCTAATTCTGCCCTGTCTTGTTTAGATTTATCCCTACCGAGTATCGTCCTCATATTTGGGTTCGAATCTTGCCCGCCCTGGAAAACGTTCTCTACGGCGCCAACCTTTCCAACATTCTCTCGGCCCACAAACATCCCATTCTGGATATTCTCGCTTGGCTTCCCTACGGCATCATGCACTTCGGGGCGCCTGCAGTGTGCTCTCTAATCATCTTCATCTTCTCCGCTCCTAGCACCACCCCCGTCTTCGCCCGTGCCTTTGGCTGGATGAGCATTCTTGGCGTCACTATTCAGCTCATCTTCCCCTGCACGCCACCATGGTATGAGAATGAACATGGACTTGTCCCTGCTGCTTACGGCATGCCCGGATCTCCCGCTGGATTGGCTCGTGTCGACGCGATTTTTGGCATTGACCTGTATACAACCAACTTCACCAATGCCCCGCTTCCATTTGGCGCATTCCCCTCTCTCCACGCTGCGAATGCTGTCCTCGAAGCCTTGTTCATGAGCCACTGCTTCCCCCAGTTCAAGTTCTTCTTTGCTGCTTACGCTGGCTGGGTCTGGTGGGCCACCATGTATCTGAGCCACCACTATGCCATCGACCTGGTGACCGGTGGTCTCATTGCGGCTGCCTTTTACTACTCTTCTCGTGCTAGGTGGCTGCCCCAACGCCAGGCCGACAAGCTGACACGATGGGAATACGAGTATGTCGAGACCGGCGACCACCACAAGGTCGTAGACGAAGAATCTGGCCAGTACTTTAGCTTGGGCTTCATCGACCACCGTCGTGCCAACTCCAGTGACGGATGGACTGTTGCCAGCAGCTCCAGCTGCAGCTCTAGCAGTGGCACACTCAGCCCCACTGCTTCAGAAGCCTCAATCCCCGGTATGCTGGTCATGGACTTGACTAGCGACGGGCAGGCCTGGGATGGCCAGATCCCACCCAGAGACGTCGATTTGAGCGAAGTTGTTGTATCACGGTAATGGCATGTTGAAATCCGACGATGCCGCCGGGCATCGCTTGCTCGACGATACAAAATTTTCCTACTTCTATCTCTTATATCACACAAACTCATCACCCTTACGACGGGTGACTGAGCGTTACGAACCCGCTTATGATTCGATTCAAAATTCGTAATTAATATTTGGCGAAGGCCTCAACTTTTTCCAAACATCTTTGGCATTCATCGGCACAGCGAAATGGCGCAATGTGGTGTTGATTTTATTTTCTTATTGGTGAGGGGGGAGTCACGTCCGGCTTCGTTATGGCTGAACCGGATACTGAATATTTAATAATGGGGAGGGGAGTCTGGATTGGGGAATCATGGGAAAGAAAAGGATAACATTTTTCCATTCGAACCTTTCAAATGATTCGACTGCATATATTCGACACGGGAGGGTACTACTTCAAACGATAGAGTACGTAATGTATACATACCAAGGGGATAATCCGTGCATGGGAGATGGATGGGATGAGTACATGCACTGAACGCTCGCTAAGTGAGCCACGAGTTGGGGCACTGATGAAGGATAACCCGGAGGGTAATCGGGTTGGATGGACGAACATATCCAATTACTGGATAGAGAAACATTCAGGATGGAGGGAGAGGGCGGTGTTGGAGAGTTAACTAGGCCACTGGCGCAAATACCAAAGATGCCGCTCGCTCAACCTTTTGAAAAAAGGCACAAATGAAGAACAAAAAAATTTGATGAAAACCTACCTACCTTTGTCACTATATGGTGTACTGGCAATGAATGGATGAATGAATGAATGAATGACAGTCTGTTACATATATTACAAACTGCCTGTGATAGTCAAGTAGGGAATGTCCCAACATTAATAATGAAAACTGAATTACGTTAAGTCTTTGGTGTATTGCGTATCATGGTTTGATGGTAATCAGTTCTTCATTCGTGGCGTGATATTAAGCGCCCCTTCCACTTGCTATGTAGCCATATACATGTCTTATGATATCTCATGACAACTGCCTTTTCTACCTCGACCCATTTCCGGCACATCGTGAACAAAATAAAAACCCTTCAATATTTCCCATGGCTCGAACAGACGTATAGAAAAAAAAGAAATGAAAAAGCAAATGAAAATAAGCAAAAGGAGGGGTTTTCTTCAAAAATGTGAGGCTCGATTTTTTTTTTTTTCGGTTTATTGAGTAAATGGGTAATGGAGATGGAGAAGGACTTCTAACAGACAACCGTATGATTCTCGTTTCTCGTCCAGTTGAAGCTCAGAAGACTCTATATCAGAAACAAGTTGCTCATCAACGGCTGCCAGCGCCAGAGATAGTATGCTGTATGTTTCTGTTTGGAGAGGACATGGCGCTCTCCTCCTCCATCACTACCTTTGGTGTGATTGATCATATCGTCTCCACTGCTACCTTGCGGCTTCAGGGTTCCAGAGACCTTTGCTTGTCTGCACGATCCGGTTAGCCAGATTGCCTGGCTGTAACAACGCAGGCACGTCAGAGCTGGGCGTTGTGTTGCCCATGACTACATCATCAGCCTGTCTGTGAGCGCTGGCATCGACGTCGTTACCCTGGCTAAAGCCCATAGATATGGCGCTGTCATCCTTACGGGCACCGCTGATAGGTGGAGCAGCAGTGTTGGGACCTCCACGAGCGCGAGCAGGCTCTTGGGAGCGGGCGCCGTCCATCATCAGATTCTGCGCCTCACGGAGCTTGTTGATGGCGCGAACGGTGTCGATGGCAGCGTGAAGCGTGCGCCGAGCGTTGAAGTTCTTCTTGATCGTGGGCAACAGGTTCTCGCCAGCGCCGTCTGAGGGTGCGAGGCCGGCGACGAATGGGTGCTGGAGGGCTTCGTGGGCAGTAATGCGCTTGTCCTGGTCGATGGTGAGGCAGCGGCGGATGAAGTCCTTGGCATACGACGAGACGCCGCGCCAGTACTCGACCGGAGTGAAGCTGTAGTCGGCATTGAGGATGGCCTGCATCTCTTCAAAGTCGGAGTCACGGTCGAACGGGGTGTAGCCGCACAGGAGGAAGTAGGTGATGACGCCAATGGCCCACAGGTCGACGGGTTTACCATGGCCCGTCTTCTTAAAAATCTCGGGAGCCATGTAGCCGGGAGTGCCGCAGGTGGTGGTCAAGACATGGAACTGCTCCTCGTCCATGATGCGGGAGAGGCCAAAATCGGCGATGAGCAAGTCTGCATTGTCTTCGGGTGTGCGGAAGAGTAGATTCTCAGGCTTCAAGTCGCGGTGAACGATGCCGTGGTCGTGGAGGTATGCGACGGCGGACAGCGTTGCGCGGATGAGATCGGCCGCATCGGATTCATAGTATGAGCCCTTACGGCAGATGCGATCAAATAGTTCGCCTCCGAGAGCCAGGTCCGTAACAAGGTAGAGGTTGTTCATTGTCTCGAAGTAGTCGACTAGCGTTAGGATGTTTTGGTGCCCCATGGACACCTTTTTGAGGACGGCGATTTCATTGCGGACCTGTTCCCTCCCCCCATCTGATCAGCGCGTATTCTTGTATTATTGCAAATAGAAGAAGCGAAAAGGCGCCAAGGGTTGCCAAGTTAATGGAGGTGATGTAGTAAGAGGGCTTGCGTACCATGTGCTCTCGCCCCGCCATGAGTCGCTTGTTGATAACTTTGGCCGCATAGTAGCGCCCGGTATCAATATGGACGCATTCCTTGACGACGGAGTACGAGCCCGCACCCAGCGTCTTTCCGACTTTGTATCTGCAGGGCTGAACCTGAGGTTGCTGCTGAGGCGTCTGGCGGCTCATCGTGGTCGGAGCCGCGACGCCGGAGAGGAGAGGCTTGGAAGAAGAGAGGCGGAGGTGCTCCGGGCGGGAAAGGCGGCAGTGGGCAGCTACGGGCAGGAGGATAGCGGTAGATTAAGGGCGACAGTTATTTTGACGTGTTAGAAGCGAGTTTCGGGAGAAGATGGATTCTTGCGACCTTGGACCAAGAAAAAGGATCTGGGGGCGGGATTGATTAGTTGTGACGGCCAAGGGGAGTTTAAGGCGGTCTTCAACGCCAGGTGGGGGAGGGGCCTAGGGGGAGCCTAGAATGCATGGTCCAACTCGGCAGCCTATCAAGCAGCGATTTCAAAGCTGATGACCTGAGCAGAGGTTGCCAGTATGACTGAGGCTGATTAAACGAGGCGGGCAAATCAGGGAAGACATGAGAAAGAAAAAACCACTTACAGTCTAGCTAGTCTAGCCCAAAGGATTTTAACAAACGCATCACAAACATTAGTACCTGCACGTAATGCGCGGTCCACGGCATAGATTTTTTACATGCGGGAGTTTGTCATGTAATATGAGGAGGTAATGCAGTATTCATACTGGAAGATGTGCCACGTTTGGGATGGCAGCTGCCAAGAGATAAACCCCTATGGACTAAATCGAGGTGGCAATAAGTGGCAGAGATGCGGTTTATTTTTAGCTACCAACTCTAAAGCTGATCCAGAATACGAAGCTTGAGTTGAGATGACAGTGCCAAATAAAGCATGTGAGAGAGAGCACTTGGCTATATGCAATGCGACAATGGAGAATGAGAGATCAGCCATTTTGGTACCCACGATTTCTTTTTTGGGCTACAGCTGATATCCCTTCTCCAATAACTGCTATTATATCTATATTTTTATAGTAACTCCTACTATAGTTATACAGTTAAATTCGGGTGCTGGCTGAACAGGCGTTCCCTTATAAAAGCACTACTTAATGAGCTAATTGAGTGCTTATACTATTCCGAAGGCCCCCTTCGTGACTGCTTTTTGGCGCTGTTGAATTTTTTGTCCTGCACTCGTGTCTCGTGAAATCGCTTTTCACTGTTTTTACTTTAGTTCCACCATTTTTTCAGTACTCGGTTACGGGGGTGCGCGCATACATTTCCTGGTGCTTTTTTTTCTTCTCAGAACTTGTCTCGGCAGGTGTCAATTCGCGATAGATGCCCATGACCTCGTCTATGAGCTTGCGTTTGTTCTCATCAAGGTTGGCAGATTTGGACCGATGAGTTTGCGCCGAAAATGTGAGAGAGTCATTGCCGGCAGTGTAGTACTTGGAAGACCGCACTGCGGAATGAAGATATTTGGGGAGAACAGCGAGCAGATCTTTCACGGGATATACCGTGACTGCCTTGGTTTCAGTTCTTCAACCAACCTCACAGTTAGTTCTTATGGTCCCATTCAAGCACCAAAGAGGGGAGGCCTTGGGCCATTTCATACTTATTAACGTGCTGCCCTCCAGGCCCACTAGACCTGGCATATGTGGTATTGCCCTTGGGCAACTGAGAGGCGTCAAATGAATTGTACCACACTCGTGCCTCGGCCAAGGCGTCCTGATCTAGTTGAGCATCATACGCCTCGTAGCGTTTGAATCTGACCGACTGAGATAAGGACAGCGACAGCCTCGGCTGCCGAGACGCGATTGCTGGTAGCACCGTTTTCTTTGGCAGATGCCACAGTAACATCGTGAAGCCGGCTAAGGTGTCTCGCATCCCATGGCAAAAGACGCTTGATCGTGGTCTTGCCTATGTATCTACTCGTACAGTAAAACTGCAGCTCCCCTCACTCACACGATGATGACTGGAAGCCAGCGCTACCTTCCTTAGTCTTATCCCTCGTATGTATGTATCAGTTGAAAATGATGCAGCAATAAAGTAATAGATAAGAAGCTGGGGCCCTACATTCCAATCAGACAGACGGGAATAAACCCAGCTGGTTGCCTTGCCGAGTTTTCGCTCGCGCCCCGCATTGCCTTGTACCAAGTGCTGACCCAAAGAGGACTAGCCTCATGGCAGAATTTGAGGCGGCTTCTGCCATAAGCCTCCCGGCCGCTCTGCTTCCTCTTCTCCAACCAACTCCCGTCAAGTCAACCCTCGAAATCTCTTCAACGTAGCCTCACCACGTCTTGGCGCGTCCTGTCACGGATCGCAGCTGTCTCTGTTTCCCGTCCCTTCGCGCCGAGGCCGTTTCCCCGAATTCCCTACTCGAAGCCGCCTCTCGTAGCCCGGCCAGTGTTTCGTGTCGCAAGCAGCAATCGTCCTCCTGCTATTGCCTGCAGCTTCAAAGAATCCTTGCGCGCCCGCCGCACAATCAGCCCCACATCGAACCATCGTCGACAAGCAGGTTATAATAATCCCTCTCTCAACCGCCGGCAAAAGGTACTCCATAATAGCCTCTCTGCACGAATGCAACTGCCCAGCCTCTCCCCCTTAGACCTTTATTAGCCAGCGCGAGTCCAGCTTCATGCCAGAGCCTGAGCCCGAAGCAGCTCTGCGGGCTACAGCCAATCTCTCTCCTGTCTCTCCCTCGCCTGTCCACACGGCCGCGCCTCTTGTGGTGCCAGCACTCCAGCACACGGTCGATACCATCGACGCCATGGTTGCTGCTGCTGCCTCGCTTCCTAATGGGACGGCCGACGCCCCCGTCGTCGACCCTTCCCTCGCGCCTTCTGGTGAAACCGACGATGTCGTAGATGATGACAGCTTCAGCGATGCCTACGGCGAGGAGACGGAAGACGTGGTCGTAGAGCCTCCGCGGCAGGAGCTCGTCGACAACAACGACGACTACGCCAAGACGTTTGATTCTCCTATCGGTCCCGAGGAAGGGGAAGACCAAGATGTATCATCAGAACCACGAGAATCCAACGAGAATTCATCATCATTTTTATCCGATCATTTGACTAGTCGCCCATCAGACGTCTCTCATATCGCTGCTGATACATCCGCATCTGTCCCAGCTGCTCAGAACCCATCTCTCTCTACCGCCCAGCCCGATGCTGGTCCTAAGCCCGCCGTGCTGCAAGTTAGCGATGCGCACGCCTCTTCCATCCCGTTTGTGGCTCAACCCACACCCTCCGGAGCTGGCCCTGCCCGGCAAGACTCCGAGAACTCTTCATCTCTTGACATCCAACAGCTCGTGGCTGACCTCACTGCCCATCCCGCTGAATCTAGCTCCGGGAACCCTGACCCAACGGCTGAAGTCCCGGTGGCCTCTAACCCCTTTCCTTCAACTGCTACCTCAACCGCCACCACTATCCCTACTGCTTTGCCATCATCTTCCTCTCTCCCACCGCGCCCTCCATTGCCGCAGGTCGCCCCCCAATCGTATGCTTCTCAGCACCATCCTCCCGGAACCAATTCCAATGTCCCAGGAGGCGTTGGGGTGTCGCCCACGCCGGGACAGTCCTCCACTTTTGCAATTGCTGGTGCCCCTGGAACCTCAACTGAAGCTTTGGGGAACCTCCCACCCCCTCCTGCCACAGCCATGAATCCTTCGGCTGCTGCAGCATCCATAAACCCTGCTCCATATCCTTCCAACCCATCCGGATATCCTGCTGATCGAGCCCAAGATGCCGACTATCAGCGCCAGTGGGACCAGTTCATGGCCGATGAGCGACAATACATGTCGGAGGCCAAATGGGATCGTTTCCCTGAGGGGTCGCGTATTTTCATCGGTTAGTGACTCCGCCTTGAGTTCATGTTACCACTCTCCAAGATATACACGCGTACTTGTGCTAATGTGACTCTTTTCTGGTAGGAAATCTTTCCAGCGACAAGGTTTCCAAGCGTGATGTATTTGATATATTTCACAGATATGGCAGGCTGGCCCAGATTTCTCTCAAGTCAGCTTATGGATTCGTACAATATCACACCGTCGAGGAAGGACGTAGTGCTCTAGAAAACCTCCAGGGCATGGAAGTGAAGGGGCGCCGCATCCGTAAGTGATTATCTGGCTCTCTATCGATCTAAGCCTTCTTTTTTTCCCCTTCACTAATTAGCTTTGTTGCTAACCCTGATCCAGATTTGGAAATCTCTCGGCTCCAAGATAAATCTAAAAAAGAGAGGAACCGTAGTCCTGAGCGGGCCCGCGGACGTGATGGTGGCCGTAGAGGAGAAAAGTATCGTGATGATAATCGATCAACGCGCAATCAGTCGCCTCGTCGTAATGAGTACTATGGCAAAACCGATAGAGCCGACCGGACTGATAGGGCCGAGAGCTACGGCCGGGACCGAGGATACTATGACTCGGGCAGAGGTCGTGGCCGCTCCCGATCTCCCAGCGGATATGCCAGGAACGAAAAAGATTCCTACCGCAGGAGGACACCCAGCCCCTACAACAGATCGCGGCATGAGGCAGAGCTCGACCTGCCGCGTCGATATGGTGCAGACGTCCCGGATGTCCAAATCATTATGCAGCCAGACGTCAATCGAGACTTTGGCACCTGGGTCGAGGGTGCCTTCAAGGCGAAGGGTCTGAGAACCAATGTCATGTATCTCCACCCGCGGTTTCCGAAGGACCAAGTCATCCAAAGACAAGCGGCCGAGGGCGTGCACGGGGTTGTAGACCTGGACCTCCGCGCTCAAGGTATGGCTAGAATTCCCGTCCACTCATTCGACCGGTCCGGCGGCATCCACAATGTCCGTTTCGAGCAATACGTCGACCTGGAGCCAAGCACAGCGGCAGAAGTCATCCTGCGAGCCAAAGCTTCCGGCGCGGCAAACTATGGCCAACCCTACGGAGGCGCCAGTGGATATCCCACGCAGTATGGCGCACAAGCCCCGCAACCTCCTCACGTAGCTGCGTACCCTGGTATGCAGCAGCCCGGCTCGTATCCACCACAAGCTGCACCATCTGCTGCCGACCTCGCGAGTCTCATCGGCCAAGTGGACAACAATACGCTACAACGGCTCTTGTCCACCATTCAGGCAGGGTCTGCGGGAGTGGTGCCTGGCGGACTCGCACATGGCGGCGCGAAGCCGGCTGCACCAGCCGCTAATGCACCAGTTGATATCCAAGCAATCCTGGGGTCTCTCAATGGAGGAGCGGCACCGCAGCAACACCATCCTCAGATGCAATACGGCGCGCCATACGGTGGCCAGCCGTCCGTCGGAGTTGCGCAACAAGCGGCAGGCACCGGCGACGCGGCGGCTCAGGTGCAGAATATCATGGCCCAGCTGGCTCGTTATCGGCAGTGATGCAGCTTATGATTTTCTTTGATTTCGTTTCTAATAACTTGCTTTTGCTGCCGCCTCCTTCCGCTTACCTTCCGGAAGCTGGGGCTACATGAATGATTCTTGACGATGGTGCATTTCAGATTCTGATACCACATGGAGGCTTGGCATGATTGCTTTTTTTAAACTTGATATGACGGCATTGTGGAGTTTGGCAAGTACGTCCGAAGAGGATAGATAGACACCGCTGGAGAATGGGCTAAGGCATGCCTCATTGGATTTGCTAGCACTTTCATCTATCGATTTGGTTCTGCGGTTTACAGGACCAAAGAACAAGCCCTGCAGAGGGCAATGACCAACTTGTAAAGGGGTATGAAGCCTAGAATAAAACATTTTTGAAACTTTCAGGTTTCGTGACTACGTAATGAATGTTGAAACAAGAATAATAGCCATTTATACCCCTGTGTGTATCTAATGATTGGGTACCCATCTATATACATGATTTCGTCTCTCGTCAATTCATCACCATCCGAAGCTCTCGTTGTGCCACCATACCTCACGGCCTTTGAGAACCCATGGCCCTATCCGTTGTCGTACTTCCCTCGACATTTCTTCCGGGCCACAGACCAGAACAGCAACCTTTTCCTCTACGCCGTGACGGAACATGTCGTCCACAATCTTTTGAAAGTTGGGGCGCCTACTGTTATTCCCCGCGGCAGAGCGATGTGAGTGAGATCCTCGCCCCATGTTCTGGAGCTCGATGGATGCATCGCGGCTTCTGCCATTTGCGTCAGTGGAGAAGCCGATGTTCTCTGTGAGATAGAGATGGACATTATCGTCGTCAAGTAGGGGTTTGTCGGAGCCGTCGCCAGTCATAGCCCAGGTGGCATCGGCGGCGGAACGGATTGCCCAGACGAACTGGGCGTGGGCAGACGGGAGTTCGCGTTGGAGGGCGTGATAGAGCGGGAGAGCGAAGGTTGCGCCCACGCCGCCGGCAACGAGGAGGATGCGGGAGGCGCCCCAGGTAAGGAGGTGCTGGAAGTGCTTGCCAATGGCCCCGTGTGGCCCTTCGATGGCGAGGGTGATCTTGTTGTTGTCGTCTAGGGTGGAGGGGGAAGAGATCGGGTCAGCGAACTGGTAGAGTATGTTGGTCATGGGGCCTGTTCGCTTTCTGGCAACCAGGGTGATGCTCTGGCTGTCCTGGTTGGCGGAGGCAACGGTGAAGGGGTTGAAGAGGAGGTCAAAGGTGAAAGATTTGGATGCTGGGTATTTGCTAGTCCGGCCTTCGGGAGGAATACTGAGGTAGATGTGAGAGCCCGGTCGAGAGCGGAATTGCTCAATCTTTTCCGCGGGCATAGGAGCGGTGATTTTGACGAGGTTTGTTCCAGGGACAGTCTCAAACGTCGAAGCCGTGTGAGTAATGGTGAATCTGCGATAGGCGATGTCCGCGAGGAACACAATGACGCTCCCGGTGACGTATACACGAGCGGAATGGGCGTGGAAGAAGAGCAGCACCGGGGCAAGCAGTGCAACGCCCAGGTGCGTGATGAAGAATAGGCGGTACGAGTACTGCCTTGCGCGGACCAGGGCGGTGGCGAAGAGGCCGTCGAAACTAAGGGCGGCGAGGACGCCGCAGAAGACGACGGGGGCGAAGAAGCGCTTGAGCCAGATGCCGGAGAGGATGAAGAAGATGTTGTAGAAGACGATGTGGGTCATGATGAGGGCGTAGATGACGCGGCCGAGAGTGCGGTGGTAGCGGTTGATGTGCTCGTGGGAAGAGTTGAAGGCGTAGGCGTAGGGGTTGAGAGCTTTGAGGGCGAGGAGGTATTGGATGGGGAGTTGAGAGACGGCGATGGTGCCGAAGCGTTTTGTGAGATGGAGGTAGTCTATGTTTTTGAGTTAGTCGCTATATATGACGACGCTGGAATGAAATTTGAGTTGATATCAAGTGAGATTTGGGGCGAGTATCACAAGGGCTTGTTATGAGATCTCACATGAGATTTACACAAAGAGTCCCAGCCGGAGAAGAAGCATCACTGGAAGAGACACAAACACGACTCACCTTCTCCAGTCCCCAAAATGCATAAAACCAGCAGCCAACTCGTCCAAAGAAGCCCCAGTACCCACTCATCTCTCTGCCCCCAGCTCACGCCTCCCAAAACAACATCGTCTCCCAGCCACCACATCAACGCTCTCCATCTCGCGGCCAAGGCGCCAAAGCCACTGCTGCGCTGAGCCTTGACAGTGGGCGACCCGGGAATATGAGAATACCGGCCACGATCACCACCATCTCGACCAAGACGTAGAACAGGCCTGGCAGCACGAAGCACGAGGCGGATGAGGATTGCGATTACCGCCGGGGCGAGAGCTGAGAAGAGCGCGATGCGGGCATAGTGGTCGATTGTATGGCGGCGGACCAGGACGTCTTCCTTTGAGAGGGTTAGGAAGTGGTACGGCCAGCTCATAATTTTATTTATTTATTATTTTTACTCTTTTTTTGGTATTTTTCAGGTGAGATTGGATCGGCTGGTGGTGACGACTAATACGGAGGATACATGTTATCTTGATGCTATCCTGATCGGCTATGGCGCTTGCGTGGAGGATGCGCCACGGAGGGAAGAGGGATGTGGCTGTTTGGGGGGACTCTAGCCACAGTTGGGCATGCATATTTGCATGTGCAATTCTTGAAGTCCATCAGTCATCAAGGTGCTCCGTATGTGGGATGACTTGCAGTATGTCTGGTGGTTTGATACTCTATTTGGACCAAAATTCTCATTTCCAAGATGATTTTTAGTATTTTTCCATCCATTGGTTCACTCTAGGCTTGGATTCGTATCCGTACCCCATGGAATCCTTTGCCATGGCATCCGTCTCAGGATGCAAGCCAAGCTCGTGTGTGCGGCATCCATGAAGCTTACTCAGATACGATAGGCACCTTGTACGTAGCATATCTAAGGAACCTGGTAAGCAAGCATTCGGTGATTTGCTCGAATCCTTTTGATGTCCTTGTCACTACTTCCGCATCTGGCGGTAAGCAGTCTGACGGCATAAGGTAGGACGAAACATCTGGTAGTATCTGAGCCATTAATCACCTTCTCAGGGCTTGCCCCCTTGTTGGCGTAATCGGCAGCAGCTTGTGCCAATGGCAGACAAAAAACAGCGACAAATGACTCTTAGTTGAGTTTGCTACAACTCGCGACACATGGGAATGACACCAGCTTTAGGTGGCGCTACTCGCTATTGTGCTCAAAAGTTGCACCACGCCAGGCCCAACCCAGTGCTCGGCGGGTGAATATATGGCTGATCTTCGTGCCTCTTTCAGTGTCTTAAGGCACTCTGTCTGCTGGCTGCCCCGCTAGGATGCGCACAGGGGTCTTGATTCTCACCGCCTTGCCCCACTGATACTCCCCGCTATCCGATCTCGCCCGTCTGGCATTTCTCTTGTAGCTTTTTTTTTTCGGGCATTTCTGAAAGTGCTTCTTCCTGGGCGCCACGGAAAAATTTAGTCGGCGCATTTTTCCCTCTGGTCATCTTTTTCTTCTTTTCTTCACCATCTTCCATATCTTTGGCCTTTTCCTCCTCCTTCTTCCCTTCAAAGGCACTCTTCCCTTGGTCGATTGCCCTCTTCACTTTCATCCACTTCGACTCTCATCCCACAATCCACATCCACAATGTCTACCTACGCCCTGTCTACGTCTCACAAGGAGGTTCGTCCGCCGTATTTTGCCCATTGGGCTTGCTTGCCTGATTTGACGAGTCCAATGTACTAACTATATCCTGCTTTGTAGATGCTTGAGAAGTCTCTTCTCGAGTCTGACCCTGAGGTCGCTGCCATCATGGTAAGTTGTCACGATTTGCCCCTCCATCCTCTCAGAGGATGGCCTTGTCCCCTCATTCAGCATCTTTCTGTGACTCAGTCAACTAATGGAGCTTGTAGAAAGATGAGGTCCAGCGTCAGCGCGAGTCCATTGTTCTCATTGCCTCCGAGAACATCACCTCTCGTGCCGTCTTCGATGCCCTGGGTTCTCCCATGTCCAACAAGTACTCTGAGGGCTACCCCGGCGCTCGTTACTATGGTGGCAACCAGCACATTGACCAGATCGAGCTGCTGTGCCAGCGTCGTGCCCTCGAGGCTTTCCACCTCGACTCTGAGAAGTGGGGTGTCAACGTCCAGTGCCTCAGTGGCAGCCCTGCCAACCTGCAGGTCTACCAGGCTATCATGCCTCCCCACGGCCGTCTCATGGGTCTCGACCTCCCCCACGGTGGCCACTTGAGCCACGGTTACCAGACTCCTCAGCGAAAGTAAGCTACAGAACGAGCGATTGCCAGCCTACAAGAAAGCCTTTTGACTAACGGCGCCCTGCAGGATCTCCGCTGTCTCTACCTACTTCGAGACCATGCCCTACCGTGTCAACCTCGAGACTGGCATCATCGACTATGACCAGCTTGCGCAAAACGCCATCCTGTACCGCCCCAAGGTGCTTGTTGCCGGTACTTCCGCCTACTGCCGTCTGATCGACTACGAGCGTATGCGCAAGATTGCCGACTCTGTCGGTGCCTACCTCGTTGTCGACATGGCTCACATCTCCGGTCTTATCGCCGCCGAGGCCATCCCCTCTCCCTTCCTGTGGGCTGACATTGTCACCACCACCACCCACAAGTCCCTCCGTGGCCCTCGCGGTGCCATGATCTTCTTCCGCAAGGGTGTCCGCTCCGTCGACGCCAAGACCGGCAAGGAGACCCTCTACAACCTGGAGGACCCCATCAACTTCTCTGTCTTCCCTGGTCACCAGGGTGGCCCCCACAACCACACCATCACTGCCTTGGCTGTTGCCCTTAAGCAGGCTCAGACCCCCGAGTTCAAGGCCTACCAGGAGAAGGTCGTCTCCAACGCCAAGACTCTCGAGGTCAAGTTCAAGGAGCTCGGCCACAAGCTTGTTGCTGATGGAACTGACAGCCACATGGTCCTCCTCGACCTTCGTCAGTTCAGCCTCGACGGTGCCCGTGTTGAGGCCGTTCTCGAGCAGATCAACATTGCTTGCAACAAGAACGCCATCCCCGGAGACAAGAGCGCCTTGACCCCTTGCGGTATCCGCATTGGTACTCCTGCCATGACCAGCCGTGGCTTCGGAGAGAAGGACTTTGAGCGTGTTGCCCAATACATTGACCAGGCCATCAAGATCTGCGTCGAGACTCAGGCTTCCCTGCCCAAGGCCGCCAACAAGCTCAAGGACTTCAAGGCCGAGGTTGCCTCTGGCAAGATCGCCAAGATCAACGATCTCCAGAAGGAGATTGCCTCTTGGGCTAGCAGCTTCCCTCTTCCCGTTGAGGGCTGGCGCCTGGATGCCGGCATCTAAGTGCAAGATGCTGCAGAAAACAAAAATAATTTCCTTTATATAACTTCTTTTCCAAAAAATCATATACCAAAATAATTGAAAAAGTGGAGAATCAAAAAAGATCCAAGTCCACCAAGGGAGGCATTTAACATGGGATGGGACAAAAGCCAAAAAGAATGGCGAAAAGGTTCAACAACTTTGCAATTTTAGTTTTCATGAGGGCTGGCGCATGCGTTTTTTCCATTTCAACCGGAAGTGAGGGGAGTTTTATGACTGGGAATATCTTGGGGGATTGAGGGGCATACGAACCTTTTTGGTCATTGATATCAAAGGTATTCAACGTCGGTATGGGTATGTCCTGTCCTGCTTCAACAAGTAGGCAAGCTTAGTAAGAGAACAATATTATTCTCCGAACCAATATGTGTGTGTCTGGTGATGCTTTGTGTGAAGTAATCTACTCCATGGGACTTTTGCCAGTAGATGGACGGTATTACGTATTCACTTCTCACCTGTACCATTGTCTACAAGTGAACATTTTCATGTCAAACAAGCTCATTAAAGGCTGTGTATTGCCTATCACCTAGCATTCTTATCTCATTTTCCCCACGCCCACCACCCAACCGCATTCACCCGTTTGTCCTCGCATTCACATTCAAACCATCCATTCGCCCACGCCTTCAACCGAAGAATCAGGCCATGGTACGACGCATAAAACCGAACAATAAGAAGAGCACAATGTTAAAAGGAAGAAATAGAAAGCAATCAAACAAATCAATTGACCGAGGCCCTTCATCTAAGCCGCCAAGATCAACAACCATGGCTACGCAGCCGAAATCTCATAATAGAATTCGATAATCTAGAAACCAGGTACCAGAAAGGACAGTTTAACCACGAACCGACAAGCAAGGAAGAAAAAGAAAAGGGGTAAAATAAAAAGAGTTCGGAGAAGGAAAAAAGAAGAAGAAGAGTATAACCCCCAAGGGGGGAAGGGAAACAATCTTTGCCGCCTCAGTTCAATAGCATAAAATCATCCACACGTCTCTCTCCTGGTCTTATTTTTGGGGGGAAATTTGTTCCTCATGGCCATGGCAGATGGCCGCCTCTTTTTGGTTGGAGCGCAGTGCACAAACTGAAAATGTAGCGAATCTTTTTTTGTTCTTTGGGTAAGAGATTCAATCCGATTTCGGGTTCATCTTTTCGTCTTTTCTTCAAATAAGCCGCCAAATTGCTCGCAATATTCGTCATAGCTCTCCGTTTCGTTGAGAGCCAAGGCTTATTTTTCCATAATCATATCCTATAAACGCCGCACAAAGATTCAAGGCCGGCCAATTCGAAGGGAGAGACATGTCGAGAGCTGAAGGTGGGAATAGAACGAAGAAGGAAGAGGCCGGTCCGAACCCTGCCCCCCAGGTCCGAGAAGGGGTATAGCCGGGGGCAAGGATAGAAGTCATTAGAAGTCGAGAAGCATTAAAGCATCAGATATACATTTAGAAATGAAAAGACTTGGTTGGCCGGAATGCCGACGGATGCAGGCATAGTGGCCGATATAGATATTTTTGTGGTGCACCAAACTATCCATAAGGTGCATCGTATATGTACAGTATTGATGGGAGAAGAGCAGAGAGAGTAGACGTTCTGAGTTGCCGAAGCTGAATGGTAGGTTGCTATTGAGAGTTATTACTGAGCAATGCTCTCTGGGCTCATCATGCCAGTAGTGTCGTCCTTATCAGTTTGGCTCATTCCGCCCTGGCTCTGCATACTGTCCGTCCGCTCCATGCTAGGTGCAAGTGCCAAGAGCGCAGGATTGGGAACAGCACCGTTCGGTAGAGGTGTAGTCATTTTCTTTGCAGCCGCTGCATTTGCTGCTCCACCCTTCTGAGGGGATGCATTCAATCGAGCTTCAGCCGCAGCGGCCTCCAGCTTCTTCTTTTTCTTAGCGAGTGCCAACTGTTCCTTGGGTGGGCGTTTCTGCGCGGAAATGATCTTGCCGCTGGCACCAAGACGAGGGCGCGGTTTGCGCTGTTTAGTCGGTAGATCTTCATCCTCAACCAGTGGTGTGTCGCCATTAGCGTGAAGCTTGGCCAGGAAGAAGTTCTTGACCAAGCCAACTTGGTGTTGGATGTTCTCCTTGGTGACAGGCTCAGATATGAGAAGCGGCTCGAATATTTCACTGCTTGACCCGCCAGAATTTTGTGTTTGCATCTGGTACTGGTTGCGCACTCTACTCTGCAGCAGGTGGAATGGCACGGAAACAAAGTCAAGACCCATTTCCTTGTCCAGTCCGAGAGCCCGGAAGCCAAAGAAATCTTCTCCAAGATCCTCGGCAAAATCTCCACTGGTAAACTGATCACTGCCGTCGTTGAAAGCGCCAGCTCCATCTTCACCTGCTTCGGCCGAAAGAGCAGGACGGAGAAGGTCAGCCAGATGGGACTTCATCCTATCGTGCAAAGCACCCAGCCTGCTACCCAATCTATCGACGTCGTCTTTGACATAGTTCTCCAAAGTGGCAACATCATGGCCGTTCTCTTCCAGTGTATGAAGGATCACCTCCTCTGGTGTAAAGCGTGGCTGTAGCGTCATCTCGCCTCCAACCTGGACCGATTTCTTTTCAGCCTCTCGGTAGATGTTAAACGTTCTGATTAGCTTTTGAAAATAGTCGGCTGCGATGCCCGTAAAGGTATCTATAGCAGATGGCTGCAGCTCCTCAAAGCCGGTGGTATAGAGAATTTTCGCAATGGAACGCTTTAGAGCATTTTGGCATGTCTCGGACGCCATCACTGGGCCATCATCTGCGATGAAATGTGGCTCAATATCTAGCTCCCTGAATGGTTCCGAATTTGACTTTGGGAATTGATTCGTATAAACCTTTGAGTAAGTGTAAGTTTGTAATCATCCCTGAGGAGAAAATGTACGAGTGAAGCTCTTCTTACCTGGGATTGGACCTGCATCTGCTTGATAACAGAAATCTTCATAGCCAATTTTCTTGTTTCTTGTATCTGATGAATGTTTTCGTCCATCTTCTTGGTCAATTTACTTTGTGATGCAACAAACGAGCCGGGCGAAACGAGTCGAAGAAACTCCTCGTGCTGATTGATAACTTGGCCGTCGCCATCTTCGACCCATTGCAGCTTTGAGGGGATATCTGGAATATTACTCAGGGGGGTATAATAGTCAGGGATTACTTGTTCCTTTTCCTCTTCGATGCCCTCAGCCAATGTCTCGGGTGCTTTGCTTCCAGCGGCTTTGGCAGTAGTTGCGGAAGTATCAAACTCAGTGCTGTTGGTCAGCTCTGCCTCTTTTTGGCGAGCCAGGAATCTTCGCATGCCTGCCTTGCTTCTGAGTAAGGCTGGAGCGTCCACGCTAAGCTTGTTGTCTTTGAACAGCAAAAACCGCTCCTTGGCTGTCAGAGCTCGGTCTTTCTTTGTACTTTGCTTCCATATCTTATACTCCTCATCTTCATAAGCTTGCTCGGTAGCTTGGCCAAAGGCTTGGTTCAGGCTCATTCCATTGATGCTAGGGCCGTCAATGTCCATTACATCAGCGTTGCTTGTAATTCCAGACGGGCCATTGGCCGCACCAGGCGTGATGGAACCGCCGATTGGAGGCGTGGCAAACCCATTGCTTCCGTCCATTTCTGATCCTTCACGACCAAGCTTTCCCAACAATCCGTTTACTTGTAAGATTGGCTTCTGGTCAACAACAGGAGTATCCTCTTTGGGATCGTTAGGAGCTTTCCTGGACTTGTTGGCTCCCTTGGTACCAGTGGCCTTGCGACCACGAGAAGACATGATGGGCTCATCATCAGAGTCCTCGCCGCCGTCATCTTCGCCGCCATTTTGCTTCCTTCGTTCTTCAGCTTCAACTTCGGCACGCGATCGGATGGCGAGATCGGGAATAAGAGGTATCAATTTCTCGGCTTCTTTCCGCATACCATTTGCCATTCGGCGGAGCGGGTGGTTCATGTCTTGGTTATACTTGAGGCAGTTGTCCCAGATAAGGTTAAGATCAACCACAAACTCGGTTTTGGATTTGTAGGTCAACGATTTCAACTTTTTGGTCATCGTGCCCAGATCCATGGGGTTTTTGATAACTATGGGTAAAGTTAGTAAGGCTACACGCTCGAGGGCGAAATGTGGAATCTGCCCATACAATTATAATAATCAGGAGCGTCTCTCTTGTTGACACGAGTGAGAAACGGCGTTGAGTACTCCGTGTGGGCTTTCAGCTCTGTCAACACCTTTTCTAGAGCTTCGTACAGCTCTTCTTGGTTGACATTTTCTTCGCTTGCCCACTTGCTGCGGTTTTTCCGCACTTCGTTCATCAAGATCCTAAGCTCGGCATCAGAAGCCTTTACCTGATCTCTCTTCATGTCTATCCTTGCAATGAGATGTTTGAGGGTGAGACTTGACGCGCCAAGATTCGCGCTGCTGAGAGAGCCTTGATTCGCAACTTGTGATCCAGTCGCACCTGCGCTTTGATTATTCTCCATTTCAGCCTGGAGCTGCTTCTCGGAATCTTCTAGCTGCTGCTGCTCAAGCATTGCTGTTCGGTCGTTCTCTAGTGTATATATAATCGTGTGGAAGCTTCGCCGGGCGGCGGCTTCTGTTACCATCCTCACATCTTCCAGTTGCTTGATGGCATCATCTTCAGGCTTCCCCTTGGTTTGCGATCCATCCTGGGACCTCGCTTTATCTGCTATTCTGCTAGGAGAAGTGACCGACTGAACCGGAGAACTGCCGGATTTGGACGGCGATAACAACGAGTTCGAAGCAGCTGCCGCACCCTGAGGCTTGGGAGCGGCAGACGGTACGTCTTCGTCTTCCTCGTCTTCGTCATCGTCGTCATAATCATCTTCGTCTATTGTACGCTTCGCCTTCTTTAGTGGCGGTTCTTTTATGGGTTCGTGGTCGGTGGTTGGAGGGAGGGTAACGGCAGGGGTGGGGGGGTAGCGTCGTAGAGCCTCGATCGCGTTCAAATTATAGGATCCATCGTCCGCAAAGAGCAGGGCGATCTTTTCTTCTGATTTTTGAAACAAGTCTGCGAAATGGGCGCGTCGCCTCTCGTCTTCGATATCAAGGGTTGCCTCAGGCATCAACACCAGCGAAGTGTCGACTGGGGTCGCGATACGCGCCAACCCATCGTCAACAATCTGCAAACTCCTGCTGCTGTTGGAATGATGCAATCCTGGCGGCGGCCAGGCTGCCTGACCATTAGGAAGAGTCATATTGGGCCCCGAGCGATGAAAGCGACAGCAGGGCCCCTTTCGCCATGCGCCAACAAATGCGCTCGCGTGCGGCCGGACCGGGAGCGAATGAGGACCTCAAGACAACATGGGCCAAAGGAGAAGCATCGATATAGATGGAAGCCAGAAAATCGCGACGAACGGAGATGACTTGGCCGAGTTTCGATGGATCGCGATCGCCTGGTTTGTCTGCGGATCGAGAGATGAGGTTGAGGATTTGGGAGGCTTGTACGTATGGGGAACCCTTCCCCAAAGCGGAGACTTTGCACTGGGTCACTGTTCGGCGGCAGCTGGGCCCGGTGGTACCAGCACGCTATGGGGCGCTTTACCGGACTCTTGGAGCAGGGCGACGCAAGAGGTTATGCTGCATGAAAATATCGATAAGGCTTGCTTTGCTTTGACAGGCTCTATGCATGCCGCTGCAATGATTGCTTGCTGGTTATTGGGAGCATGGGCCTACGTCGTGCGTGTACATCTCGCGGATAGAGGCATGAGCATTACGAAGTACTTCCACCCGTACTGTGCCAGTGTAGTGTTTTTCTTGCCTTAGTAAGGCTCTGTAGTAAGGGACAACCTGGAACCTTTTTTTTCCCCAGCCAAGTTCACTTACACGTGAGACCACACGTGATAGTTAGCTCACTTGCTTGAGCACATCGAGCAGGCAGGGCTTACAGAGCACAGTGACCACATAGCTGAAAAGACAAGAAGTAGAAAGCAAAGGATATTGCTAGATTTGCTTTGAATATTCTCTTTGTGTGCTTGAATAAACAACGATTTATTAGCGCTGCTGTACATAAGTTTATACCCAAGAGTGAACCGTGCCAGCTCAGACATTCCATTTCTTAGTCGCCCAGGTAAGCACCACCTGCTGAGTCGGTACGTATTCGGCTGCGCCACAGCTTCTCCAGCTCAAGACAAGCTTCCTCGCAACTCCACGCCAATTGCATGCAGATACGCTGCCTTGTATCTAGTCATTTGGTCTAGGGAGCTTTGCTGCTCTCCAGGCCGTCATATTGCTCAGACCTCTGTCACATTTGGAGCCGTTTCCTCGACTCCCCGAATCTAGCCATGCGGATAAGACTGCCTTTTGCAGGTGCGTACGTCATAAGCCCAGACCGCATCAACCAAAAAAATTCAAAAATTCATCCCTTGCATTCTGCGAATAGCACACGCGCTGGCCTTGGTAGCTCGCTGGAAGATGCTAATAGTAGTTTCAAGGTGTTTTCCTGCTTCTTCTGCTCCTGGCGGGCTATGCTGGTCTATCGACTATACAGCTCGGCGCTTATGTCAACGACAAGGTCCTTCACTTCGTAACGTTCTTCCTACTGACGGTCGTATTCTACTGGGTCGTTGATACCAATCGTCGGCGAATCCTACACATGACCCTGGTGGTCTGCACTCTCATACTTGGTGTCGGATCCGAGTTCGTACAGAGTTTCCTCCCCAACGATCGAGATTTCGACATCTACGATATAGTAGCAAACATCGCCGGTAGTTTACTTGGACTTGGCATCTGCGCGTGGTATCACAAGCGAATGCTTGAAAGAAAACGACAGCGCAAACACTATGACGCTGTCCCGGGTGAGGACACTGAAGATGTAGAACTGGGGCAAGGTCAGGAGTCTGGAATCACGGACGCTTCAAGTCGAAGCAGGACTCTTGAAGAAGAAGTCGATAACTGGGATGAAAACGCTGAAGACAACTGGGATGATGACAACGCATCGATTCCCGAAACGCCATCGCCTGCAATCGCCAAAGAAGCAGAGGCAGCCGGTGCTCGGGAAGCTAAGAAACGAACAGATTAACATGGTTTGGCTTAGTATCTGGAGTTTGGGTCGATCTGGGGGGTTCATATGTATACACAAGTACGATGACGGGATAGGGCTGTTGGCGTTTCGTGTCGAAAATATGTCATCCAGACGCAACAGTATGAAATGGGGAGGGTAGACGATGTATATGTGCTCATGCCCTTTAGCTATATGTCTCTCTAAGCATGGTGGATAAAACGCCATTCAGCTGCATATTTTTAGCAAGAATAAGATAAAAGTTTGCCTACCATCGAGTACAGTCTACCCATGAAAAGAGCAATGGTAAAAAATCATTCCTGTGAGCTTTTACTTGAAAACAATGCTCATCATGTTCCGCGATATGCATCAGAGACGGCGCAGTGATTTATGGCTCACGCGTAAGCTATATACCACGCCAAGGGGAGCCGCAGATGGAGATCCACGGCTAGGCCATCTAGAAATTTACCTCCATTCAATTTTTTTTGGTTGTTGTAATTCATCATCTTCCGTGAGGCACAATAATGGCCTGAATGGAGCACATCTTGATTCTGGACAAGTAGATGGGCCTTGACTTACCCTGCATTTTGGCTAAAATATTCGTGACATTATTCTTGTAAAGGAACCCCTCCATCTGCCCCTCACCTCACCTTCGGTGAGGTACCCACTATTATTCCTGCGAATTGTCCCATGGCGGCATGACCTCCTGGAGTTGTGTCCAAAATCTCCAATTCTATGCGCTGAGAGACGCACTGCAGCAAAGATGGCGAGCTCAGAAAAACAGCCAGTCGTAAGGCAAGTGGAGCGGCAGTAAAGAGCTGACATTTGATCTGCGAAGGTGCTAACAAAGCTGGACACAGTGGTAAAGATGAGACTCCGACCAACCCAAGGGGAATTCCCTACGCACCCTTCGTCGACAAGGTCGAGGACTACGTATCAACCCGGGATGATGTCGAGCCGACGCTTCGGAACTTCCAAGAAATGATCTCGTGAGCTGCGACAATTTGGACTGTTGCCATGGCAAAAGGGCTAATGAGCCCGTGGTAGGAAGTATCAGTTCATGGAGCTGAACCTGCAACGTCGAATGACGGGGCTGAGGGAGAAGATTCCTGATATCCAGAAGACGTTGGATACCGTGCAGTTCCTCAAGCTGCGAAAGGTTCGACTTTGCAAAGCAATTCCGAGGAAAACAGCTTGCTCATGCCTGAGTTTAGGAGGAGACCGATCCCATTGAGACAACCTTTGAGCTCAACGATACTTTATATGCCAGAGCAAATATCCCACCGACTGAGGAGGTTTACATTTGGCTAGGGGTATGATGGGAGTTCTGGGAAAACTAGGACTGTCAAGCTGACTGTACTACAGGCCAATGTCATGCTGTCTTACCCAGTCGATGAGGCAGAGACGCTATTAACCTCCAAACTCTCAGCGGCTAAAACAAGCCTGTCAAACTGCGAGGAAGACTTGGACTTTCTCCGAGAGCAGATTACCGTGAGTAGCCTCCTGGCCTTTGAGAAGTTGGTTTAGTTGGGTTGCTGACAATGAGTTTAGACCATGGAGGTTGCAACTGCGAGGGTTTACAATTGGGAGGTAGTACAAAAGAGAAAAGAGAAATTAGAGGAAGAAGCAGAGAAGAAGAAGCTGAAGGACAGTGATGCGTAATAGACACTTTGGAAAGGTTTCACATTTCTTTCTGGCTGGCCACGAGGAGCTCTATTCCAACAGGTGACTTTTATATAGGTGCAAAAAAAAAATACATGGGCGTTTTTTCTATCCTGTATGATAATTTTTAGAAAATATTTGCACTTGGATCATTTTCCAGCGATAAAGTCGATCGCGAGCTACCTCATGAGGCTTGATGAATGGTACCTTAGTAGGAGTCTGTCCGGACTACCCCATAATAGAAGGGACCCGCTTTTGGGCACGCCCCGATTGTTGCATTTGTATGGCAGGCCGAATTTGAACTTTTGGAAGACTCGCGATAACGCTTTAGCTACTCCCTCCAACCGCCCCATTTTCACGACAGAGGCTTCTTCAACGGACCCTTGCTGGCCGTGTTGGAGATATGAGGAGGAATGCTCAGAAATGCAACACGGGAGTTGGAGCAAAGGCGGCGGGTGCCGCGCCAACTGTTCCATCCATCTTTGGTAGGTGCCCATGAATTTCGTCGAAGGGGAGTTTGGCATCTCATATTTGCCTTTTTGCAGATGGTCCATGGATCGCCGTTGCACATCTGTAGCCGACGAGCTTTCACGTCGCAAGCCGCCATTGCTGTTGGGCGCGAGGCTGGAAGGATCTCCAGATTCGACCAAGACGATCGTATTTTTGAAGCGCAATCTGCTCGACACATCCCGCGAGCTACAACATCGACCGGCTATTACAGACACACACCTCGATCTCCCGCACATAATTACGAAAACCATCCAACTAGCCAGTATGAGTTTCCTACGAACAGTTCCTCACAACATGGGCAGCATAAAAATACCAATGCCGAACCCACCGAAACCAACACACTTCAAAGCTCTCTAGATTCGTCGAAGCCGTCCTCTCCCTCACGCCGCCGTCGCAGAGCTGGACATTCCTCTACGTCTCCCACATCATGGCGTTATAAATCACCTAATTTCCTACTGCAGCGGGTACTGGAAGCCAATGAAGATACCGAGAGTTGGAGGATACAGGCTGCTGCGAGTCGTAGCGCTCGTCTTCCAATAATCCTGCTGCAGATGATCATTCGCAAGACAGCATCGCAAGAACCCCGCCAGAATGAGCTTCTGGATCTCCTTCCATCTTCTCAAGAATGGGAAAAGGCAATGGACGTCGTACGGCGAAATGGCCATTCACATACTGACTTGGCTTATTATCTGTATATTCTCGAAGGCAAGACAGATGACGTGCGCTGCGAAAGGTTTCTTGAACGCGATTCATATAAGCCACCATTTATTTTACACTTTCTCCTCCGGCAATCTTCTAAATTCACCAGGCTCGAGACTCTCGATCGTCTTATTAGCCATTGTCGCTCTTCATATCTGGATGTGATGAGAGCCGAATCGGATAGAACAAGCGTCCGGACCAAGAAATCAAAGCGGGCACATGGACCGGCGAGTTTCAATTTTGTCATGTCCCTTCTTGCGCACCACTGCATACGGCTTGATGCTAGACACACTGTCAAACTTGGAGAACTAGCTGTTCAATATATTGAGACAATAGCGGAATCATCCCTACCACAAGAAGAAATCTACCAAGCTCAATGCTTGGTGTTTAACCACGGCCTTCGACTGTTTGGTTCGGACTACCGCAGGCACTCGATTCAGAAGTCATCACCAAATTCATTCTTTTGGGAAGCACAGAGAATTCTTCTTGCTGTTTCTTCCAGATTGAAACGGCAACTGCTGGTAGACGTGGAGGGTTTCCGTGCAATTAGAAAAGTATTGGCAGGCATGTCCAAAAACCAAGTCGAAATACACAGTTCGGTTAGACACGCGCCTACATGGCCCCCGTATTTACTACCTGGAGATGGCATGGATGAAGAGATGGATCCCGAAGACAGCTGGAGCCGGTCTGTGAGAGCGGGAGTATTGATGCAAGAGGCTGGGTTCGCAAAAGACGCGCACGATGACGCTGTTGATATCCTACAGGGCATGTTTCCGGATGGTACACCGACTATACAGCAACGGGTGTCGCTGGCGAGGAGTCGGAAGGTGGGCCTATGGGAGGCTTCCATCAGAGCTACGCGCAATGCACAGGAAGCTTGGGAGAGGTTCCAGAATCCTCCCGAAGAGGGCCTTGAACTCGGCTTAGCGGAGTATACCGCGATGTTTGAAAAGTTGACGATGAGAGAAGCCGACGAGAACACAAGAGCCCTCCCTGGTGACAGAGCCTTAAACTTCCCTACTCCTCAGGAAGCCAATCTTACCGAATTTGAAAGGGCTCGCATTCGCCCGCCAAGTGTCTCTCAGCTTTACGAGAAGATGCTACTGGATGGTATCCGTCCAAGTGGCAACTGTCTTGCAATCCTGGTGGCCAACACTGAATCAATGGAAATGGCGCGGAAGTATCTACACGATTTCGATCGAACTGGAGCTCTTTATCGTCTGGTATCTCAAGAGATGGATGCCCAAGCTCTGAAGAAGGTGCCTATTGGCCTTATCTCAGCATATATCCAAGTGATGACACGACAAGAGGGCAAACGAGCAAGAAAATACATGATACGGGCTATTGAATTGGCGGAGCAGCGATTGGGGCCCAACCAGACACAGTGGTCCAATTTCATCTGGGGAACGATTCTGAAAAACCTATCACAACACCATCACGGGCTGAGGATAGTTGTTTATCAGCAGCTCAAGCTATCTCTCCATGTCATACAGAAACTTGATGGACCTGATGGTCTTCCACTCCCCGCATTCATACAGTTCAGTAAGACCATACGAAAGATAGCTAAGCGCGAACTCGAACAGCTTTCCACCGAATTGGAATCTGATTCGCCGACGACTAGAGACCACGCGCTGTGGGCGTTGTACGACGAGAAATCTAGGCACAGGGATGCTATGCAATGGGATACTTTCGATAATAGACCGGGAGCGCTTGGCGTGTTTCGCCACTTCCGGTCTTCCGCTTTGCGGATGAATGAGTTGTTTGACAAACTTGCTTCACATGAAAGAGAAAGCCGGCGACTACTGGGTACGACGAAAGTGGCACCATTGGATGAGATGATGTGGCGAAGGGACCCAGCTCGAAGCGAGCACGCTTACGAGTATATGATTTCCTTGGCATACTTGGGCGAGTTTCAACAGATGGTCAAGCTGCTGAGTTGGTTAATCAAGGTGTGGGGGCAGCCTGACATGGTTCACGCATTGTCGGAGCTGGACGAGCCGCCGCCGTATGCTGATTTTGTGAAGACACTCTGCGCTTTTCGATTCTTGGCCGAGCCGATGCTCGAACCAGGGGTGGTGAAGTCTTTGCGGGAAGCAATTGGCGCGGCGGGATTGCACTGGACATGGCCTGACGAGGAGGCTGTGGAGGCGTACGTCCATATGCAAGAAGATGAATCTCTTAATGTTTTGGCGCGCGTGCTGGAGCGGGTGCGCTTCTCATGGACAGAAGATACAAATAGGGCTACTGAGGTGGAGCGCGGCAGTGAATGGAGAAGCCATGTATAAGCTGGGCCAGGGAATCTACATGTAAGCAATATTTGAAACAGGGAGCATGGTATTGGGGCGTTTGCAAGGAGAAATCGGCTTTGACGACGGTATATGAAGCTAGCACACTGTGATTTGTATATAGTAATCCTGTTTGGAGAGGCGGGAACTGAACCGGGGCCTGTGAATCATCCCGGAGAATAGATGGTAGAATTAACACTACTCACATATGAGGTTAAAGTTGATATCGTATTGTGCCTTGGTGATACATGCAGGAACACAAAGGTGGACATATTAGTAACTGGTTCACAAAACTTGGCCACTTGGTACTACCAGGTCAGGTAGTCTAATTTCTGCTGCTTCTATTCTGAGGTTGCAGAGGGCCGAGCGGCTATCGTAGTCTCATCTTAAATCTAGAGTGCAGGGGGTCGAATGGGCTTCCGATTGGTGTGCAGATCCCGACCTGGAAAGCTCAGCGGGTGGTACAAAGTACATTGGTAAACAAGGTAGATGTAATACAAGAAAATGCACAAGCAAGAAAGAATAAAATTGTGCCATTTGTTTAGAGATTGATCTGATGGATCGGAGAGAATTGAAACAGCTTGCTAGGCTGGGACTTGGCTGTTTGAATACGCAAACGAGTGCCTTTGACAGTGGACGCTTTGAAACCACGCCATGCTCACGGGACGCACATCCGAACGAAGGAAAGACATCCCCCCAAAAGAGTAAAAGAACAAAGAAAACGAAAAACCAGGCTGCGAACAAGCCTATCCTCACCACCAAAGCCAGCGCGTGTAATACGAAACAAGCCCGCCGGAAAAGAGGCATGCAAAAGCCAGCGACTGGCGCTTAACCCAAGCCTACCGTTGCAGCCTCCCCCTGGTGCTGAGCCACAGGTGGCATCGGTGGGGCGGCGCTGATAGGCCAGCACGCCTCGCCGGCTCAGACAGCGGCTGCACAGCAGCTCGAGCAAGTTACATCCAATATCCAGTATTTTCTTGGGGGTCTTGCGGTGACCAACCGCGCGGATGCGGCCGAAAGCTCTCAGACGGCGAGCGTGAAGGCGATTTTTTGCTAAGCGGGAGGCTGCAGCGAAAGGCCCTGGTTCGACTGGGGGAGACGTTTACGAGGACTTACTTTGATGCTGGGATTGGGATTGGGGGAGCGAAGGCCATCAAACCATGCGCGTCTATCGTTTAAGGCGGAAACGATTTGATGGGCTCTTTTTTTACTTTTCTTTGTTTGCGGCGGATACATAATACACGGGGCGATCCTTTCCCAATGCTTCTTCTTCTTGGTTCCCGATCTGATGATTAACGTTGCATGTTGTGTCTCTTGTGTGTGTGTTTCTGGTGCTCTGGTTAACCTGGGTTCCTTTTTCCCACCACTTCTCTCATTCATTCTCTTACTGTCATCTCTTTTCTCCATTCTTTTCTTTTCTCTTCTTTCAGTTTCTTCTCTCTGAGGTTCTACCCTTTCCTTATTTGTCTGTCGATCACGCTCACTTGCAGTTGTATGCTGCCTTTGTTTGAGTTACCACGTTCCCTTCCCATCGTCTATTCACTGCTATTAGGGCTTTCAGTCTGCCTCTATCTAATATCCTTTCCTTTTTCACCATCTGTTTCCCCTTTTCTCATTTTTCTTTTCGTCTTTCGAATCGTCCTATTTCGCTCTTTGTCAAGTTCACTGTGACACAGTCCGCACACAACCATCTCTTGTGTGTTGAACACGCATAATTATTATCAATCATCGTTCAATCCTTTGTTCACACTTTATGGTATAGCAAACTGCATCGATTGTTGATCTTTACTGTATTCGAACCCCTCCCTACTTTCTTTTCTTCTACTTCATCGCTGCGCGATCTCTTTCCTGAAGTCCCATAATGCGTTACGATATACTCTTCAGCGCCTCGCTGGGCATGTTCTTGGCTGCTCAGCCTGCACAGGCTGGTCCATTGCCACGCTTGAGAGCCAGAATGTAAGTCTTTTCAATACCATGAGTTTTATCTGTACTATTGCATCATGCTAATCCTCTTCTGTGTTTGTGTAGGCCCAACGTTGCGCGAGCTGACACAACCGCCGTATTTCAGACGTCGCCAATTCCTAATGAGGCCGGGTAAGTCGCCTTGAACTGATAAAAGGAGAAGACTTGGAGTAAAGAAAACACACATGTCTAACACATCTGATTTCTAGGCCTTCTACTGAACCCGCTGCGTCTTCAGCTTCAACTCCTCGCCCCATCTTTCAAACCTTGACGGGCTCGTCAGTAGATATACCCGACTCTCTCATCTCTGGCACACCTTCTCAGGTTCAGAGCCAAGCTCCAGCCACATCTTCGGCCCCAGGAATCACTGTCATCCCGATTGTGGACTCTTCAACCACTGCAGCCGCCGGAACGAGTGCTCCAGCTGACAGTACCGTCGAAACTTCGGCTCCGGTCGCTACACCAACTACGTCTAGCAGTGTTATCGAGACTTCTACCCAGGTTTCTGTTCCAACTACGTCCAGTACTGCCGTTGGCATTCCTACTACAAGTGCTACCTCGGCTACTTCTGCCGAGCCTGCCAGTACAAGTGCGACTAGTCATGTGGCTGACCAGTCCACGACAATTGCGTTCCCAAATGATAGAGCCACCACCATTGCTTCCCCTGAGGGATCCAGCACCACTGCTGGCACTCCTACCAATGTTGCTACCTCGGCCACAGCTCACAGTACCTCTGTGGGAGAAACAACCTCTGTAGGAACAACAACCTCTGTTGGAACAACAACCTCTGTTGGAGGAACAACTTCTGTGGGAGGAACGTCAACTTCTGTGGGAGGAACAACAACTTCTGTGCGACAGACAACCTCTGTTGGAGGAACGACAACCTCTGCTAAGCCTTCGTCGACAGAGGCAACTTCTCAGACAACACCAACAAGTGCTTCAACTACGGGATCTGGGGCTTCAAGCTCTGCTACTGTAAACACAGAGTCTCAGACGGCGACAACCGGGGTTAAAGAATCTACAACTGCACCTCTGACTACTGATACTGCCGCTTCTTCTGCAAGCACTGAGGCTTCGACCACTACCAACACTGCGGCTGCCACTACTGCTTCAACCACGGCAGCCCAGACTCAGACGACTGACCCTGTCTCCGAGACTACAGCTCCGACAACGCAGACGAGTGTTACTAGCCAGACGCAGCTGAGCTCAAGTGCTGGCAGCACGACGGTGTCGGCTAACCCTTCCACTACAGAAGGTACTTCTGCTATTACTGAAGGCACTTCTTCTACTGCTGAAAGTACTTCTGTTACTACTGGAGCTGCTTCTCCTACTACAGAAGGTACTTCGGCATCGCAGACTCAGGCCCCAGGAACCACTGCTGCCGAGTTTACTACAAGCTCTATCCCCTCAAAGCCAGTAGTTGACTCTACAGTTCTGACTCAGCCTCACTCTACCACCAGTGCGGCCGCTACATCCACTGGAGGAAGCAGCCTGACTTCAAGTGCTACCAGCCCTGGAACTACTGTTGCAACGTCCGAGACCACATCTTCTACCGAGTCGCCAACGAGCTCAGCCTCAACCTCAGAGATTGCATCAACTCGTGACACAGCGTCTAGCTCCACGTCAATCGCGTCTACCGCTGCTACAAGTGCCACGAGCGAAGCGATGTTCTCGACTTCGTCAATCCCAACTGAAGCCACAGCGCCCCCAACCTCTGCATCCTCCACAGCCTCGTCAACTTCAAGTTCAACTTCATCCAAGGGTAGCACTTCCAGTCAGGCTGCCACTGTACCAGCTTCAAAACCGGAGAGCACGCAGCAGTCCACCCTGACGAAGCCTGTATTCCTCCCTACCCCTGAGCTCCCTACTTCCAGCTCCTCATTGAGCTCTGCGCCATCCACCGTTGCAGCCTCCCCGTCATCGTCAGCCTTACCTCCGCCCCCACCTCCTGCAACAACGGCCACGTCTACGACAAGACTCACAGCTACTGTCACCGTTCAGCCTACGGGAACACCTGATCTTGCTGTCCCTACTGCTTTCGAAACCTTCCCCACAGGCACCTCGACCGTTCCGGCTCAGGTCTTTGCAAGCAATCTCGCCCAAGCCCAGCAGTACAACAATGTCTTCAAGACTCTGACCCCCAACTCTGCTTGCACCGGCTCCCAAGCGGCTTGCATCGACGGCCAACTTGCCAAGTGCGGTCCCAACGGGGCGTTCACACTCGAGGAATGCACCATCCCGGGAATGAAGTGCTTTGCTCTGCCAATGACAGTTACAGAGGGCGTCTCGGTGGGATGTCATGACACTTCTGAAGCAGAGAACATCCTCGGCGCCACGGCCGGACCTCAGAGCAGCTCGCCGGCCCCCACACCGGCCCCTACATCGGCTGCCCCTACACCGGCCGTCCCCAGCGATGATCCGGTTAATCCTCCGGCGATAACTCTCACCACCATTATCACCATCAGCGATCGGCCACCTCCGCCGCCTGCAACTACATCGGCCTCTTCGACAACTCCAGTGGTGCCCCAGGAGCCTTCATCGACGCCCGTTCCTGAACATCAGCCTCAGCAGCCGACTCTGGACCCCGTCGTCCCTCCTCCTGCCACCACCAGTTCTGCGGCTCCTCCTCCTCCTCCTCCTTCGCCGCCGCCAGCACCAACTACTTTCCAGACCATCAAGACCAGCCAGCCCGCTCCCGTAGTCACGCCCCCCTCGGCCCCCGTCTCTGCGTTTCTCCCCCCTCCTAACCCCACGAGCCTCGTCCTCATCCCCATCCCTAACGATCCCGCCCCATCGGAGCTTGCCATTCCTAGCTCCGAAGGCAATCCTCGTACTACCGCAGTGGTCAACGGGACTCCTACCGTGTCGGTCTTCTTCACAGTCACTGTCACTCAACAGGAGAAGGAGACTGTCACCGTCACTGTCAGCGCTTAAGAGGGCGAGTTGTTCTGTACACGGGAATCTCATACATGGGCAGGTTTGCAATAGGCTGGGTTTGTTTGTCTTACAACTGCACACTTTGCTTAATCTATCCAACGTTTTGTTTTGTTTTCTTTTGTCTCCGCGTTCTTTTCCTATGTTTCAATCTACAAATAATCTTGTAGTCGGTCGTATAACAGGGGAACAGGGGAAAAAAATAATGCTTTGGTGCGGGATCAAAATTGTTTTCATATATGAATTGGACCCATACGGGAAAGGGAAAGGCCACCTTTTAATGAAGTACATATACTGAATGGAGATGGGAAACGAACACATCGTGGAGTTTAATACCAAAGTCGGGAGGTAGTCTGTCTGTTTATCCTTTCGCTCATGCATTTAGTTCGATTTTTTGCTCTCAATATCTATATACGTACAATCTCCAACACGTCTCCCGTAATAACGTTGTTCCATCGCTATGTTATGAAAGAAAAAAAAAACAAGAAAGAAAGGGCATATTGTTTCTTCATTACCCTTTCGTGAATCAATGCTAGTTCCGGGGTTTCCGTTTCGCTTCATGCCCCGAATGCTGTATGTCCGACTGTGATCCTTCTATGAAGACTTCGTGATACGAGATTTCCGACGATGGGAGGCCATAACATAGAGTAGAATGGGACCACTCAAGAAGAAGAAAAGAAGGGGGTAAAAAAGGACTACAAGATAATAGTAGAAGCAGAAGATGTATGCTAGGATGATTGCCACCTTTGTTGGTGACATGGGAAAAAAAGAGGAGGGAAAAAGAAGCAGGCATTAAAAATTCATGTCCAAGTTGCGCCAGGTAAAGACATCCCTGCGTAGTAATATTGAAGTGAAGTTGAAAAAAAAAAATCCAAAGAAGAATGAAACAAAGAAGGGCCAAAAAGCGTGAGGAATACCCCATCACTCAACCTGCTGATGCTGAGCTCTTACTTCGCAAAATCGCGGCTGTAAAGTCCGAGGCTGCTCTGCCGCGGTTAAATCGCTAATTTGTTGCCGGCCGAAAGTTGCCAGCAAAGGGACTCGCAACCTCGAGCCTCTTAGCCGCTGGTTCACGGCTGCTGGCTTCCTCGTCCACAGTGCCGTACTTGTCCTGCCAGAGCTTCCGCATGACTTGGTAGATGAACCGGTATTGGATTTCGCCTTGGACCATGCCGCGGCGTTGCTGACGGAGGCTATCAACCGCTTGAAAGACAAGATCGGCACGCTCCATAGGCAAATCGTATCTTGCCAGGTATCCTGCGTTTAGTTCCCTAATCAAATGTTCAAGACAGATGAATGTACCCGTACGACCTACACCCGCGCTGCAATGAATAATGCGTGGGGTTGATGGTGCGCAATACGATCGCGATAGCTTCATTAGCTCTAGAAAGCTGTCCAAGTCATCCGAAGTTGGTACACCAAAATCGGGCCAGCGTCTGTAGAGGAAATGCCAGACAACGCGGGGTTCTTTCTCCCCTTGGACATGAAGGAGAAGTTTGCGCTTCTCAATTGCGCCACCTGCAAGCTCCTCCACCGAAACAAAGGTGAGGTCTGCCCTCCAGTTGTCGTTCCACAGATTATAGTCGTTGACACCCCAGACGGTATCCTGTCCGCCTGTGGGAAGTTCATCGCCCATGGGGAAATATTGATCACACTTGATCACATCAAGCTCAATCATGTTTGTGAGCTGCACAATGACAGCGGGGGAGGGACACTGTTCAGCAATCATGCGCCAGACATGGTCGAATGAGGATACCGTAGGGCCTTGCATGGCAAGGTAACGCAACGGCGGCTTGTTCGGGTCAGTCGGGGACGTAAGAGTAATGGCAGAGGCGTTGACATAGTCGAATTCGGTTTCTGGGACCCGAAGCTTGACCCGGTTATAAGCCCAGGGTTTGATGTTAATGTAGCGATCCATCTTCTCGAACGTATCGGCGTGCTTGTAGATGATCCATCGTGCATCCCCCATGTTGTCGTCTCGCATGCCCTGCGCAACTCTGACTCGCTCAGCCCAGGTGAGTTCCTGATACTTGACGTCGATGTCTGTAATGGCGTGCGATGTTAGCGGGGCGGGAGTACTTGTAGCGCCAGTAGATATGACGTGCATATGCATTCGGCTTGCATATACAGCTTATCTTGGTGAGAGATATGACGCACCTTGCTGCGACAGCGTCAAGAAGGCTGGCAAAACTGGTGGCGGCTGGTTGACGCTCCTGCGGCGATCCTGCACAGGCGGTGATTTGTGTTGCGCTGGCTGAGACGCTGGTCGCGCAGGCCTCTGCGGCGACTGGATGCCATCCTGGGCCACCACGACGGCTGACGGCGTGGTTGGAGTGAGGTCTGAAGGAGGACTGTCCCTAGCGCGCTTCGACGGGCCTCGCAGTCGCAAGCTCTTGAATGGTGACATTTTGTGGTGCGTTCGCTGCACCGAATCATTGACGCTCATGTTTTCCGATGCGACGGCGGCATTGCGATCGAGGGCCGTCTCGATGACTGGAGGTTTGGGTTTCCGGCGAAACTTGGGGATCTTATCCATGACAGCCAGGGAGGAGATTTTGGTAGCCCTGGCGGCTGCCTTTCTCACGGCTTTGGCCAAGAAGACAACTAGGCGTGCTGGATTAGCCGTTGCTGTCGCTGTCGCCGTGGATTTGGATTTCGGATTTCGATCGTTGGCGGGTTTGGTTGGTGAGAGCGGCGACCGAGAAAAATAATAGTAATATCAAGGTATGGATGTACCTGGTTTGCGAAGAGGAAAAAAAGTAAAGATTCTGTCAAGGAGCGCGCGAAAGTGAAAGAGAGATAGAAAAAAAGCGGGAGAAGAAGGATATGATGAGTCCGGAGTCTGGAAGAGGAGGCGATGGCAAGAAGAGGAATATGCAATCGCGGGAAAGTGCGAGGGGATCTGGTGTAGAGGTTCCCAGCACACGGCGCAGGCGGCGCTGACGGAAGTGGTACCGGTACCTGCTAATGAAGCCAATATTGGATTTGATGCATGCAATCTGAGGGCTGTAAGATTGCCCGATGCTTTAGCGAAGATGGATTGCTTACGAACACTAGATTGATCGTAATACTAGCACCGGGTACATACATGTATTAGTAGTGCCTTGTAGTTTCGGTAGGCACCCGGTGGTATCCCCGGTACAGTAATAAGGATGGACAATACTCCGTGAGCAAAAAATGATACATCTGCTGTTGAGATTGAAACATCTGACCAGGCCAAGAGCGCCAGGCTTGGGATATTGATTGCATGCATGCATATACATGTACATCACAGCGCACTAGGCCGGGATTAGCGCCGTCACATTGATGCCAACTTCTTCAGTGGAGTTCCGCAGCGCATCGCGTCGATTCCAAGCACGCGACTTGTGTAAGTGCACCCAGTACCTGCATGCCGCATCCACCACTAAGACGCTGCCAGTTATTTTTGTTCAAACATAAGGTGTGGTCATTTGATTCGCTTCCTCCTCCTGAGCGCGTCATCCAGCCAGCCCCGGGACAGAGGCTTGCTCGCGTCAGCTGAAGCTCGTGTCGCCGCCTTTGGTGACTGTGCTTGGCTCGGCGTGTTTTGCATCTGCGTCTGTGTGTGCACATCACTCAATGTTCCCAGAACGGGGGCAAATCATAATGGAGAGATCGATCCATCCTAATAATATCTTACAGTACATGCACCTCAGGCACAATCCACAATGTTTTTCCTTCCGACTCCCTTGCATCACCTGTTCTTTTCTTTTCCTTGCTTTTCCTTGCTTTTTTTCTTTTCCCTTCTCTTTCCGTTTTTCTTTTTTTTTTCCCTCATCTTTCCAACCATTAATTCTTCGCACCGCCATCTTTGGTTTCAACACACCATGTGAGACATGTGACACCCAACAACTTATAAGCCAATACAAATCCCGTATGTGTATGCTCAGCAATAGGCGGATATGCGCATCCAACATCCTGCATCAGCTGAGCCCCGACCTATTATTACCCTCTCCATCACTCTATACTTGTACATGGCTTTTCGTCTCCCCCTTTTTCTTGCTTCCATCAAACGGCAGAGTAAACCCCTGTGACAAATCTTCCGCATTCAACTTTTTGTTCCAGCGTCACTTTGCGGCCCTTGCCGCCTTCTCCTAGCCGGGCAGTTTGTCGAGGTGTCAGACATAATCTGTGCCGTCCTGCGTCCCCATCCAATGGTGAAATGTATGTAGGTGTGTTCAAGTTATTCCGCTTGCCTGTTCCTAGCTGGTAATGTTCGTTGCCTCCCCAGAAGACCACGTCAGATCCCCAGTATGTCTCATTCTCAGAGGACCGGCTCGACACAGAAGTCTGTGTCACATTGTCCATGATTGCGGCGCCATGAGTCGCGCCAATGTTCAGAGTCTTGATCTTGATAGGCACTAGCTGGTTGCTTCTCTCGTCAAACTCAGAGAGTCCTGAAAGCCCCTTCAGTTTGGTAGGTCCGAGAGAAACATGAGTCCATTTGCCAGTACCAAGCGAGCCAGTGGTGCCTTGCCCTGCGGCCCAAATGTCAAACGTGCTGTGAGGTAATCTCCTTGAAGGTGCTGTGGCGCCGACCTCGGTGTTGCTGGTGTCAGGCACATCAGCTTCACAGGAAAAGAAGGTATTCAAACCACCGGCAGCGATTGACGAAACTTTGGGTACCAGCCCACTGCTTCCGTACAGCTTGTGAGTTTGTAAAATAGTAGGGGTAGAGACAAAAGCACTGCCCAGTTGGGCCTCAAAGCCAAGTTGACCAAAAGTGTTGTCACCAAACGTAAAGATGCGTCCGAGCTTATCTAGAACAACCGAGTGATAGTCTCCCGTTGCGATTTGCTTGATATCAAACCCCTTGAGCGAAATGACTTCATGTGGTTGATCATAGCGCCCTTTTGGGCGTGTCTCCCAGGTGAGGCCTGGAATGCCCATTTGACCCTTGGTCGGAAAGGATGAAGCGCTCGAGGCACAGGAGAAAACTCGTCCGGTTGAAGTTCGCAGCAAGCAATGCTCTTGTCCGCTGCTGATATCGACAACGCGCTCACCCCATCTGAGCCCTGTTGGGGTCAAGCTTTGGAAGCTGATAGCCTCGCTGCCAGACGAAGACCAGAGGGACCAAGAGCTCTTCTCCTGCTCCAGCTTCTTGCCGCCCTGTTGATCATCACGGGAGGCCGGTATGGCATATACCGAGCCGCCGCGAGATAAAGCAATAATCCGGTCCTCTGATACTTCAATTTTGGCAAGATCCTTGCCCTTCAGAGTCGTCACCGGCGTTGGATCTGCCTTGGAAAACCCCAAGCCCCATTGCACAAGGTCGCCCTTCTCCGTGATGGCTGCGCCAAAATCCTGAGTGAGCTTCAAGTCACGGAGAAGCTGGTTGTCGAAATGGGATATTCTACGCGGAAGCTTGATGTTCTTCTCATTCGAACTAGGGTCAATGACTTTTCCCGTATTCGAGCCCCAAGCATAAACTCCGGGATGCTCCCAGCTTTTCTTCACCTGCATGTGCTGGGAGCTAATCAGCTCGCGGTTCTCTTCCTTTGAGGCAGCGTGCTTGCGAGTCTTTTCGAATTCCAAGTCAGCTTTCTGATACCCTGGCTGGGCTGCTTCAGGAGCCGAGCTCAGTCGAGCTTGGAGCTTAGGATAGTAGTATGCTCCTGCTGCCGCCACGGCGAAAACAGCCGCAAATCCCACGGCTTTCCCTCCCCGCCGCTTGGGCCTCCCTTCAGCTGAGTCACTGGCGTATCGAGCCCATTGGCGCTGATTCGTGGCGAGATGTGGTCGAGCCGAGAGACGAAGACGGGACGCTCGCCGAAGGGCGGACTGAGAGGCATTCATAGCTACGGATCTCTGACCTAGGTATTGCTGCTTAGATGCTCAATCAATACCGGAGTACACCTGATGGCCCCGCTGTGGACTGGATTGATCTGCGTATGAGTGCAGCGACCGACTGTGAGGTCGCAGATGCCATGAGATCATGCACTACGGAGTATCCATGTATGCAAAAGTAAAAAAGGCTTTTAGTGCATACATCCCTGTACTGAAGCTTTCGGCGACCCGATGATGTCATGCCGCTAATTGGCTGGTCCAAGCTGCGAGCTGCCAATAGCACACACGCTATTTGCTACCCATTCAACATCAACAATTCCCATTCTTGCCATTGCACAGTTGATGCATCAACTATCCAAGACGCATTTTGAGAAACAATCTTGGGTAATGAAGATACCACGAATAGCAATTACAAGATTTACACCATGCACAGGGTCATTGAGGCACTTGATCCATTTCCATCTTTCATGGAGTAGATAGCTTGTCAGCTATGGAAATTAGCACCTAAACAAGGATAGATAGGGGCTGTCTTTTTTGCTTCCCCAGGAGGCTGAGAAAGGAATGGAGAAAGGAAAACGCCCAAGGTTTTATCCCTGCCAGCACGATGCGGCTAATTCTCATCATGTACTTGGTATACTCTGCCACTTCCCTCACCCTCGGTAGAAAACAGAGAAACAAGATAGATACTTGCCGGCAAGGTCTTCGAGTGCAGAAGATGAGATGTTGAAGAGGCTTACACAGTATGGTTCTAAGGCTAAGAAAACATTAAGCTAATAGCCTCTCTTTGTTAGAGGTCTGGAAGAAAGTAGGAGAAAGGGAAGCTTATTTGACGATCAATTGGGGTAGGCCAAAAGCTGGTGTGCGGCAGTGCCACTTATATCGGATTCGAGCACCGCGATGTATATTATTACTCATTATCTTGACCATCCAAACACTCAATTACGTGACAGAGCCTAAATTAAGTAATTTGTAAATGGAATTATGATCATTTTTATAGTTATGATTTTCTCTCTCGAATTACTGCATAAATTCGAAGAAATCATACAGAGACATCTATCTGGTCACTAAGTTAGAGGATGGTGATACTATAATGCAGTGCCCAATGTTCATTGTTGATTTATGGGCATACCGGCCCTTAACAAGAAATCGAAGTAGCAAATTCTCATGGAACTTTCACAGAAACTAGAAAATTGGCAAAAGAAAATTTACTAGATTAAAAAATGCCGAAGAGTGATCATGTCTGAATTGAATCGTTGCGCGGTATAAGTAGAGAATGTGCTTAGTCATCAACTAACTTCCAAGACCATCGCAGCAGTACTTTACTTTTCTATGGGTCTCGTATATTCCTGTCAAGTACCGTGGGGTGGTGCAGCAGTTCCCAAATAGTGACCACGCAGCAGTCGGCGCACTCTCCCATCTCTCGAGTCTTGCTTCCAGCTCCGAGCCGCCATGTACGAGGACGGCTGGTACAGCTTCGTGCCAGAGCTTGGAAACGGTAACAATGGCAGAACCGAGACGTCTAGTGGCAGGGCCCGTGGGCACCAGCGCAAGGAATCGCTCCTACAGCAGCCAAATGTTGGTGTCGGCCATCGCCCTTTCATTAGCATGTTATAGACGACTTACTCTGTCTAGGAGCCGAACAATATCGCCGAGACGCTGGAGGATGTTCTGGAAGAATTAGAGAACACGAACGACCCTCCCGAACCCACATTACATCGACGAGCCGCTTCATACTCCGACTTTTACGATGTTGTCAAGGCGGAGCTTCTCAAAGACTCTCAGCGCAAGTCGCGGCGGAAGGTTGACAGGAAGAGCAGAAATTGGGAGGCCCTGACACTTTTCCACGAGGGCTCTGAAGCTTATCAATATCCCCAGAAGGAAGCCGTGTCCTCAGAATCGCTGGATAACCGGCTCCTGGAGGAGAGTCAGCGAGAGTATTTGTATGGCTCTAGAACACATGCGCGACGAGCCTAGCTAACCAACAGCCAGGCTTTACCGCGATCAATTGAAAATGACCGAGCGCCACCTGGAAGGCTTGATCGACAATGCCAACGGTACACTAAAGCTACTGACAACGCTATCGCAGTCTTTCCTCTCTGTTGCGGCTCAGACTTCGACTTTCCAAGCTCAATGCGAAGAGCTCTTGGCGGAGCAGCGACGATTGGAAAAGCTTGCGGATGAGGTTGGCACAGACCTTTACTACTACGCATACCTGGAGAAGGCTACAAGACGGCTGAACGCCCCCGGCGCCAGTCAATTGGTAGAAGACGATGACTTTGGCGAAATGGTGGAAAACATTGATTCTTGCATCAAATTCATGACCGCTCATGTAAGAAGATCAAAGCTTTGGGGCTCAATGCTCTTGATATTGACAGGCTGCAGGAAAATTACCGCGAACGCGACTCGTATTTAGCACGATACAACGCCCTACTTACCAAGGCATTACATCTTCTTGATCATGGCTTCAATAGCTGCTTGGACAAAGTATCCGGCGACATCGCGCGCCAGATTGCCGCCACGAAATCAGAGTCTGCTCGCTACGCTCTCGCTTATGGCAGATTCGAGGAGATGATGGCGGAATCTTACTCTCTCCTACCAAACATTCGAAAAGTAGTTCGATCGGCTTACCATGCATATGGACAGCCAGTGGAAGCCACAACCACAACTGCAACATACGTCAATGCCATTACTACCATTTTCCGAACGTATCTCACTACCCGTGACCGGGACATGAAATTGATGACGCAACATGATATAGACGAATACCAGAAAGAAGTCAAGAGCCTATCGATAGAAACAGCTTCTAGAAACTTCATTAAGCAACTTTTCGAACGAATGTATAGCGAGGATGCACTTTTTACCAAAATCTTCAACATAGAGCTCGTCTGGAGCCCCTCTCCAGAGTCAGCTTTCCAGGCCGTTAAGCTAGTGAACACCTCGATGGTTCACCCGGGCAATATCGTGCCGTTAGCTACCAACTTGCAAGCCGTACTCCAAACCGCTCAACTTCAGGAAACATGTAATGTGGTGGGCTGGCTGGCCAACGAATATGGTGTGGTGGAGATTGATGAAGAAGAGTCCCCGTCTTTCAGGAAGTACAGGGAGTATGCCGCTCGGCTGCTTGCGGACCACTTGTGGCCATTCACAGACAATCTATTTGAAGCAGAGATTACCAAGTCCCTCACCAAAGCCCCGGCTCAAGACAGTCACTTGAAGATCAGTCCTGTTGTAGGCGGAGTGGCATCTTCAAACGCATATCCCCTAGTCAAGCGAGCGATTGAGCTTCTAGCCATGTTTGACCAAGCAATGCCCAAGGAGCGATCTGTAAGTCGCCTACAAAGTCAATGTATTTTTGTTCAGATCTAACATTATTTCACGCAGGCGAAGAACAGTCCCGTCGTGTTTAAGATTGTGCGGGAGACAATTCAGATACTTCAGCGAGCTGAAGCAAGAATCAAGTCGCTTAAAACGGACACTGACCCGGATCTCTTCATGGTTAAGAACTTGCTCATCATTAAGAATGAGTTGGTATCACTCGAAATTGGGGATATACGGAGCCAGCCCGCAATGCAGCATTTTGGCCAGATTTGGGACACACTCAGCCCTCAAAATTGGGTGGGATTTTTCGGGAGCATCATCAGCGGCAATCTTTGGTCTCGAGGGGCGCCATCAGTCACCGCAACGACGCTCACGGTTGAAGATATGAGCGAGCAGTTGGATGAGCTTCTGCGCCAGTCCATTTACGCCTTTACGAAGCGCTGGGGGTCCCTTCTAAATGACTCTCAAAGCAGAAAAGCCGGAGTGAAGCCCATTGCAAAAGTAGAAGCCGAGCTTGAAACCATACTGGACACAGCTTTCAGCAACCAGCCTGAAGTGATTGCGAAGCTGAAAGAGGCCATACAGCTCAACGCGCAGGCACAAAACGAGGCAAAGACCCCAGACAACGGAACTCGGAGATATTAGAAGAACAACGTTTAGACGTCAGAGAGACACAATTTGTTTTAATGATGATAATGATTCCCATTTACAATGATCCGAGTGAAGATATCCACTTTTTAATTGCTTGTAAGATACTTTGATGTTGCTCCGAACCATGACGATGCTTATGATGGCTCTTTCAACCTTCGGACACGGAAGGGCATTTGCGGCCGATCCCACCAATCGGCTAGGCCTCAACAACCACGCGTCAAGTCTCATTTCAATCCTCTGCGGCGAAGCAGGACGTAATGGATAATGCCTATTCTCCCCGACAACCTCATTTGTATGAAACTGATCCTTTACAAAGCCCTTCATGTCATAGGCTATTAATAACAGGCGTCGTATATCGTACACTGCAATGCCACTCTATTCCACAATTAGCGGTAGCCCCAAACCCCAATAAATAAACGAGGAGCGACGAATGCGAGGCGGGGTATTAGCGTGATGTGGTATTTGCTTCATGCTGTGAATCGTAAGCCTTGAAAGCCTATTAAAAGTGAACAGCTGTGTTTATTCGCCTGATTGCGGCTGAGCAGTCGAAGTGATAGCCCGAAAGTTGATATGCGACAGATAAGACAAACCGCAGCTCGGAACCCAGTTCATATTTAAAGACCTGGAATTGGAGGCTTTTCTCTTTTCTCTTTGTCAACTATAACAACCATTCTTCTACATCAGTTCTCCTTCTGTTACTTGATTCACCAGAATTGCAACTCATATCTTGTTACAACTTTAAAGTTGTAGTGACAACATGGCTGAAGCTGAGACCGTTACATACCGAGGAAACTGCCACTGCGGCAAGTTTGTGTTTGAGACAAAGTTGCCCGAACTCAAGTCAGCATCCGACTGCAATTGCAACATCTGTAACAAAAAGGGCTATCTCTGGATCTTTCCTGGTAAAGACAATGTCAAGATTATCAAGGGCAGCTTAGAGGACCTGACGACGTACGCGTTTGGTCCTAAGAAACTGAAGCATCTGGTATGAGAAGGACTGATCCCTAAAGGATCACACTGTTTACTTATTTTGTGATTACAGTTTTGCCCTACATGCGCTACAGCAATAGCTGGATCGACAGAGGATGAGAAAAAAGACTTTCAACTTGCTCTTAATGTAAGTTATATATAAGCCGCATAATATGGAGCACAGGAAATAGTAACGAGACTTAATAGGCCCATACTTTTCAAGATTTGGATACCTGGGTTCTAGAGAGAACCCCGTAAGTTGTCTTCTCGCCCTCAATTTGCCTGAAAGCAAGCTAATAGCACATGGCAGATACGATGGTGCCTCCCTAGGAGAACCATACCAGCCTCCAGTTCACAAGGGAGAGCTTCCCAAGCCTGAAGGCGAAGACGTTGTATATACAGGCAGCTGTCACTGTGGTGCACTCACTGTAGCCACAACGGCCAAGCCTCTGGATGAGACCTTCGAAAGAGCTATTCAATGCAACTGTAGCAGCTGCGAGCGCGTAAGTATCGCTGTTTCAACAAAACTCAATTTGTGCCAATCTAATGGAGAAACTTTAGAATGCCGCTATCTGGATCTATAGCCAAAACGAATTCGTCAAATTGTCCGGCGACGAGGCCAACATCGGAAGGTACCGGTTCAACACGGGCATGTTGGACAAGGTTTTCTGCAAGATATGTGGTGTCATCTTGATGAACCAGTTCAACAATGAACTGTCTGAGGAAGAAATTGCTGCGCTTACGGGGAATATGCGCCGGTTGTACGATAACCAGCATACGAGAACCGGGGTGAATGCGCGGGCGTTGCATGGAGTGGATGTGAACAAGTTCAAGACGGTGAAGGTGGAGGGACGAGACAAGATTCCAGGAGACTATGTGAATCCTTGAGCTTGAAATTTGCCAGCTAAAGAAAAAATTCTAGTTTTATTCAAGTATTCTATTACTGAGGCGGGTATATAGCTGTCATTAGCGGTTTTCACGATCCTACAGTTATATATATGCGTGCGGATGTACGCAATCATAACCGTGGCCATTCCTCAATCTATACACTCTATTCCCAAAGACTCCAGTCAGGATTGATCAAAACTTGTTGCTCCGGTATATCATAGATTCCACCGTCAGCGTGGCCCTCTCCAGCTTCAAAAGTATGGAAGCCTTGGGGCCCTTCCGATTCAATGATGTAGCCGGCTTCACAATTGGTGAAGCTCACTTTCACTTGCTCGCTGTAGAAATCATCATACTCTGTGGAGAGTGCATCGTGAAAGTTTCGGACGTCGCCTGATGGATGAAGACTCTTCCACGGATGCGCGCAAGATTGCTGCTTGCAGGATTTTAGGACCATCATCAGGGCGTCCAGTCGGTCAGCGACCCCCGCAAGGGGCCATTGTTTACCAGCAATGGTAATCGTGGCGTCAATATCCCTCTCTTTTGAGGAGAGGAGGTTGTGTAGTTGACCTGGGTCAGCCTACGGTCATTGAGCGTCAGCAAGCCCCTTTTTAAATCGCCAAAACTTGTCGGTTCACCGTACCTTCATATCATAAAGCTCCTTTTCGTTGCTACACCAGACGGAATAATAGAATCCATAACTCTCTGCCTCAATGCGAAGCCCCTTGTAAGTATTATTGAGATAAATGGGTGGACCATTCTCCCTGCCAAAGAGACTCTCTGCAAGTCCAAATCCCCAAAACTCGACAGCAGCATGTTCCGACCGAGGTTCAGTGTCCTTGCCATGAATGTCAATTGGTGTCCCGTCAAATTTCTTATCGCCAACTTCGATGCCGGCTATCCGCAATATTGTTGGAGCGAGATCTGTGTGGGAGGAGGGAACTTGGGTGACTCTCTTAGCGGGGACTCCAGGGCCGCGGACGACTAGAGGGACATTGATATCGGTCTCGAATCCACATGTTTTGCCAGGATGTAATCGATGCTGGCCAATGTGGTAGCCATTGTCGGAGGTGTAAAATATGAAGGTATCTTCCAGCACGCCGGCTTGCTCAAGGCGATCAATAACGGATTCAACAATCTCGTCTACGGCCTGAAGAGACCTGAGACGCCGCCTCTGATACTCGTCGTTATAATCAAGAATGGTATCATTCAACTTGGGAAGTTTCGATACCCAGCTAACACCACTTGGAGAATCAGGATTGAAGTTTGGCGTCCGGGGAATCTTGTACTCAGGAAATAGGCCTTCATGCCGCTCCGCAACTTGCGGAGGATCGAAACCCCCCAAAGAACCTTCGCCCACAAGTGCATGAGGGGCAATTGGCGCGAGAGTTATAAAGAAAGGAGAGTCGTCCTGGAGAGCATGGTCGAGGAATTCATTGGCGCTCTCAGCTACGATATCAGTAGAGTACTTGCCAACAGGGTTGGTTGGCGGTGCCCCATTCTTGGTGGTGCTGACATTGTAGTATTGATACGTAAAGGGGTCAAGAAAGAAGTTTGACTGGGTATATCCACTAACATGAGGGGAGTCGTAGTTATCAATGGTATGAGCATTGAAGAGCTTCCCCACGTAGTAAGTGTTGTAGCCGGATTGTTGCAGCCAGAGGGCTAGATGGTGGTCGTTGTAGCCATTTTGGACAAACTTGGGATATCCTCCTGCTTATAAATCAGACTTGAAGTTCTAATTAATGATTGCTATTGAAAACACTCACCCCATGGAGGATTTACGTTTGTTACATTGGTATTGTGAGCCAGTTGTCCAGTCCAAAGGCTAACGCGCGAAGGACAGCATATAGCAGCTAAGAAAGATGACACAGGTCAGCCTTGAACGGGACATTCACTTTGTACGCGACAATTTGGTGAAACATACTAGAGCAATAATGTCTCTCAAACGTGGTGCCTTGGTGAACTAGATGCTTCTGCAGTGACGGCATATGTTGCAGGGATCCCATATGGTTATCCTGATCGTCTGTCAAGATGAAAACGATGTTTGGACGACTTGGAGCCGCATCTGTTAAAATAATTGCTGAAAACAGCCATGACGATGCAAGGAGCGAACGGCTCAACCTAAAAGCCATTTTTTGTGATTTAATTGAGGAAAATCGTAGTGCTTCGAGTAGTCTCTGTACCCAGCTTGCGCTCTATCTTGGTTGAGCACAAACGAGCGCACCTACAAAGGTAGGAAGCCAACTCTTTCTGCATATTGCTTTCGTCTACATTATAAACGGTTATCGGTAAAGCCACGGAAAATGCCAATTCATATAGTCTTGTCCAAGATATGGTGATCGCCGGTGCTGAGTCCGAGTGCAACTCGAGCTTGCGCCATGGCTAGGCCGCATGCCGTGCTCGCTCTTGTCCACATAGGCTATTGTGCCTTGCAGATTTGGCGCCTACCCGGAAATCATAATGGCAAAAGCAGCGATCCCAGGTCAATCATTTTGAGCTTGACAGTTTGATCTTGGCTCTTTGTTTTTCGTGTCTAAATCAAGCTTATATTCAGATTAATTTGTCTACCTAGTTACATGTACATAAACTTTGTCTGATAGGTCAAATATCTTCCTCGTAGTTACTGCTTATGGGCAATGCTGTAAACCTTCTCCACAACCATTTCGGAATAAAGCAAACACAAATCCATCCCCGATATTAGACTTCATCTTATGACGCAAATAACAGCATCATCTCAGAAAATAGCAGAAAATATTGGTTGATAGATGTCAGCGGGAGCCGCTTTTATATGAGTTGCTCACAGTTCTTTTGGAGATTGAACAAACGGTCTTAGAAATGCGGCAGAGGTTCCGGAGCTTGCATCGACCCCACTGCGGATGGGCGGACATAAGCATATAGCAAGGTACTTATACGGAGGATTTCACAATAGATTGATCGTCCGGAATCTGGTATGAAGATGCCATGAATCGTGAAAATGGAGTTCAAGTTTCATCAACTGGTTTATGAAATTGTGCATAAAAGTTCTGTCATATTCATCTACTCTGTAGACATGCACGGTACAGTATGTCTTGATGATATCCCCGCACTTTGCTTGAAACAACCACAAGCATCAAGTACTCTCTTGTACATGCGGAGTATCTTATCCCGGAGGTGACTCTTTTGTCGGCCTCCCGCAGGAAGTGATAAGTGAGGGGACGAGTGGCAAGCAAGATTATGTCTCGCACAAATGACATTCCAGGTACGGATTACATACTCAGGCAGAGGGATACAGACTGACCTACTTGTAGTACATGTGCATTTTCGCCTTGTTTTTCTCTTCTTAATTTGGCAAATGTCCCAATGTTAAGTTAGGCGTGCTCTCTAGGCAGTTGGCGTCGAGTTAACACGATATCCGGCATTCATTCATTCATTTATTTATTTATTTCTTAAAGCTCATTACACAAATCATGGATTACGAAATGGACCAGGAAAGCCTTGATCTGATCATCGAGCTTCAATTGCAAGATGCCCAGAGCATGATCAAGGGCAAGTATCGCGAGGGCGAGGCCCCTGATTTCGAGTTCGCGCTCGAATGCTTTAACGCAGAGCTCCAGTCGTTTCACACCTTGCTTCATGACCAAGCATTGACTCGTAGTGTGGCCCGCGCGGTCGTCAGTGATGCCGACATCATCAGGGAACTTGTCAACCAAGAGGACCAGGCCAGACGCGATAGGGAGCTTGCCCTCAGTGGCTTCGGTTCAGACGACTTCAATCAACGTGGATTTCCCCCCGATGATTTCCCTCAAAATGGGGAGTCGTCAGGAACCATGTCTGATGAGATGACTAGCAAACTCATCGTCTTGTTCAATGGCGGCGATGAGGCCTTGACGGTTGCCGAGTCGTCGAGAAAGGGAGGACAGGAGCGAGCAGTGGCCAGAGCCAGCAAACGGCGTCGCTGCCTTGTCTGCACCGACGAGTTCCCCTTCGCGGAGACGCTGCGATGCCCTTGCTCTCACGACTATTGCCGAGAATGCCTGTCAAACTACGTCAAAAAGGCAATCGACGACGAGTCCATGTTTCCTCCTCAGTGTTGCAACAAGCCTATCCCCCTCACCGGCGTCAACCAGATTTTCCTATCGCCAGACATCCTTGGCAAGTATCGTGCCAAGGAGCTCGAGTACAATTCCGAAAAGAGGGAGTATTGTCACGTCCCAACTTGCTCGACGTTTATTCCCAAGCAGTTCATTAAAGACGAAGTCGGCACATGTGTTAAATGCGGGAAAAAGACGTGCGTCATCTGCAAAGGCGCGTCACATACAGGAGATTGTCCCAAAGATACGGCAACGGCCGACTTGCTTCGCGTGGCGGGAGATCGTGGCTGGAGACGATGCTATAAATGCCGTCGCGTCGTGGAACTTGTACACGGTTGCAATCATATATGTGAGATGACATCTTTTTTCTTTCCTTTTACGAATCTTGACTTTGAACTTGCTGCTGAGACAATGTGACTTGTAGACTGCGTTTGCAAGGCTGAATTCTGCTACACCTGCGGGAAACCTTGGCAGACTTGTGGATGTGAGTTGTGGAGTGAAGAGATGCTGGTCAGTCGAAACGGTGGGGCCAATCGAGCTGCCGCTGCACCTGCTCAGCGTGCGGCTCCAGGTTGGGGCCTTTGATGAAGTTTTGAGATGAAGCAAAGGATGATTGTTTTGGATGAGATTGGATATATCCTATTCATGTAGACACTAACTATCAGAACATCTGCAAGCGATCTGATATGAACAAGAGATCGAGTTGGCCTTTATAAAGATGCTATAAACGGTAGGATACACCGTCGAGCGATTGAAGTGCCATTTAGCCATGTCTTCATTTTGATGGTATATAACCATATATACTCACTGCGGCGCAGCTTCTATCAATCTTGTTGGATTATGGACCGATCTCGCATTCTGCTACTAGACTTCAGGGTAATTACCCCATACGGAGCAAACAAAATATTACCCACCCAATTCGTGGGGGATGCACCAAACAAAACATTGAATCCTTATATCCGTGCCTCTTAACCCTTTTTGTATAGCCGCTATCTTGACTTATCAAATCACGACATTGTCGATATCGGACGGGTCATCGGGGTCCCTCTCGACAAGCCATTGGTCGGTCAGCTTCGTTTTTTTCTCCTTTCCTTTTCCTTTTCTTCCCCTAGCTGTAATATTCTGTCTTGAGTTCTGTTATTTTCGTTCATAGCCTCTTCAATTGGGTATACACTCCCTCGTCGAATCTCAATTCCGTTATCGGTTCCGGCCGCGGGGCCACCAAATTTTAGATGGCTGCCGCCGAGATTGAACAGCACCAAGGCGGTGCGCTGCAGACAGCAAAGGATCTCTTCTCCGGCGCTGTTGGTGGTATTGCCCAAGTCTTGATCGGTACGACTTATCTCCCGCCTTTTATCCCATTAACCTCATCTTCTCCCTGTGGTTGAAAGGCGGTGTTCAGTCGCAAGTCTGGCGACGGTCCGAAGCGCTTTCTCGCGGCTCATTATAAACCCACATTGCTAACCCTCTCCTCCCAGGCCAACCCTTCGATATCGTCAAAGTCCGCCTGCAGACGTCGAACCAGTACGCCGGCGCTCTCGAGGCCGCTACCTCCATCTACAAGAATGAAGGCGCCCTGGCCTTCTACAAGGGCACGCTGACGCCCCTCATCGGTATCGGCGCTTGTGTGTCCGTGCAGTTCGGCGCTTTCCACGCTGCTCGTCGGTGGCTTGAGGCTCGCAACACCGCCCAGGGCAGGGCCTCCGAACTTGGCTACGGCCAGTACTTCCTGGCCGGTGCCTTTGCCGGTGTAGCCAATGCGCCTCTGTCCGGGCCCATCGAGCACATCCGTATCCGCCTGCAGAGCCAGCCGCACGGCGAGGGACGCCTGTACAACGGGCCCCTGGACTGCATCCGCAAGGTCAGCTCCCACAACGGCGCCCTGAGCGGCCTCTACAGGGGTGAGGTCGTGACCGTCTGGCGAGAGTCCTTTGCCTACGGCGCCTGGTTCACTGCTTTCGAGTATCTCATGAACGCCGACGCCGCGCGCAACGGCATCGACCGCAAGCAGATCCCCAGCTACAAGATCGCCCTGTACGGAGGTCTCGCCGGCGAGGCCCTCTGGCTGGCCAGTTACCCCTTCGACGTCATCAAGAGCAAGATGCAGACAGACGGCTTCGGTGCCCAGCAGAAGTACCCGACCATGCGCTCCTGCTTCTCTGCCACATGGCGCGCTGATGGTGTCAGGGGTTTCTGGAAGGGCATTGGACCTACCCTTCTCAGGGCCATGCCTGTGAGCGCAGGCACTTTTGCCGTGGTTGAAATGACCATGCGTGCTATCAACTAAGGAGATATAAATACAAGGAGGATTTGAAGTCAAGAAGATGAGCGGACAAGTTTTTCTTTCTTTCTTTCTTTCTTTTGGATGGTGGAAGGGGGGCGTTATGGGTCAAGGAAAAGAGATATAAAAAAAGTCATTGGTTTTTGATGAGCGTGAGCCGACAAAAGGTTCAAGGCGAAACATATCTGATAGAGACGGAATTTTTCGATAGCTTAACACATTAGACATCCCATATTGCGCTTAGTTGGCTGAAGAATTGGGCATTCAACATGGAATTAATCAGTTAGATAATACCTTATCATATAAGATGCTGCTTTTGATGCATCATGATGTTGATGAACAGCGTCCATTTTCTTTCATTTCAGATCTATGCAAAACTGGACTTCTACTATATCACCACCTAACATTCTCATCATTCTCCACTCGCCTCTGGAGGATTTGTCTTGCATTTGGCGGTGTCAGCGCCACCAGCTCCAGTTCTTCAAGGACCTTGCGAGCCTCATCATTGTTCGTAAACGCTCGGTCACTAGCCTGTTTAAGTGTCATGGCGGCACTCGAAACGCCGTCGCCCTCTGCCGTTGCTGGCAAGTTGAGCAGGACGAGCCCCTCGCGAAGAGATTCCAGTGCCGCTGAGCCATTGGGAATGAAGCGATCCACAAGCGAAAAGATAGTTGCGCAATCGTGCGCGAGCTGCGCAGCCCCAAAAGCGGTAAACGACTGGCGGGTGAGAATGCTGGACCATAACAAATCCTGGAGCCTGTCAAGTGCATCTCGCCAGACACGGCGGAAGGAGGCGGCAGATAGAGCTTTACTCAAGAATTCCATATTCCTCTTGAGGACGCTCAACGGCTCGTCTAGCTCCGGCGTGATTGAGAGGGCTGAAGAATCATCTTTTACAATCCAATTAGCAAGGTCCACCACATTATTTAGGGGACAGAGCTTACCTGGAGTTGCGCTTTCGCCAATTGTGGTCCACTGAACGTTATGAGTGTAGGCACGCAGCGCCTTGGAGTGAGACTCGATCAAAGCGCCAACGAGTAGTTCTTCGCCTGCCTTGCGACGGTTGGTGTATGCCGCAATAGTCTCATCAAAGATGGCTCCATTCTCATCGCCTCCATCGACTGCGGCAACAGTGCGCTCCTTAATATCATCGCTGTGTCCGACCATGCTGGCAATGGTTGAGCCTTGGGGCCTAATCTGTCTGGATTCGCGTTTATGCAGCTGATCCCATAGTATGACAAAGAACTATGAGTTTCATTAGCATTCCTTCTTCCCTCAATAGATGTGTGCAGCCTACCTCTTCATCTCCCCATTCTGTCAATGTGTTCGCAATGTGGTCGGCACTACCAATCACTTTGCACAGCGTCTCCAAAGCCCCTGTCCCGTCCAAGGCAGCCAGTTGCTCTTTTGTTACGCCATGGATGGTTCGACCCAATGTAGAGGTTAGAGATTGGTAAGCCTCAAGCGAGCTTCTGAGACGGTCATGATATCCATCAAGAATATCCAGTTGAATATCTGTCAGGAATCTGAGCTTTTGCTTGACTTTACGGAGACGCTCGTATTTCGTCGTCACTACTCGTAACAGATCGGTGATTTGCACGGCCGCATAGGTGGGCTTCATCTTGCCGGACACTGAGTAGTCGTAGTCGATTTTGCGCCCATCTCGAGACTCCATAATCACTTCGAATCTCTCTAGCGCAAAGCTCCTCTCGGCCTGATACCACGCATCAAAGTAATTCTCCAGGACGCTCTCAGACAGCCCTGCCCAACCGTTCTCGGGATCACCACCATCATAGTTGAATCGGGATCGAATGGTCTCGTCAAGAGTCATGATCTGTGAGATAAAGTTGCTCAAGAATCCAGGATTCGCGCTCGTCTCTGATACTACCGCATCGACTTTCTCCCGAATGACCGGTAGCATCGCCGTAATAAGAGCGCATGCAGGATCCGCGTATATTGTCTTGTTAGCCACAGGCGTCTCTTGAAATTTGGATGCCAGGAGATGGCCAAGATTATCGCGAAAGAAGTCCTCCCATTTTTCTAGAGTCGCTAGAACCCAGGGGAAGCAGTGAGTCCCAACAGATTGAGGGCTGCTGGTCGGTTTATCGCTAATAAAATGGAAGCGAAACTCGGCGACGAACATTCTGGCCATGACTTCAAATGGTAAGAGGGTCACAACGCCTGTGCTATGAATCACCTCCGGCATCTGGAGGTCGAGGAGCTTCTCGATACAGGCCACCCACTCCTCATCCATCTCAGACTGGGGGTCAACCTTGGGCCAGTGCTTCTTATTAAGCACAGTCTCCAGCTCAGCAGACATGATTTGCTTCATTTCATTCCAAAGATTCTCCGTCATCTTCTCGATATGATCCACCAAGTGAAGATCGTCATTCCCAGGCAAGGACCTGAGCCTAATGACAAGCTCTTTCAGCTGCGCATATGGTTCGAGAGCCTCCTTAGGGCTACCCGGAAGATGACAACGAGCTTCTTTTCGCAACCTCTCAGCATCTTGGAGCAGCATGAAGTACTTCTCGGCTAGCTCGACGGTTTGAAGCTGTTTCATGGGCTTCTGCAATCGCGCGATAGCTTCGCTCGGTGCATCCGATGCAGCAGCTATCTGAACACGTCTGTCGATGCTTTCTTGCAACTCGTTGAACTCGGAAATCCGGTTTTGGAGCGCAGTATGGCGCTCGTCGGCTGTGCGCCGCGCCTCCTCGAGCTCTTTGACGGCATCGTCGAGCTGCGACTGGAGCTGGTTCCGCTGTAATTCGACATTTGTGAGCAGTTCGTCGAGATGTTCGAGATCAGCGGTGGATTGAAGCTTATCCTCGAGGTAATCTTCAACTCGAGTATCAAGGGAGACGCCATTGGTAATTCCAGACATGGTCGTCATCTTTGCATGCGCCCATAGAAAGCTGCGTCGAAGTTGGAAGGTATGACGATGTACGTTGCAGATAGCTGGCCATGTTTATTGGTGGGTAGCCCTTTATCGATATGCGTCTACCGAAGAGTTTCCGAGATGGGATGCATCGAACTTGCACGACACATTGGACTCGATTTCATCACTTGGATTAATATCGACAAAGGGTAAGCGGGTCTGGATATCATTCTATTCATTTTTTCTTCATCTTTCTGCAAAATTGAAAGCAATAGCGGTAGTAGTAGTATGATAAAATGATTTTCGACAAAATTGTCGTGGTAGTATTAATGGCGGGAAGCAGGCGGAACAGGTGCTCCGTACTAATAACGAGCTGCAGACAGCAAAATGCAAACGCAGGGGGTAAGCCGCCGAGCTGAGCAATTATACGACTGGAAACAACACAGACATGCAGAGCTTACGGAGAACTGCTCTAAATGGCGCAAGGCATGTCTGCATTAATAGGGGGCGTGCAGCTGCTCTAGGTCTTCTGTCGGATTGACTTCAATGTTTTGGCTGCATACGAGTACGAGCATACGCATGTCTACCGCCTGCAATCTGTACTTCTAAACAATGTTGGATTACTGTATTGTCACTGCCGAGGCATCCCTCAATTGTAAGAAATGTAGCTAAAAGTAAATCTTATGTTGACATGCGTGAAATAAACATTGCTATATATAGACACCTTCTGCCAAAGGCTACAAATGTTGACGATTCCATTGTTGATCCATGGCTTCCGAGCTCAAACTTGAACTCTTTCAGGCGGTCAGTAGGGCTGCGCCTCAGAGCACGTCCGTCCATCCATGTATGGTGCATGTACTCGTAAGAGCTACACCAGGATCTGGTACGGAGCGGACGCGACACACGAGCTGCCAATTAATGCCTGACACGACCCTAAGCATTAGCTTCGGCCAGCTCGCCTTGGCTGCGAGAGCCAATGGATTGTCATGGCAACCCGCCAAGATACGAGGATTTCTCTGTCATGTAGCGCTGATGCCCAGTGCCAACCTCGTGCTATTCTCATGTACCCTATGTGTTCTGTAAAAAGAGCGTCCAAATTGGAGAGGAAAAGAGACAAACAAAGCGGCAGCATGCAGGATCTAATAGCTGCCTGTAATTCACATGCTAAACAGCCCCAAACGTACAAACTACCGATGCTGCAGGTCCTCGAAAGCCATGCGTGTCTTACCCACCTGCCTGAGCCCTGAAGCCTCACCGACGATCGATCGCGTGCAAATCCAGATTGTTCGCCAAACTCCGTGTATCGCCACTACGCTCTCCAAAAAGGCCCAGCTGCCTCTTTTAGCGCACTGGCTCCCCTGCAAGGCACCCGCTGGAAAAAAAGACTTTCCCCCACTGTTTCCGGGTCCTGGAGGCGCTTCAGCAGCGCTTTGCGGCCCCTGTAATCCGTGCAGCCCAAATGGCCTCAGCGGCTTCTTCAGGACCTAAACCTGAACCTGGTGATTTCCAGCCACTGAAGCGCCCCCGCGGGCCCGGCGCCCCACTGTTTGCCAACGTCACCCCGGTCGCCCGGCCAACGAAAGTCAATACCGTAAAAGGCGTGGCTGGGCCAACCAAAATGCGAGCTTGTCCCTGCCTCGACCGCAGGTTTGCGAAATTCGGATGGTTGGTCACTCACGAGCATTTTCCCCAGCCATCTGAATTACCAAAAAAAAAAAGCGTGAAAGCGAATTCAATCAAAGTCACTTTTGGGAAGAGAGAAAGGCCCCTCCCCGTTTTCCCGGCTACGTGTTACGTGTTACGTCGTGCCCTTTCTTGTCGATTCCAATTCCTCTTTGGGAGCTGCTCTCTTCTTTGAGCTAAGTCTCGTCCTGCACGTCGTCCATGACAACTGATAGCACGCAGCAAGACATCCGCATTCTCGACATTGCAGGGTCCAAGCGCATTCTACACTCGCTTTGAATCTTTATTCTTGACGATTATCGATAGACCAGGCTATCCACATTCCAGCCTGCGTTTGCGCCGTCTCGCTGCCACGCGACAATTCGAACATCTTGACGAGGGGTATCGCGACGGGCTTCAGCTGCAGAACGAAGAGCACCTTGCGTGGGGCAAATAGCAGTATTGCGTGCGCGATTACAACGGCTTGCGCTCCCGGCGCTCTTGATCTATCGACTGTCGCCTCTTGTCCTGGAGCATCGCGGCTGTCGATTGCTCTCCTCTGATATCATCTCGACGCTCAACCAGTCTCGATTCTAACGAGGGATAACTCCCCTCTGTAGAGATCGCAACAATGGCGAGCGGAACCCATACCACCTCGAGTTCGAGTTCCAGCACGAGGATCATCGCGCGCAAATTTCATCTGGGATGGCATCGTGAGTTACCTCGTGGCCACGCGGCTCTGGAATGCGGTAAAAGGTTAACATTGTGTCTCAACAGGATTCGTCCCCTTTCTGGGTTACCACCACGTGCTGATGATTTTGATCGTCGTCGCAATCATCTTACTTTGTATGTCGCGTTGTTCTCAGCTCAATTCTTCGTGTGTCTTGCTGACCGCCTCATCTCATTTTAGCGCTGCTGCTTGCTGGCTGCTCGTCCTCGTCGCCTCTGATCCCCGGAATTTTCCTGCTATCCATCTACTACAAGGGTTACGAGGCTCACCCCGACACGGCGCAGGTCGATTACAGCTTTTATGGCGCCCTGGAGAACTTTGCTGGAAACGCCCAGTTGCAGGCTCGAGTTGGTTACTTTGGCATCTGCGTCAACCCGGATGGCGGCTCGTGGCTGTGTAGTAACAATGCGACAGCCTTGGCCAAGGAAGTCTCAGTGGACCAGGACCCTCTCAACCTCATTTGGCTGGCGGCCCAATTCAAAGACATGATTGTGTTTCCCTACCTGATGTGAGTGGCATTTTTTCCCAGGCAAATTGTGCGCGCATGTGCATCTTTACTGACCGCCGCCTTTTAGCATCATCGCCATCATCTTCGCCTTCATCTGTCTGCTCCTTTTGGCTACTTTCCCCGGATGGCACGAGGAGGAGGACTCTGAAGGATCCGAGCGCGAAGTCAAGCCATTCCCCTCTCGCCCTGTCTCGCAAATCGCACTGGCCATCATCTTCATCTCTTCCATCTTCGTCCTCGTGTCAGTTCTCTGGCAGCATACTGCATCCGTGGCAGCATCCGTTATTGCTCAAGACTTTGGCAATGGTGTTGTGAAGAGTGGCGTGGGCAGCAGCGCCATGGTAATGGGCTGGTTCTCGTTTACACTGCTCATCATCGTCACCATTGGTTTGCTCGTAATGATATTGAGCATACGCGTCCTGAGTTCAATGGTGTGATAAAGCATGGGTGGGTTTAATGTGAGGGAAAAAAACAATGCGGCTATGACGGGTGGATATGAGATATGAGACGGGAAGTCTATGTGTATATGTGATGGGCGATACCAGGGGCGTGTAAACGGGCGGCACAACTTTCGACTTTACGGGGTTGGTTGGTTTACAGGCATCAGCATCGGAGTTACGACGGCGTTCACGAAGAATACTTAATGTGTCCAAACGACGACAAAAAACCGAACCGAAAAAAAAAGAAAAAAAAATATCTTGCTTTCAACTGAGACAAACGACATTACCAAGGCCCGGCCTTCACGAACGATCGATCTATTTGCCACTTCTTCATACGCCCGCGGTACGACAATGGGAAGTAACAGACAAAGGACGAAGACGGCATTTGTTGGATAGAAGAAGTCCGAGGAACGGCAAGTCGAATGTCACACTGGGCGAATTATAGACGACGATAATGCATTGGGCATTCGACGACGTATTTGTCATGTGCTATTGTTTATGGATCAATGTTTTTTTTTATGCTTTTCATTGTCTTTTTTTTTTTTTGTCTTGGGAGGAAATACAATAGGGGATGGTTTGGAGAGAAGGACCGACGGGTATATATATCCTATCTATCGACCTTGATGTCTTTGTTTTTGGGTTTCTTTTTTCCTTTTTCCGTGCAGAATGATTGACATATAAAAAATGAGTGGTTTCTGTGTATTATATGAAACAGCAGGTGCGGTGGCTATCGGAGAATGAATGGAGGTAGGATGCTGAGTTCTTCTCGATGCAATGAGACTGGGTGAGGACGCAAGAGATGAACAGGTTGTGTTATAAGGGAATTTCTGGGTTTCGTTCTTCTTTTTTTCTGTCTTGCAGGGAATAGTGTCTAAGCGCAACAGTTGGTTTTACAAAGACCAGATGCATATAGTTTGTTATAGAATTCTAGTATTTTCATATTTCCTAAGCAATACTCTTCCAACGCCCGTCGTGATTTGACTCCATATGCAACACGGATGCTTTGTTCATGATTTTGCAAAACAACAAGTAGGGAAAAACAGAAACAAACCCCAGAGGCAAGAACATAGACATGCTGAAGTAAAAATAAAAAAATCCATTGCTTCCTGTAGTGGTTACCCATCCCATTCATTCATCGCCATCCTCTTTATATACTGTGTCCAATCACGCTACCACCGGGCCTCTTGAAAGGATGAGCCTCGGTATTGAGCACCCACTCGTCCAAGCTGATGACGTTTGGCTCCGAGAACAGTAAGTAGTAGTACTTGAGCGTCTCAGCGAGCCAGAAGCTCTCCATTTCGTCCTTGAGCCCGGGTTCTTGGCTGTTGACATCATCGACGGCGCTGTTGGCTATTTCTGTACGGGTGGCGCTGATGGTGGCCTCGAACATCTTCCAGCCCTTCTCCATCCAGATGGGATCACCTGTGATGCGATACATGTACCACACGGATTCAATGGCTTCGGGTCTAGTGATGAGAGGTTAGCAAAGGATGTCATGATGCAATTTGGTATACCAAAAGGAGCCTCTTACCTGAGGATATATTGTCTCGAAGTGATGTGGACGACACCAGGAGCGAGACCGTAGTCGGCAATATGTTTCTTTACAAACTCCTCGTGTGTCTCGGGTTTCTCGGGAAGGATGATTTGCTGTTCTTCCGGCTCCTGAGGAGGGAGACGGTGGGCTTCCAATACTGAGTCGATTGGGTCACCAGGCTCTCGTTGGATACCGACGCTGCTCTTTGCTGGCTTTTTCTGCTCGTCACCCTTGAGACCGATCTTATCCTTGAGAGACTGCGGCAGCTCTGAACCAACATCTTCGTCTGCCCTTGACTTTGGCGGCGGAACTGCTGCCCTCTTGTGAATAGCCTTGGAGTTACCAGCAGAGTCGCTATGGTCTTGGGCAGTTTCCTTCAGGGCCTCGCCAGCAGCCTCTTTATCCTTGTCGCTAGTTTCTCTGGGGTCCTTGCTTCCCTGTTGCTTGTCGAACGCCACCTTCTTCTCTTCCCACTCAGCCACCTGCTTGTCTCTCCAGTCCTTTGCAGGATCCAGCTTCTCCCACCAGAGGGTTTCGTTGAAAGCGCACTTCTCCAGCGACGGACAAGGCAAAACTTGGGAACCTTCCGGCATGATACCGGAGACGGTCGATTGATATGCCCAGACACAGCCGTCCGTCAACTTCTTGGCTATCTCAAGGTCCTTTTCGCGGCCAAAGATCTTGCCACCCAGGCCGTACATGCCACCGATAAAACAAGTGAGGTGCGTAACCTCAAATGTTGCGACTAGGTCTTCAGAAGGGTTTCCACCTGTTTGGACCTTGGCGGGGAATAGAATATCCCAATCGCCGTCTGTCATGGGCCTGTAGAGGAGCCACTCGTTGATTGCCTCGACAGTGTCCTCGTACAGCTTCTGGTACTTGGACTCCAGACCGCCGAGAAGTAGATACTCCTTCGGGAAATACTCATAAGCTGAGTCTTGACCGCCTCCCATGTGGTATTGCTGGAACCCGTATCCACCTACTTCCAAACCTTGAGGAACACAGTCCCAGTTAGCTGTGAAGCCATCGGCCGCAAATGGTGGCTTTCCTCGTTTTGCTGTCCGTTGGGATGGCACTTGGGGCTTCTCCACGGATGTATTTTCACTAGGAATGGTGTCTCGGCGACGGAGAGAATCTAGCGGACGAGTTTCCGTTTTATCATCTTCGCGGGGCCCTTGCTTCGCATATTCAGGATTTTCAGTGCCTATTTTGCCGACTAGAAATTCTGAAGATTTTGTCCCAGATGCGTCTGGAATCTTCTGGTCGTCTCTTGGATCTTCCGCTCCGATGTTGCCGACAACGAATCCTTTATCTGAAGTATCTGTTTTCACAGTTTGTGTCTGATCGTCTCTTGGATCCTCTGCTCCAATCTTACCGACCACAAATCCCTTGTCTGAGGCATCCGTTTTCACAGCTTGTGTCTGATCGTCTCTTGGATCCTCTGCTCCGATCTTGCCGACAACAAATCCCTTGTCTGAAACATCCGTTTTCGCGGTGAGCGTCTGATCGTCTCTTGGATCTTCCGCCCCTATCTTGCCGACAACAAATCCCTTATCTGAGGCATCCGTTTTCGCAGCTGGTGTCTGATCGTCCCTTGGGTCCTCACTACCGATTTTCCCAACAACAAAGCTGTCAGATTTTCCTGCAGGCTTGATCGCAGCCTCGTCCAAAGCCTTTGCCCTGGCCTCATCAGCAGCTTGCAATTTTGCAATTGCTTCATCAGCACTGAGCTTTCCAACTATAAACTCGCTGCCGTCTGCACTTTGCTTCTGACTGGGGGGTTTCTCGACGTTCTGGGATTCGCTCTTCGGGGCCTTTCCAGGAATGAAGTTATCTGGCTTGGAGAGGTCTTCATCCATCTGCTTCTGCGCTGCCTCACTAAGTGAGCTGCGGATGGCAGTTGCGGTATGGTTGCACCCAGAGGCATCTAGATTCTCGGGAAACAGGCCCGGAATGGAGGTGCCTTGCTTTTGGAGCTCAACCAGGGCATCGGTAATGCGATCCACAGCATCGTAGTATTTGTAGTTGCTGGTAAGCTGGGCTAGGCGCGTAAATTCCATGGAGAGCGTTCCAAGCTCCGCAATGCCGACAGAGCCTGCGCGGTGAGGCTGGGAGGCATATTCTGGCTGCCATTGGTAGTATAAGATTGGCATTCGGTTCGGAGTGTCGAATATACCCATGAGGATCTCAGCAAGCTCAACAGCCTTGTTTAGAAGGATAATATAGCCACCATCATGGCCGCCGCTGACATCGAAGGCGCCGAGCAAACCGCCTAGATATCGAATGGTCGTTTCAAAAACTGGAATATTGTTGCGAGGTGTAGTGGTGAAGTCGATATTCTCTACGGCCTTTGCGGCCTCGTCGAACTCTTCTTTGAGACCCGCAATCCATAGGGTGTCCAGGGAATCAACCAACGTAGCAGCCCAGCCGCAAAAGGGGTCACGATGCTTGGCAGAGACGGGCGATAGCTCGTCGTGCATCCAAGCAAACTTCTTGTAGCCCGACCACGCCCGCTCAATCTCTTTTGCAACGCGCTCTTGTCTAGTGACTCGTCTGGATTTGGCTTCTGGTGACTCGACGCCAAACTCGTGCTGCACTCGAGGGACCTTTTGCGGCTTCCCAGTGGGGAGGCTTATGATGGAATTCACAGGGAAGTGCTCGGGAACCGGCCTCCAATGGATTCGAGTGTCTACTGGCTTTCCAGGGTTGTTCTTTGGCGGATTCTTCTGGTGAATATCCTCAATCACTTCATCTTCGTCGGTGGGGTTCAACTTGTCAGTTGCAGTCTTTGAACCTGCATGGCCAGGCGCTTCGCCATTGGCCGCTGGCTTCGAGTCGTCCAGCTCTTTTAGCTTTGGAATTTTGACGCCCAGCCCATCATCTTCGTCATCGGGCTTGTTCTGCTTGTTCTGCTTGCTCTGACCAGCAGCATGCTCCGGCTTCGATTCGGGCTTGGGCTTGGCCTCGGCCTCGGGCTGAGGCTTCGGTTTTGATTCAGGTATGTTCTCGGGCTCGGGCGCAGGCTTCGGAGGTGGTTTCGGCGGGCTCTCTACTCCCGTGGCAGGCGATTTCGAGGTGGGAGGACGGTAAAGACCTGCATGCTGCGCAGGGTCTTCCCATGTGTTTTGCGAGACTCTGTAGAGGAGGAAGAGAATGACGACGGCACAGACCATAAACAGCCTGTACCTACGTCGTGCCATCGTGACGGACGGTGTAAGGCAACGCAGACAGGAGCAGAAGCGAAGCAGATTGAGGGAGCAGGTCGAATCCCCCAGCCCTCACGTGAATTGGCCAGGAAAGCTCCGAAGCTGAGGTATCACGAGCACATGAGCAAGTTCCAGGCTAGGAAATGCCAAAGGAAAAAGAAAGATACGGAAAAGACGACGGCCAAAAAGGGTCACCAGCAAGGCGATCCGGCCAGATGAGCACGAGAGGAGATTCGCAGCGTCCGGGAGCAGAGCTGCAGGGACTTTTTGCCCTTGAGGCGAGTTGGCAGCATCGCACCTCCGTACTAGTGGCGGGTTTGTCTTGGCATTGGCATCTCGACCAGAAGCTGAAGCAGGTACAACGGCAACGCGCCCCCAATCAGCAGCTCCGCATGTACTCCGTTTGCCTGTGCAGCCATTGAAGTAAGCAAGCACATGAAGCATAAAAAATCCGAGCCAATTCCGACTGCTACCTCGGCCCTTGGTACCTGTCAAGACTAAAACATTGCATGTATGTACAGACATGCGAAGTACGTGATCGCAAAGTATTGAGTACGGGTACCTACAGTATCTACGGGATTGATTGATCGAAGAGACACGGAGACGGGGTAATAGGACGGTGCAGTGGAGCGGCTGAAACGGCACTGGTGAAGCTCCAGCCATACGGACATAAAAGGTAACTGGTACACACATGCACCAAATACAATTGATGGCTCCGAACGGCGAGAGATGCAAAATGGCACTAAAAAATAAGGATTCAATAGTCTTATTTTCCCATTAGGAAGGTCAGCTCGCAGGCAGCCTGCGCATTGGTGAGCCAGTGATCAGTCTGACAGATCAAATATAGTAGGCAGCATGTAGACTCCCTAGTTCGTTCGGAGTCTAGTTGCCGGACTGTCAGTTTGTTGCTGGACTCTCTATCCGTACTCCGGTAAAGCTAGCCCTAGAGCCCCGGTATGGGTACTTTGGAGGTGGTTTTGCCCATACCACATCCGTCTCACACCTAAATCTAGCCTCCGGGCTCCATTCACTATTTGATCTCATGGACCTATTTTAAGATCGCGAAACAGACCATATACAGCAATCTCAAGCTTCAGACAAAGGCGCGCTGCTACTAGACTATTATTTGACTTGGATGGAGCATGAAAGGCCCGCTTCCCCACCACTCCCGTCTCCTCCGTTCATTGTCCCACACAGACAGGGCAGAACAGCATCCATACAGTAGCTTTGGCTTGGCAAACGGCGAAGCAACACAACAAGCACTGGGGTTTGTCGGCAAATACCAAAGGCCCGGCAGAATAACCTTAGCCAAAAGTTACTCATGGGTTAATATCGTAGACCCAAGCTAACCCGCATGTACATGTAGTTTGAGAGCATCTGCGTCCGGGAAGAGGGGCATGCTTTTTAGCTCGCCAACGTTAACAGAGGTCCACGGGTACCATGATGATACTCATAGGGAAAAAGACAGCACTGGCTTGCAAGTATAGAACGGGCAGTCATATTTTGCAACTGAAACTAGGCTTTCTACAACCCCATACCACGTAAACTCTCCGAGAGTCTGGAGTATTGACCCAAACCGGATGACATTTGCGTCTTTAAGCCAAAAAGGCTGGCTGCTACTGCCGAGGAAGAGTTTACTCACGTGGGTGATGTCTTTTATTCCACAAGTTTAGTCCCTACTCTAAGAGAGTAGAGGTGTTGGCCTACATGTACATGTACTCACATCACGAAGAGTTCATCAGCACTTTCAATCGTTACAATGTGGCAAAAAGGCATATTTTTCATAAACTGCACAAACCGTCAATAGACGGCAAAATCCGGACACTATTCCTCCAACAAAGTGAAATAACACACCTAAAGGTAGGTAACCACACGCATCCATCCAACGTCATCAAGACATCTCCAGCCCAACTCTCAGAGCTCTGCTTCAGTGCCGGCTTCATTTGTTAGCCTTTGGGAAGTTCACCGTTTCAATCTTGGTAATTTTCATGGAAATCGGGAGTCTTTTGGGCTTGAACGAAATCTTATACGTCTGTGACCAGAGGGTGGCTAGAAGCTTCTCATACTCCTCTATATCGGTCGTTGGATCGCCATTGTGTTGCAAATATTTCCAAAACTGGTCAGGATCATGAATGGCGAGTTGGAACTTCCAATCTCGGGTCTCCCCGTTCATCTTAGCGGAGTAGTGAATCACAATGGGCACACGGTCTCTGCCATTAGGTTCGTATTCTCTCCATGACACATAACCCTGGGATGCAGGCTCTTGAATAATCTTGGCTCCTAATCCCGAGCGTTCATAGACCCACGACGCTGTGCGTATGCTTGGCTTTGTAACAGGTGTAACCGGAACCCCGTTAACCTTCTGTCCGCTTATTAGGAGGAGGGCATTTGTTATACCAGTGAGAGTCTCTTTCTCGAGCTGCTGTTCCAGCTGGTATATCCGATCGGCCTGTGAAGCCATTGTTGTAAATTGTCACGTGGTATTGTTGTAGAACTGTCAGAGTTGTAGACGGGCAGTATAATTCTGGTCGCAGATGATGGCTAATTGAAATGGAAGCAGATGAATTGGGGGATGCTTGGAGAACTGTTTCTGCAAAACCCTGAGAGATCTAGTTATTTATGCTCAAGAGTGTCCTTTGTTTTACCAAGAAGTTCATTATTTGGAAGAATATCTGGAAGATGTTCGAGCTTGATACGGAGCCGTTCATTACGGCAATCTTACTTGTACAAAGATCAACAACAACGGATGAAAGCGAACAAAGTTGAGACGAACAGATTCGATTGCAAATCAAAATGCGTTGTGCCTTCATCCATTGGTATCATATTTTGAATGCTCTATGAATCCAATGAAGACTCTTAGTCGCGTGGATGTCTGAGCGTCAAAGCCAAATTGATGAGCAAGCAGGCGCGTGCGCAATTGTTCAGCGACTGCTCATTGTGTTCGTTCATCCACCCATTATTATTCAAGTGTGTTTCAGTAATTGCGTTGTCTATAATCGCCATTCCCATCTGGGATGCGGCCCATTTCTAAGCTCATGTTTCTCAAAGACATTTTTGATCCATTGTTTGGACGCAAGACATCTCATCACCGTCATGGCTCTAGCGACTTAATTGAGATGCTTGTGTGCATGCATTCTTTGTGAAGAAACACATGCAGAAGACTACGGTGAAAGAAAATACATGTGACTTTGACTATCTTGGAGTTGCCAGTTGCTCGGACACTACACATGGCTCGGTGCGGGCATGGATGGGACCATGGATTAGTTCCTTCTTCATTGCTTTGTTGTAAGCACGTGAATGTACTAGATTCATGTTCATGTAGGGAGCAAGTACAACCACAGCTAAAAGAGCAAAAGGACTGTAGATGAGATGTTTAGAGGCTCCGATATGTACTAGGTACCCAGTATCGGGATTCCGTTCATGAAAGTAGGATAGTCTCATGTAAAAGGCACATTGTGCTGATCGGCTTTGTAAGCTCCATCTTGTCTCCCAGTGTAAGAAAGCTGGCATCGACGCCTAGGTAGGTAATCGAATTAGCCAAGAACATTGCCTGATGTTCACTTCACGGCTCCTAAGCATTTTCGTAGGTACACATCGGAATATAAGAATATAATGCGGGCACATGGCAAACCTTCCTCATAGCCGATCTCAACGGCCCATCGGCGCATTGGCTCGGCAATCGTACCAGCGGGGCTTGTGTGTAAGCCGGTTGGTGGCGGGTTCCGCAGCTCCATCAGCCCACGCCTTGCATCACTGCGCTTGACCTTATGATGTTTGAAGTGGCATGTGCTGGCACCAATCCCTGGACTTGGCGATATCCCGAAACGTCTGTTGATTAAAGGAGGCGCTCGTATCGGGCTTGCCTTGTGCGTTGTTCAACAAGCCTCATTCTTGTGGCGCCGACGTCGGCTCACCGTATTGGCTTCGCCCTTATAATAGGCAGTGAAACAGCACTCGCCTGAGCTTTAGGGTGTCCATCCACACCAACGAACAACATACTGTACATGTTCATATCCAACAACGCAAACTCACCACAATGTGTATCGTGCTCTTCACAACGGCACATCCCGGCTATTCCCTTATTCTTATTGATAATCGCGATGAGTTCATCCTAAGGCCCACGTCGCGGCCGCACTGGTGGACGCACCCAGAGTCGGGCGGCGAGGTTCTTTCATCGCGAGACCTCCAGAGGGCGGCAAAAGGCACTTGGCTCGGCATAACAAAGACCGGAAGCTTGGCCGTGCTGACCAACTACCGAGAACTGGTCAATGATGACGCTGAACACCCGATACACGGCATCAAAAGCCGAGGCCGCATGGTCAATATGTGGCTCGGAGGACTTCCCGATGAAGGTATAAAGAAGGGCGTGGATGAGCTGGTCAAAGACGGCGGCGTTAAAGGTGTAGGAGGCTTTTCTATGGTGTGCGGCAAGCTGAGACGCAACAACGAAGGCATCGCCATTGTGAGCAACAGGGCTGCTGATGTGAGCGACGTTCCGATAGTCGGATTGGAACCAGATGGCGTCTGGGGTCTCAGCAACACTGTCTACAACGATCCCAACGAGTGGCCCAAGGTGACGACAGGAAAACGACTCTTGAAGGAAGTGGCTCTGGAGGCTGCAGCAAAGAACTCCTCCGAAGACGAGCTGGTCGCAAGTCTGTTCTCCATTCTCGACACAGAATCTATGCCAGAGCGACCTCCGGGATCGAGCTTACAAGACTACATGAACCTGATGAGGCATACCATCTTCGTACCGCCAGTCGGCGACGACGTCAACCGTGAGGAAATGCAAAAGGCCACTGCAAAGGGGAGGATCTTGTGGGCGCATCTGAAAGACGACCTGAAGGCTGTCGAAGAGCTCAAGGCAGAATCAAGGCCGGATGTCACACCGAGCCCGAGCCCGCACCCATCCATTGGCTTCGAGGAAGGCATGTACGGAACACAGAGACAGACCGTTTTGTTGGTCGACAATGACGGTAACGTGACTTATGTCGAACGTGCTCTTTGGGATGCTAATGGGAACGAAATTCCTCGAGGGGAGGGAGACGTTGCTTTTCGCTTCAAGGTCGACGGCTGGGACGAATAAAGTTGGGCCGCTTTCTCTTTTTTAGGTGGAAAACGGTTAGATTTGGGGGAAATACACTGGCATAAACGACGACACGGGACTGAGGCCTATGAGCAAGCGAGGTACAAGGTCGAAGCAATGGATGGTGGAAGATGATCAACAGTAGAACTTTCGACATAGGACAGAGGGAGAGATGGGATAGCTTGGGGCTCATGATACCTTCTATATTCAATCTTAATACTTGAAATATACTGATGAAGTATTAGATGCGTCTGGTTGCGGAATAACTGCGCAACCGAGGATTCGGTCAGTCGGCAGGTGGGTTCTGCCTGGCACCTGACAAGAGGTGCCCATCACTCTGCTGTCAGTTGTTGTGTATCTTTTTCCTGCATCACTTTATCACGCGCAAGTTTGTCTAAAAACACGACACGTTCTGGAACAAAGCGCATCCTCAACAGTCTTTTCTTCTCTTCCTGTTCTTCTCTTCCTGTTCTTCTCTTCCTGTTGTCGGCTTATGCCTCCTCCCCTCGTTGTTTGCTGTGTTGCTCAAGAAGCAAACGACCTGATGTTGACCGCGAATCACCATCTGGTGTAAGGGGCTTTAATGATATGACAATACCGATTTCTCGAGGCTATCTCACCATCGGCCTTCGCTTTTCTCTTTGAAGTCATATCTATCTGGCAGTTAATCATCGGCATCTTGCATGAGCAAGGGCAATCCTCTCCCGATACTCGGCTGCCTATCCAAACAACGGCTGTCCGCTACCATCATCTGGGAATCTCTTCAAGAATTTGGAAGGGTTTCCGAAGAAGTTAGAACATAATCGACACAGACGCCTTGCTCACAGCTTGTTTCTCAATCACCGCCACTCAATGCCCTCGACTCCAGAGTTCACACCAGGAATCTCCTTTGCATCGCAACCGTTCAACTACATCAGGCACGTCATCTTGGCAACCGTTGCCACGAAATTGAGCAAAAATGCGAGGACGAGGAAAAAGTAGACGACCCCTCATCTCTGCGCCCATAGGTCCTGTCAAAAACTCTAGAGGTGCCGATCTTATCCGAAGCGAGAGGCTTGTCATTGTTGATGCCATCAAAGACTGCGAAACAGACAGCTCTGGCTCGACTCTCGAAAGCCACAGCCGTTTGCGAGCGCAGAATTTGAGGTGCATCTCCGACGGCTTTGACAGTGACGGACATTTACAAAGCAGCCCTACCGTCGAAAGCTTTGACATTGCTGCCAAGCCAACCATCAAAGCCGGCCCTGATCCAACATCTTCAAAGAGGCTACGCAGAAGCCTTCTATCTTCTACCTCATCCATACCGAAGCCATCTTTTAAAATAGCATCAACGACTGCGCCTTTGTCAGTGCCAATTGTCGCCGAGCAGGATGAGAATATCCCTCCTGCGTCAGGTGGATTTTCCCGTTTAGATCCACCAACACCACGCTTGGTCAATAAACTTCCAAAGTCTCGAACTATGAGTGCCCTCCAGGACTTGAAAACATCTATTTCTCGGCCATCGTTGGCTGCTCGCTCTATCAACACTTCTGCTTTTAGTGGCACTTCTGCCAAGATATCCCCATCTTCTACTGCAAAAACTACAACTCCTCCCCAGCTTTCAAAATTAAACCTCATGCAACCATCTACAATATCGCTGGCCAAGTCGGTCCAAAGTTGCTCTTCTGAGGCTCCGTCCATTCGGATTAGCAACGCACAATCATCCGCCTATTGGTCTGGCCGGTTTATGGCCCTTCATGACCGATTCTCATCTGAAAACCTTGCCGCAGATGCCCGTGAATCTCGCCAATCTCTAGCCGGCTCGTGTTCAGCCCAGGCGAAAACTCCTTATAGCAGCCTGTATCAGCGAACATCTCATCTCCCTACTTCAACCACTACTTCAGCTCTGCGGACTCTCATGACTTCATCTAATTCTCCGTCAGTCACTGAAGAAGACACACGTTGCCGTCGCGTATTCGATTATCTTGACTCACTTTGCATTACAATCGAAGCACGGCGCTCCCTGCATGCCTGGCAGCAAGCTTACGCTCGTCGAAATGGCCGGCCCTCTCTACTTCCCGAAGGTGGCTCCATGGAAGAGAAAGGCTTCATGGCAAAGATTTTCGGCAGCTCAGTCATCAGAAAGGGCGAGAGGCACAGCTTGACCGGACTGCGGCATGGCTCTTATACTCATGAGAACAAGAGCAAGAGTTTTCTATCTGGGAGCCTTTCTCGATCATCCCGGGGAAACCGTCTCACAATGTCGTGAGAATCATCCTAATTTCGTATCTCGATTACTTGTACTGTGTATAATCAGAGTGTGGCCCACCGCCCAAATGGTTTTGTTTTTCTTGGCGATGTTTCTTTTTTCCCCTTCTCCACCCAATGAAGCCTTGGGATAATGAGCCTGGGATATACTAATGGCTTTGGAAGCATGTTGGAATGGAACTGGAAATGGGACCCTGGAATGTATACGTGGAAAATATTGCGTCTAATGGTTTGAATGAAATAGCTGTTGCTTGAATTGGAGAGAAACGAGAGTCACAAGGGTATGGCAGATGATGTAGAACTACTGTATAGACAAGTCTCGAGGTACTCTAATATGAAATGTTTGATTCATTTGATTGACTATTTCGTATCTATGCTTAGGTATGTTTGTAACAGCACCCATCTGGGAGCTCCGAATGATTTATGCTTTGCTTCCACCTATACTTTTCATATTTCCACGCGCCAAACGCCATTCACAACATGTTTATTAATTTGCATCTGCCAGTCGGTGATCAAAGGTGGAAAAGGCAGAGAAGTTCCGTGATAATAAATTGGAAAAAAAAAAAAAAAAGGCTCATTCCGCTCTCTTCCTCGTCTTCAAAAAATCTTTAATTTGCTCATGCTTATTGGCAAAGAACATCCGTGCATGGTCATTTTTCCAGACCAGCACGCCAATTTCTTCAGAGAAACGCGCGGTATCGAGGTAATCCTTGTCATCGGTGAAGTCCCGAAACAGGAACCCACTCGTCGTCTTCATGCGCTCGTTTTCGAGCTGCCACAAGCGGATCTGGTCGACGACGGTGGGGGGCAAGACGGGTTTGTTGGTCAACGCAGCAGTGCGGTGCATCTGCTCGTGGGCGTGGGCGGCTAGGTAGGATATGATTTGGTCGGCGGTGATGCCAAAGTTAATGGCCTGACGGATAGATGCGCGGGAGAGACGGCCGGCCACCATGTCGGGGAATCGCATGTTGAGCTTCGCGAAGAGAGCGAGGACTGCGATTTGGAGGGCAGATTGGGTATATGCATAGAGACGGTAGTTGGTCTCGATAACGACGCTTCCAGCCTGTTCGCCGCCGCCGCCACCCAGAGGGCCGAGGGACTGCTGCGAGGTCTGGGCCGACTGAGTAGCAGCTGTGACGCCCTCGCTGATTGTTCGTAGACTGTTTCCTCCACTAGTAAGGGTTGTTGCCAGTCGGGTTGGGAAGAACATGGAGCGCTTATGTTGGGGGATGTAGATGAGGCCGAAATCAACGAGAGAGGGAAGCATATTCCGTCGCTCTTCAGTCAGCGCATTCGTATCGTAGGCCCGCCCCAGTTCCAGGCTCGCCAGCATGAACAAGAACGAAAGCATGTCGACGGGATCCAGCCCCGAGCTCTTGTTATTGCCCAGAACTTCCAGCCATAGCAAAAGTAGTGTCCAAACTTGCGCGTTTGCCTCCTGCAGTAAAAAGGTGAAGCCTGCTTGCGTGATGCCTAAGCTTCCATTCGGCCGCCTGTCGACCAACCGCCCTGCAATGAGAAGCTCCTTGACGCCCTTGTTGGGCCCCGAGCCGTCTCCTAAGCTGCTTTTGTAACCGACACTAGATACAACGAAATGCAGCACATCCTCCCACTTCTTACGCGCGTATCGATCGAGGAACGCCAAGTCAATTTCGGGCGGTACGAGTAGCGAAGAAGGCACGCCAAAGGAATTGTGGTTTCCGCCTCCGGTGAGGGCTAGCCGTAGAGATTTCTTGAAATTTGACATGAGCTGAATCTCCTGCGGTTTCTCTTTTGACGGGGCTGATATCTGGACAATGTGGAGGCTTCGCAAGATGGAGAGGGACTGGTCTTTCTTCCTATACCACTATTAGACGCTGCGCGATGCCGCCACAAGAGCAGTGCATATCGAACCGTTTGGCTTCCGGCTTCACCCATGTGTCCAGATCCGTGAGAGTCATCGGGTGAGGAAGGAAAAGCATTCTCATGACGAATGTTTTTGCCAGGTGAGGCAGCATGCGCCGGAAGATCGCAAACGTCGTCGAGGGCTGCTGGTACAATTTCTTGAACGTTGTACCAGGCAGCCTCTCCAGGTATTCGGCGAGATGAAGGGAGGGATTTATAGACATGTTGGGCGGATGCGAGGACCGTAATCCGTCAAAAGGTGGTTATGATGTTTGGCGCTGCTGCCTCATGATTCGATCTTGAGAAGTTCACGATCTTGAAGCGCGGCGCGAAGATTACGTCACACCTTCTCGGCGCATTATCGGGTAACGGGAGCGATAGCGGATAGCGTCGCCCATCAAGCACTTGAGGCCATCTCAGTTCCCGAGACCAACCTATACAGATAATCGATCAATTGAATCGATTAGAGGGAAATCATGACTAAAAAGCTTTCTCCGTTCAATTTTACAAAGGCCGTCATGCGGTCCTTCATGGCCGAATCGGGCCTGGAACCCAGGTATGAGCAAACTCCCACGAGGGCCATTTGCCGAGGCAAAGCCACTAACAACGGGATATAAGACTCCTGCACAATCGAGTACGCATAGTAATTCCAGGTCGGCCAGCAACCTCAGTTAGTGCTGACAAGGCATTCTAGTTTCGATTAATAGATGCTTCTGAGGGCAGAGTCGACTTTGAAGTTGACATCCATAAAGACCACACTTTAAGTTGGCCCTCGACGTCTTTCCAAGCCATCTTACTAACTTCTCCCTTTAGAACCGACTCCAAACCATACATGGAGGAACGATAGCTAGTCTCGTCGATCTCGGGGGTTCCCTGGCAGTTGCTTCTACTGGACGATTCGCAACAGGCGTATCGACTGACTTGAATGGTAAGGACATGCCCACCTCTTTAGCTGTAAGTGCTCACATCACTGACCTCGTTCACTCAGTGACCTATCTCAGCCCCGGAGGCCGACCGGGCGATATCCTCAAAGGAACGGCTATCTGTGAAAAGAGTACGTAATGACTAACAAACAAAATGATGATTGATTCTAATTATTTAAAATAGTCGGAAAGACGCTGGCGTACACAACTGTACAGTTTTATAATAGCAAGGGCCAGCTCGCTGCGAGAGGAAGCCATACCAAGTATGTTACCCAACTCTCTTTCTCATGTGCCACTACTGACTATAAATCAAGATTTGTTTCGGGAACATTGGGCCCTGATGGAGCGTTCGTAGCCCCCGCGAAGTGGGCGGATGAGGTCGATTAGACGAGGGCGTAGACCCAGCGATAGAACCCAGATATAGACGGATAAATATGAGATCGAGTACAGTGTTAGACTCACCACTTCCCATGTATGACATTTTGTATTCGATATCTTGCATTTCGAATACCTTGATCATTAAAGTCTGTCGTAACGCTACTCAAGATTCAATGTCTCCTTCAGTATCAATTATATATTATGTATTCAAGACATCCCGAATCGTCTCGTCAATATAATTTTTGCCCTTGCCAAACAAACTATCGCGATGCAAGCTCAAAGCGATGAAGTGATAACCATCTCTCGCCGTCTGTCCCGCCTCTTTCTCAGCAACTCGCTTCAACAGCGCTTGCATCCTCCGCCGACTCTTCAGCGCGTCAGCTTTATCTGGTAAATATATCTTTGTATATAACAAGAGAAACCCTGCAATCCCAGCCGCAATTGGAGTCGCATACGACGTGCCAGATTTGCATCTAAGAAATCCTGAATCAGAGTTGCCCGGTAGATTTGTTGGCCACGCTGACTCAATAGCTTCGCCGACCGTCGCCAAATTAATGTCGTGAGACAACGCTGTAGGGCTAAATCTCGACCGATTACCATCTGTATCAGTCGCATGAATGGCAATGACATTCTGGTCGCGAGCTGGGTATGCGCGGCCCCGCTTCCCTCCACTATTCGAGGCTGCGGCAAAAAGCAACACACGTTTCGCATGAGCATTTGCAAGGGCATCTTCGAGTTCGTGGTAATCATCCATATCACATGTAGTGAAGCCAAATGACATTGAGATAATGTCTACTTCCCAAGTAGACACTGCATGATTAATAGCCTAGGGTATAGGGTTAGTACGCGGTTCATCCATGGCCAAACTTGACGGCGTCAAAACCAGAGCTTACATACTTTGGCAACCACACTGGGTTTTGATGGTGTATCATCAGCTATTTTGGCGACATAGAGCTGAGCATCACGCGCATAATCGAGAATCAGCCTTGCCGTGAACGTTCCATGGCCGCTCCTGTCAGTGACCACACGCACGTTCGCGGCTCTATTCTCGTTGAGCCAGTTATACCTGTCTTTAATTTGTTCAACCTGTGCATCAATGTCTGGATGCTGTATGTCGATACCTGTGTCGAGAATCGCAATTTTGATGCTGGGGTGATGCAGATCCTCTGGAATGAATTTCTTGTAGACTTCACTGTATTGAGTTTTCCAGTTATCGTATTTTAAGCGCCTGCAGGGCAACTATGTTAGCAAATCTCTTTTGGAGAAAGCAAAATCCAAAATATACCGCATAATATATCGGTATACAGCGGACACAAAGACTACTGTGAAGATATCTTCATTGCTTACGCGTCATTAGTGTGTGCTTCAGAGATGGTTTCGTCGTCGAAAAATTGAGAAGCTCGGTATTCGTCATTTATCATTGTTGCTCGCGGACTGTCATGTGGAGACCTAGTAGCATTATTCGAATGTCGTCCATGCTGACGGTTTTCCAACAATTGACCCAAAAGATTGCTCGCAGAAGATCGTGGAGGATCAAATGGTAACATAAATCTAGGTGGATTAAGATCATGGGTTTGTTCGACACCCTGCGCGTAGTCCTCTGGCGTCTCAGTTTGAGCCTGCTGTAGTATATTTTGGTCCCAGTTTACAATGTCGATGCCCTTTGCAAAGTCGTCAAGATCGTCGCTGGAGATTTTTTCAAAGCTCTGGTATAATTCAGTTTCTAGTGGCTTGACAATTTCTTGATAAATCTTCGACATTAATGTCTGATTGTCCAATTTATTTCCATCTTCGTCTTCCCAGCTAGTGGGGTCCAGACATTTCTCCACGACGTCATGAAATTGGTAAGAATCGTGGATTTGAGCTTTACATGCATCGAAAACCTCGTTGACAAAAGCAAAACTTCGTGGGTAGGTTGATGATTGAGTATCGCCCCCGGGTTCTTCAATATACCGCCTAGCCAAGGTATCGAAGGGGGCGCCAACATAAAGTTCCATTAGTATCACTGCCAGTGTCACCAGATGCGGACAGTGATGAACCCAATCAGGATCAAGGTCGTCCGGGTCGGTGCACGAGTCCTGGCTAGATTCGTAAGGACTCGCTAGATGAGTTTGGATGAATGGCTGTAAGGGAATGGCTGAAGAAGCTGTGGGGAAAAATAAGACGTGCGAAGAGCTCCATGTAGGTTGCAGCCAGGGAGTATCGTGTAGGTAAAGCACAGCGTAGCTGAGCATCACCGCCAGAATACGTCTTGTTCTATCGGTGAGAGAGTGTGATCTAAGACATTTTTCCAACGTGACAGGGCCCTTGGCTTTATCGCCGAGGAATGTGCTCTTCTCAGATTGAAGCTTAAATATCTGGTCTCCGGTCACTTTAAGCTTAAGTCGAAGAGCCGCAATTTTGATCTTCTCAATCAGCTCACAAAGTTGTTTTACCCTCATTTGTTTTATCTTGGTCGACTTTTTATGTCCTCTGTGTTGCCCAATTGGTATACTGTTTTGGATTTGTACAGCTCTCGCTTTTATCTCGTTCACCATGGATACATGAGCTTCCGTCCAGCTTTGCCTCATGGAAAGGAGCATGTCGAAGTCGAGACATTCGTCAGTATCTCCTTCCCTGCGTATATTGTTCTTCCGGTATGTACCTAAGCGAAGTCGGGCCATGATATCGTGGGTTGGTATGCATTTGCAGTTGCTACAGGCCACAAAAGCCTTGAAAATTGACTGCACTGCGTTCCACACGGCGATGGATGATGATCCAACACTCGTATTGGTAGAAAGCTCTTTAAATGCCCAGCCAGGTTGGTTCTCAGGGAAACGTGCTCGGAGTTCTTCTTGCCACTCGTCCGACAATTGGAGGAGCCGGTCGCGTTCTTCCGCGTTCGTTCCGAATTCAATATATGATCTGATATATTGGATGGACTTATCATTGTCGCTCTGTTTCTGAATCCTTTCCCAATGTCGATTGAAGGCGCGTAATTTATCGTAACGCGGGGCATTTAGACATGTTTTATAGAGGGGCAAATCGAGAACTTTGGATGCAATTATGGATTCCAGATGATTCAAAGTTCTATGGATGAGATCTGCATCAATTCCATTCGCCACATCGCTGACGTGCTTCCAATGGGAGTTCACGATAAAACAAAGGGTTTTGACGTTCGAGTAAAATGACTTGAGCTCGCCATTTGTTTCATCCTTCCAAAGAATCCTAGCAGCACCCATGATTGATTCAGATGCTGTGATCAACAATGGAATACTATCAAGAGCGTCAGCAAGCACGGAGGATGAAGCCATCTTGCCCTCTAAGGGATTTTGTTTAGACGGGGGTTTAAAATGTAGCATCTGGTAAGCTTGCTGGTCCTTCGTATGATGGTACTTGTGCTCATTTAGATATACGGCAAAGTGAATGTTTGTAACAAGGCAAATTCCGCCTTATGGATGCCTATCCGCAAGGCATCAAGCATATGCGGGGAAGGATCAACAATGCGCGCTTACTACCTATATGGCTCCATTCGTAGGGAACATCTTCAGCCTCATTACCAATATCTGAAACTTGTCCAGATACTTAGGCTTTGCTGCATAAGTGTCCAGTCATTGTATGAGATGCAGAGTACATTTACCCAAAGCAGATAATGGAGTGTCACATTGCAGATTTCAGGTGGGGTCGACATTACCGAACTTAGAATCAATTCACTTCAGCCTGAGCATTCGCAACGCGGTTTTTCACCTTGAAAGGAGTCAGATCTCAATACGATGCCAGATATGGCTTCATCGGGCCCAGGGTCGACAGAGTTGACCATTTCTAACTGTGCCACCCGATGCCATGAATCTTTTCAACAATGCCTCGTCAAAGCGGCATCTATTCATGCTCGGGAACTGGCCTTGATAGAAAATCAGTTTGCAAAATTCTCTCTCTGGACTGCTTACTTTCAAGTTTTTGGTTCGGGTCGAGACTCATTGGATCACCGTTTGCGAGAGTCATTTGATGTCCAGGATGCCATTATAGGAGTTGTGGAGGCATTGAATTACAGCGTTCTGAAGTGTAGGTGTTTATCAAGCGAATCATTGTTACCATATTTTCGCAGACAAAGGATATTCAATATCCATAGAGATACTAAGAACGGCTATTGTAGGCACTTCGATCCTTGAGGCATCCACTCCAGTGCCATTAGGTAAATCATTACCTACTATAAATGCAGATTTCAATTCAGCTCTTCAAGACATTACGAAACAAATTGCGCTCCTTCACAAGTTCTCAGGCATCATCCGCAGAGTCGGCAGAGAAACTCAAGATCTCACGGATATCACAGACTTTAAGATTAAAGACAACAGGGGGAACGACTTAGAACCTGTTTTAAAAGAGGACTTTGCTCGGCACATACGTAATCAATTTCCAAGAGTAAGCGATACTATCCAACAACGTCTCGTCAACACCATGATTTTGCGACACAAAAAAGTTCTCCATCGGAGGTTTTGCTGTGGTAAATTTCCAGACAGAACTCTAAAACCGTCAGATACTGTGGAAGTAGCAACCCCATCTGGTTTTTCGGCGTTTGGAAGTGTTGCAATAGGTGATTATGGGGACATTCCATTTCCACCAGCCCCTTGTGGCACTATTATGCAAAAGTACGACTTGTTGAAGAAACAGCGCCGAGAAGAATGCAACCTCAACCAAGAAACCGAAAATTCTGATCCAGAAAGAGCCAAAAAATACGAGGAAATTCTGGAAAAAGACTGGAACGAAATTTTGGAGGCTGCAGGGGAAATCTATTGTCCTTTTTGTTGCTTGAGTTTACCAGCCCGGGACGTTGTTGATGAGAGCAAGTGGAAGTAAGTCTAATATTAGTAACATGTTCTCACCACAGCACTCCAATCAACGCCAGTTCATCATATCATCATATCTAGATACTAACTATGTCCGTAGGTTACATGTTAAGAACGATCTCGATTCATATGTCTGCCTATTTGAAGGCTGCGAGTCACCCGAGGAAGTGTATAGCCATAGCAGTACATGGCTCAAGCATATGTCCTCACACTATATGCGATGGCGCTGTGTTTCTAAATCTCACGCTGAATTCCAAAGCATCACCAAAAGCGAATATGTTGACCACATGAAAGTTGTTCATCCAGGCAAATTTACAGATGCGCAGCTCAATATTCTAGCCATCAGAAATGCGCGACCAGCGATTACTATGTTCAAGCCTTGTCCATTATGCGGCAAGAAAGAATTCGATGGCAATAGGGCCGACCATGTCGCAGGACACTTGCTTCTGCTTGCCCTCAAATCACTACCCAGTTACGACGAGCACATAGTGGAGCAGAAAGAATTGGTATACCAACAGCCCCATATACCTATGTCGAATACACATAGCAAGAGCACTATCACACAAGATTCAAGGAATGATTCCAATTTTATTGTCCATGTTGCCAGGACTCAATCCTCATTCATCCCGAAAAAAGAAGGAACAGCCATGCATCGCTCTGCCCGTATCCCCCCTGTCAACAAACAGCATCAAAGGAATGACGCAACTGCTCAAGAGTTGCAGCGGTGGCAAAAACCGTTTAATAGTCAACAAGACTCGTTTATCAATACCATGGATGACGTGGAGTTTAGGCAGCTCAGCTCAGCGAAACATGCCAGCCAGAACCATTTAGAAGCCATGGATAAGGATGAAGAGAAAAAGGGAGATGGGGAAAAAGATAGGAATACAGCAACAAAAGAGATTAATGATGATGTAATCTGGACGACTTCATACCACGAACATGCCTTAGGGCAAGAAGCTCTGCAACAAGGCAACGCTGAGGCTTCACCGAATTTCCGCGGCCCCGGTCGAACTCTTAATATCGATATGGCTCCTCAGGAATATTTGCGAGAAATGGAGCGTGAAAGAGACAATATGGTTCGACCCATATCAAGCTTCGCTTATGTGGATGCTGGATTGGCTCTCCGTAGTGCCGACAACACGGATTATACAAGCATCATGTCCCAACATCCAGCTATATCAGGGTCCATCCCCACAGCCATGACAAGCGATAGCTCTATCATATCCAATTCTGTACCAAGTATATCTGGCCTCATGGCCAGAGAGAACTCATTTGTGCCCATGGTTGAAAGCCAAGATTTTGGCGGTGTTGCTCAGTGTCTGCGAATGTGGACCGATTCTTACGAGAAGAGAAATGCATATACATTGACAGATTCATTTTACTGGGATGACACACGCTTAATCAGCAAAGGTATCCCGCTGCTTGATCGGGAACACATAGCACCGGCCGAGGGAAGTCCTTCAAGCATGAATATGAACAATTTTGTTCAGATTATGGACAATTCTAATGCGACCGAGGCACACAACCAGTGGCCTCTTAAAGCCCTACTTGCGATGAATCGGAGGAACAATGATCTCGGCAAACTTTCTCAACAACAATTCACGGCCCGGGCAAATTTAGTCATAAAAAGTGACCGTGACTCCATATCATTGGACGAAACTTTGCATTCTTCTGATGCAGATAATTACGGGCATATTGCTAGAATGGACGATCGCCTACCGTCTACTACAGTGAAATCCATCCTAGAAGAGATGTCTAAAGAACTTGACGCACTATACCGACGCATAACGATGGAATCGGACACCAGCAATCATATGTTCGGCATACTCGACAGCGCAGATGAAAATATATCGTCTTTGAGCACATGGGCAGATGCTGATATGCTACAACAGCATTCTCCTAGTGCCTCTGATAAACACCGCCTGTTTATGTGTCCTTACGCAATGAGATATCCAGATCGTGTAAATCACAGCTGTTTCCAGAGACTCAATACCATTCCATATCTAAAACAACATCTAAGGCAAAGCCACCATGATACAACCAACTGTCCTCATCAGTGTCAGAGTCGACAACCAGAGACTACATCTCGACGAAGCCAACTCCACGCCCCTCTATGTTTTGACTCAAATGTATGCCTTCAAATTAACAAGGAACGAAGTGATCGATCAAAAACATATAGACAACAATGGGAAAGGATCTATCAAGTACTTTATCCCGAAGCCGATCGCATACCTGATCCATACATCGGAGAATTGGCAGTTAAGCGACTCAGAAGTATCTTTCAATTTATGGAAAACCATGGCCTCAAATATCTAACATCAATATATCCTCCAAAGTTGGTAGATCCAGATGCAGAAGTTATGTACCAAACAGCTTTCTGTAAATGGTTACCTTTGGTCTTTGAATGGAGATTTCCTCCCCAAGGTCAACAGTTATTAGGCGACTTTCTAAACCAGATAAATTCTGCGCTGTGTGGCAACTATTATAGGCTTGCATATCCCTCTGGAGCAAGTCGACAGGATGTGCTGCATTTCTCAAGCGCATCCCAGACGGGCCAGCATGATACCTTCTATAACACAGTATCACAACATGGCACCATGTTTAGCCACCATCCGCCTCGTCACACAGATTCCTCAACTCTTCCGCCGCAACAACAGATTCCCTCTCGATCTTCGATGGAAGGTTCTTTACATAGAACACACTATGATTCATCTTCAGACATGCCCAGCTACACCAATACAGTCCAGCTTCACGAAAACATGGATTCGGTTACACTAATCCGCGATGAGAGGCTATCTGAGGGTCAACATAACATTCATCATTTCTTGTTTGCCCCGCGCAATTCGATGCAAGGTAGCCGCTCTCACTTTGCAGCAGAACCCCCCGTTAACATGGAAGGGATTGAGACTTCCCAAATGGGGACTTGGAAATCTCCATTTTAATATAAAGCAGGATTCTATGAGTATTTATCTGCGTATATTTTCTATCTTTCTCTTTCCTAGATATAATTATAGTCAGCTTGTATTTCATATGATACCCTTTCATTTTATTTTCCTTAGCTATATTTTGCTTTTTGATAGATCATTGCTCCGCAGATATTGCATTACAGGCCTTTTTTACGCAGGCCACATGGAGATGGAGAATAGATACTTCACTCCTCACTCGAGCAGACATTTCATTAGTCCCGATGCATGTGAATATTAAGCAAGACCATTATTTCCTATCGTTTAGGCAGAAAACCACAGAATAGCGTAGAACTCAGGCGAGCGTAAAGGCTCAAAGTTTACAGGCATCATCGTCAAGCATACCTTATTTACCATGTACATCTCATTCAAGAGAGATGTTATTCCATCGCTATCTTTCATAACTGTGTATAATGAAGAAGGATTTGAATGCTAAATGGAGAGAAAGGGCTTACTTCCATTGGTGAGTACTAGAGTACTAGGTGCATTGATCTTGCGAAAGCGTCGATTTTTTGGCATTTAGTTCTTCTCTTCACATGCGCTATTTCTTCCACCTTTGTAATTTCAAACCTTTCTTTCTAATATTACATTTCTTCTCGCGAATCCATTTCCATTTGCCCAAGTACGTGTAATGCTATTCTGAATCCGTGATTGTGATAATTGTTAGGTGACTAGGCAAAAATAAAATTATGTTGAAGGCGACAAAACTTCATTCAAGTTACCTACTTGGTATCGACATACATACATGTACATACCCTACATCTGTTAATTGTAGTAAAGTAAGCTCTAGTACCAACAGATAGAGACATTTGGTACCCAAAACATGTAGCAAGGCAATTGACGATAATGCACTACAGACGACTGCTCAAATCCCCAGCTCAATCTCAGTCTGGAAAGAAACATACGCTAGATCTCATTTTCACAATAACCACGAACCTAGGCGGTTGGTTTTCTACATCCACACGAACCAGTTGACTTGACAATTTAGGCCGAAATAAACACCAGCTCAGGGCTCAAAAGGGGAAGCTCCTATTGAGTCCATTGCCTAGGACAGCGAGATTACAATGGCGACCTGGGATGCGTGTTGCAAAGCATTCTGTCAACATTTCTGCAGCTAAGTAACAAATACTGAAGGCAAAATGGAACGTCAGTGTATATATTAGCACAGAGTCATATTCTGCGCTTGGAGTACGCGATCTTTCCGCCACTACAGTTCTTTCAGAAGAAGGGCCGGCTGGACAAGTGATGCCAGTCTGGATCACTCTGAGCCATGATGAGGCCGACATCAAGGTTACTACAAGAAGGCTACCACTACCTGGTGCCTCCGAGCAGGGAGTATAGATTGAGTTTGAAGAGGAGATTGATGAGGGTATTGCGAGATATATTTGGGGTGCTGGAGTGCTTGCATTTTTGCAATTGCGGAGGCATGCATGTTGCCGATGCCAACGGATACAGAGCCCTCTGGAGTGAAAGCTTTAAAAGGCTTATTCACCGGGCCAAAACCCGTCAACGCACTAGAACTAGGATGCCGCGTGGGAATTTTCGGAAGGGGCTTGAGTGTCGTCTTTCCGAGGACACTGCCGCCCCCTAGCCGTAGATGTACCATTCTCATGACGGACTTGGAGGAAGCAGAAGGTCGAATTAGATCAAACATGTCCCGGCTTCTTCACGCCCGACGGGAGCACAAGTCTAACACTTCTCCTCCTATAAAGCTTCTTTACGAGAATCTCGACTGGGAGCAGGGCCCAGAGGGAGTGTTTTGCCCGGAAGCACAAAGTCACCGCTGGGACCCTGTCCTACACAGCGACCGCACCTACAACGTGGACACGCTTCCCGCCCTGCTCGGGACGCTTTCCGCGTTGCACGAGTCCAACACGGCAGAGACCGGCGAGCAGCCGCAGTCAACAAAAGACTTTCTGGCGACAAAGCCGCGGCACGCTTCGGAGGAAGCGCTGTTTGGCCTCTTATCAGATCAGGGGTGGACGGAGTTACACAGGCAGACATTGCCACTGCCCGTTCTTGGAGCTGAGACGCAATGTGTGGAACTGTATCTCTACGAAAAGGCGTGATAACAAATACTGAAGCAAATGCAGTTGGTGACTTGGCAGTTCCCCCTTTAAGCCGGTACACTTCCGGATACAACGTGGCATGGTTAGACGTGATTGCTAATCTACGTCTTCTTAAGTACTCCCTCTTAGAAGATTGGTTGAGATTCTTGACTTCTGTGTTTTATGTTTTGCTCCGAAGTAATTGTTACAAATGATACAGAGTGTTTTGGGGGCTATTCATGAGTGATTTTGGAGTACACCCGTCTATTGGATGCAGTCGCAATGCAAGGGAGCATCGTTGTCCTGCTGACTCTAGCATTCTTGGAGTATTTAAGGACCCCACATATCTATATGAATAGCAGCACTACGAGGCAAAGCATGAGTATCGGGCTGTCTAGCCAAAGCAAGGGGTCAGGATCTCAGTTTCTCTCGTGATGGCAGCGCCCAGCTCATCGCGAGGCAGGCGGCGATGGCACCCGGCCGTGGATCCTCCAAAACCGCCCGTTGAGTCGAAGTCAAAGATGGCGCAATAAGATTATACGACAAACGCATTTGAATTATGTTTTTGGTCACATTGTCATGCTGTGTCGGAGTTCCGCAGAGTAGATCACTAAGCATTAGTTACCCAACACAGAAGCTGAATAATAACGATGTTCAATACTCCGAAGAGGATCTGAATAATTCTGACGGAATTGAAGCACCCGCTCAATCACACGAAGCAAAGGCGAGGGCCGAAAACACGCAACAGCCACTCGCCCCCTCAGGAGATTTGCGTTTGTCTTTTTACTTTATGTCTCCGGGTGGCTCCTTGGCCTACGGATGGGTTGCGGTGAGGGATGAGCGTAATGTGACTTGATGGCTCCGTATCTGCGGAATATTCGATCCACTGGGGCTGCGGAGTTTGACGATTTGATTGCCCTGTTCAAGTAATTGAGATATGATGGTAGAGGTTGGGGGATGCAAGGGATCGTAGCGCCGTTGTTTGCTTTCGAAGCTGTGCCATTATCCGCTTTCTACATGTGCTTTGGCTTTCACGGAGAAATGAAGGAGGTACCTGCGCGTGTAAGTATGAGTACAGCTGTCTGCATGTAGTATTGCTCGGTGATGGTTGGTGATGTGGCGTAATCTTGGCATTTGGGGCTTCAGCGCTGATAATCCTGGCCTTCATTCCTTGTTCACTTGATACCCAAGCAGGATGGTTCAAGGATGTAATCTTCTTGGTGCCAGGGTGCTGTTAGAACTGCTACTACTACCTCGAATAGACACTCTGTTTCCGTACCGTACAAGGTCTTATTTCGTGATGTGTTATCACAGGGGGCAGCATTTCTTTCATTCCTCTGCTTGTTTCTGCCGTGTGGGGGCTGGTATGGTCGATCTTTGAGAGGGTCTTTCCTGTGGTTGAGATTGTGATTGTTTACGGAATTAAGAATGGATTTAAGAGTTTACGAGATACGGAAGCCTTACTCCATCTAGATGCTCCAGACATGGGAAGGGCTGCTGTGCAGTAAGTCGGAACTTCGCCTATCAAATGCGAGAGTTGATGCCTGATGTCTGTCTCGAAATATCCCAAATCCGACAACGATACGATATTGTGGATAAAGTGAAGAGCGCTCTTTGTGGTCCGTTTCTCTGATGACACGCAGACATACTTGTAATGATAATTGCCGAGTAGTGTCTGCATCGGAGCTGGTGTGCTCCCTTGTCTTGATCAAAATGGAGCCACTTATACGACTGAGGTGTTGTTATTAGTAACAAGCGGGATAACGCTGTGCCGGATTGCGCCTCCTTTTGAGTGGGAGTCATCCGGCGAGCAAGTTGCATATTAACCGACCGACGGCGGGTGGAGGGCGTATTACGAAGGCTAGTGCAAAGAGAGAGGCCGACTATTTCTCCACGCGTTGATTCGCACATGTTCTAAATCATGACACGCAAACACGGTCGGTTTACCTCAACACGCCGTTGAGCATGTTTTATTGATGCGGAGGTGATGGCGGGGGCTGAGGCCCAAGAATTGGCAATTTCCCACTGAGGGAAAGCTCGCCACCCAAACGTCGAAATTTTCAGTTCTTGGATCGGCAATCTCAGCCTGTAGGAGCCAAGGAACGAATCCAGGGTCGGCGGGCGCGGCACCCGCCGGCTTGATGAAAGACCCATATGCTGAACTAGCTCGGAGGAGGCCGAATTCGTAAGCCACAAACGAGAGTTGGCGTATAAACGGTAATTCGTACTCCTATGTCATAGACACCACACGCTTGTATAAGACAATCAAACAATGAATTTGCTGCGACAAGAACGGGGCGGCTGAAAAGTGTCTCAGTCTCCTCATGGCAGTTTGTGACCACTTACCACATTGTACCAGTGCGGACCGAAACGGGGCAAACAACGAACGGCGTGGCCAACAGGGGCGCGGGCCGCAACCCCCCGGTTGTAGGAAGAAGAAGTGGACAAAAAAAGAAAAGTCAGCGAGCGCCGAGCGCCGCACCCTCCAAGCCGTGAGGCGGGCTTAACAGTCCGTGCTGGTCTGTTTCATCCCATATCAACAGATTTATATTGACACGCGCGCCGTGAAATGTCAATGGTGCCATGTTACATCCGGTGACATTTCCAAGTTGAGAAGAGACAAGAGAGGGGATGTCGCGAATCAAGATAGGCGGTGATTGAACCTGTGTTCTGTTCTATGTCGTTCGTAGCCGATCAAAGGAGAGTTGTGGATCGAATGTAGTACGGGCTGTCAACCCCTACATGATGGGGGCTAGAGATAGAGAAGCGGTGATGTATTGAGGTCGTTTCGACCGCTTCTTAGACCAGACCACCACCAGGAGGGAGCTGTTTGCTTAGCGTTAGGAAAACGAGAAAGAAAGAAAAAAAGTCTGGGGAGTAAGCTGTTTATCGACGGATTTGCTATGGGTAACTTTCTCATCGAAATCTCTCTAGCTGAGCACGACCCTTGCGTTCGGGGCTCCGTAATCCTAAAACTCGGAGTTGCTGAGTCGTTCTAGCACCAAACGCCCCACGATTCTGACCAACCGCAGCGCCACTGGTTGCACGCCATGATCCATCGTGCTGTTGGCTTATTGGCTTATTGCCGTTTTAGGCATCCTCAAAAATGCCCGAACACGATTGATGCCATATTCTATCCGTTCTTTCACACCAGCGTATAGCAGTTCAGTTCAACGCTGTGCTGTACAAGCACAGAAACGCGGAAGCCCATTAGTTGCATATTCAACAGATTGCCCGATGAGATTGTCACGGCTAGCCACTGCAGCCATATGGTGCTTTGATGGAAAAGTCAGCTTGATGAGAGGCTTGTGGCTCTAACTCCGTATTTCCGATTTCCGGAAATGAACCTTATTAATAAGAATGCGTCAACATGTTATTCCGGTTCCCAAGCATGAAATAGGGAACTGCTCATCTCATCGGCTCCAATATTGGAGAACGTCAAAGTCTGACAGCTTGGTCTGTGGAACTTGTATCGGTCACAGCGATGGCTGAATCTTGCTCCTCCGGATACCTGTCGCCTGTGTGACTGTTTTCATTGCCTCCATGAACAAACAGCAACATGGTCGTAGTTAGTCATATGTACTCGCACGTACTTGTAGTAAGCAATCGGATACTCATCGTAGCATTGATCAATAGTCCAGCTGTAAAAGACTTTGTAGCACTCCTGGAATGCCCCACTGCCTCCGGTACCCCCAATCTGTGCATCCAGAGTGGATTCTTCTCGCCGCTTGGCCGGGTTTTACCTGGTGAACGGCTGTAGCTCCGGCTTTGCCCCTCGCCTTCGGACTTTTGACGGTCAAGCTGTGCTGGCAAACTCGAGCTGCCACCCTGCATGTGGGCCATGAGTCTGTTGGCCGGGAAGTGGGAAGTATGTCAGAGAGCTTTGTCCTTGTCATAGGGCGAGGTTGGATGCCGTTATCTGGCCCCAGAAATCTTGGCAGGCCAAAAGATCCCCCTTGGAGCTCCGCTGGCCCCCGATTTTTTTTTGCTTTGCGCTTTTCTTTAGCCGTGAGGAAATGAATAAAAACTCTAGGCATCCTACTTTTTGCTCAACTGTTGTTTTGGTCATCGCATGATAACCATTTTTGGTTGTCGTCGAGAGTCTTTCTTTGTTTGGGTTGTTTGATATCCTCCTTCTCTACTAATCTCTGCATTGTGATTTTTTTTTCTTTCGTCTGGTAGAATCACACCGCTCGAGCCCACCGCTTACTCTTTTTGCTTCATCTGATCTCTCACCATACAAACGACCAAAGAAATAATTGCATTCACTCGTCGTGAGAACATCAATAATAATTCTGTCTGGACTATTGGAACTTGACCATACTCTACGTCCAAAGTATCCTTCGTTCACCAATTCTCGGCGACGATCCTTTTTGGACAACTCTAATACCGACAACGACTTTCATCTTTTCAAGCATCTATACAAATAATAGCTTCGTACAACTCTCCCAAAAGTAACCACAATGGCTGGGGAGCAGCCTCCTCTCAAAGAGGAGTCGCTGCCTAGCACGGCAAACTCGGCGACGGCAAAGGAGCTTGGCGAGCAATTGGATTCAAACTCTGTGGAGACTCAGGTTGAAGGCGATCGCTCTTCTAAGGAACTTGCCAGAGTTCAGACGGGCGTCTCTGTTGAGCAAGCTGAGGCTCACTTTGCCGGCCTGCAGCGCGAGTTTACTGGTGTTTCTCGAGCGAGTCGCAAGAACAAGCACCAATCTACTTCCGACCCGGAAAAGGGGGCCACTGTCACAGCAGAGGATGACGATGTCTCTCTCTTCGACTTAGAGACTGCTCTCCGAGGCGATCTTGACGCCAGCACCGAGGCCGGAATTCGATCGAAACATATCGGAACCTGTTGGGATGGTCTGACCGTCAAGGGTATCGGCGGCTTCACCAACTTTGTCAAAACCTTCCCCGATGCCATCATCGACACCTTCAACGTCATATCTCCACTGCTAAGCATGGTCGGCCTGGGTCCGAAGTTTACTGAGGCTACGCTGCTTGACGGCTTTCAGGGCGTGTGC